TTCGAATAATATGCAAATAGTTAAAAAGATTGCACCATACCTAGACATTACTCCTTCTTCATTATTAACTGGAATAACTCTTCTCAATAAATATACACCACCTTTGTCCACAATATATCTGGAAATAAATAATAAGTATAAAAAGACCAGAAAACAGTCCCTTTGGCCATGTTACTTTAGCAGCTATCACTCCATTTCACATCCAGTAAATATTATCTCAAGTACAATTAATAATAATTCTGATATGATGCAATTCTTGTCACAAAATATTAGATATTACACTATATATACTGATGGCAGCAAAGGAAATAATCACGTTCATGCAGCCTTTTATGATTCAAATGCCAAGTTTTCTCAAAGCTTTGTTTTGAATAGATCTTGTTCCATTTTTACTGCAGAGGCTTATGCCGTTTATCAGGCTTTACTGCAAATTAGTGTAATTAATAACTATAAATACTTTTTAATAATAACGGATTCTTTAAGTCTGATAAAGAGTCTAAGTAATGTTTCTGTAAAATATAAAACCAACTATATTTTGTATATTATAAAAGACCTATTGTTTAAATATCATCTTAAGAATGTAAATATATATTTTATGTGGGTGCCTTCACATAAAGGCATAACCGGCAATGAAAAAGCTGACAAAGCTGCATGTGAGGCTATAAACAGTATTGACGTTACAGACTCAGTATCCGTTCCTTTTACTGATTATTTTCTAAATATTAAGGAAAACATTTACACTCTGTGGACAGAAATGTGGAAGAAAGATCAGGAAAACAAGGGAAAGTGGTATGGAAGTATCCAAGATAACATACCTGTTAAACCATGGTATGACAAATTGAAATCTAGTGAAAGTAGAGATTTCATTACAACAATAAACAGATTGAGATTTGGTCATAATATTGCGCCGTCACACCTAGCAAGACTTGGGATTGTTTCAAACAATCAATGTAATCATTGTCAAGCAGAAGAAGGAACGATCCACCACATTATTTTTGATTGCCAAAGTTTTCTCATTCAAAGACTTGTGCTGGCTAGTGAACTTAGTGTTACCAATGCATATAAGTGTGTTTCTTCCTCCCGCCCACCGCTCCTCAACGTTTTACTAAAAGATCCAACATCCTATAAACCTATTTATAATTACATAAAAAATACAATTCAAACAATTTAAGTGATGAAATTTAGTGAAGTGAAGTTAGTGTCGCCAAATTATATGAACATACATATTCCAAATAAGTCATGACTTAAAGGTCTTTGTTACCAGGTCATAAAATTAAAAAAAAAAAAAAAAAAAAATGTGTTATCCACGCAAGGTTTCAGTTTCAATAAACAAGCGCGTCGGTGGCGCGTGTACTAGATTTCGTTCAAATTTCCCGCTTTTTAGCTCGTATGTCATTCTTGTTGATTTGAAGCACTTAAGTTGTAAAAAGTAAGTTGATATTATTAGGATAAAATGTTTCTGTCTAGTGTTATAAAGACATTAAAACACATCATTTTTATTTTAAATTCTACAATATGTAGAATTTAAAACGTTACTCAAACTTTTACTTAAATTATGACCCAAGATTATTATGAATTAAGGATTATGCAGCAACATTATTGATAGTTTTTTTTATTTATCGTGTTGTAATCCTAGTAATATTACAATGCACAAATTTAAAGTAATGTTGTATCAGTATCTTTCATCTCTTCGATGTTTTGTGGTGATGAATTAAATTATGTACGCTAGAAGTATTAATTGCTTATTAAGAGTTTTTGAGAAGAAATTTGTTTTTTAAAGAAAAATAAAACAAGACACCGTACCTATATACCTACAATTTGCGATAGCCGCTCTTTATTATGAAAAAACTAAGCATTCTTACATATGACAGTTAATTATCAATAACACAATTTTATATAAGACTGTACATTTTTAGACATGGCAAAACAAAAAGCATCACGACTGGCTGGACTTGTTTTGATCTTCGTCAATTGTATCACAACGGTAAGTCTAAATTATTCAAATTATCTCAGTAATATTTTATTAATATCTAGAAAAATATGGCTTGGTTTCTTTTGCGTTATACCTACTAATTTGTTGAAATAAAAGGAAATCGGAATGAGAGCTAACAACAAGTTTAAGAAATTTTAAAGGACTATTCTCATCAATTATATTTTTTTACATGAGAACTTTTCCCTATACGAATTGCACGTCGCACTTTAATCAGCCCAGCATATTTAAATATATTAAATAAGGTAATATTAAACCACATATTATATGATAGATAGACATATGTAAAAAAGTATTAACAAATAACAATATACCACAGAGTCAAAGTTTAACACTGAACCTTTTTTTTTTAAATATAATTTTATGGCCTGGTAACGAGACCTTTAAGCCAACTGAACCTTTTTGAATGTAACCATAGACAGTATTACTAGATTCCCTACGGTCATAGATAGGTACAGCAGATATACAGCCTAAACTAAAAAAATATGGGGTACGAAATACAAAACAGAAATCAGTTAATTTTCAATTATGCAAACTATCCCAATCTGTATGTAATCTATAACCGTTGAGGATCTAGTAATATTGTCTACGGTTACATATAAAAAGGTTCAGTCTTAAACTCTTGATTGAAAAACGTTAAAGAGTATGGAAACTCGAAGAGTCGACATCATATTTTTATTCCAATAGCATCGTAGAATCGTACAAATCGATTTAAAAGTCTACAATTATTATAATGGCGCGATCGTTATACCATAGATAAGCTGTCCCCTGTCGTAACGTAAAATTATATTTCCTTTTTATCAATATATTAAAGATCCCTCAGTCTTCTGTGTCCGATGTATAAGTCTGTTAGATTATGAGCCAATGACGAACACAAAAAAAATTGCGGCATTCGTTCGAAATCTATCAGACTTTCTTTCTATAATTTCAAAAACACATAATAAATATGTATTTATCAGTAATCTGTACTACACATATATTAAAAATAAAACACTTAGACAATATACAAAGCCAAAACACACAATATAATCTATTGTTAAACAAAATACACGAAACAGAAAACATAAGTCAGTTAAGTTTATGAATAGGTAAAATAAAGAAAATTGAAATTAATCATTACTTACAACTTATATTTTAAAGAAAAAGAAATTGTTATTACTGCTAGCTTAAACCCGAATTGGCGAATTACGCAGATAATTCAAGTGAACAATTGTTATCTTGTCACATATAACAATGTTGTAATTGAACAAATTAATTCGCTAGTTATGTTACCCTAATGTTAGTTAAATTACATATACATAGTTATTATATTAGTTAATAATGAAAAGCGCAAACCAAATTTTTGACGACTCATTGGTCTAGTGGTTAGTATCCCTGACTGCGAATCCATGGGTCCCGGGTTCGATCCCCGGCTGAGACGAACATCGATGTGATGAGCATTTGGCGTTGTGCTTAGGTCTTGGTTGTTTAAAATATGTATTTATATGTCTATCTATCTATAATATGTATGTATATTTGCCGAGTACCCATAACACAAGCTTCACCAGCTTAGCATGGGACTACGTCAATTGGTGTGAATTGTCTTTAAAAAAAAATGGTAACAATCATCTTACACATAAAAAACCGCCACCGAACTTAACTTGCGTGAAACAATCTGTAACATTCCAGTGCACAAGATGTTCTTACTTTTGAGCTAGTTGTTGTGACGCAGAGCACATAAAATCTAAAGGAAAATTGATTTCAAAGTGTGAGGGGAGCAACTATGGATATCCAGTTAATTTAATTAAAAGTTAATTGACACTAATACTATGAATCTATTGTCTAATTGTAATTGTAGGTAGTAGATCAGCCTTGTGTCTGATCCACGCCATTGATTTTTAAGTCTAAAACACGTCGGTTTCCTCACTATGTTTTCCCTCGCCAAGTAAGAAATGCGCCCATATGACGTCACTGTAGAATGATAACCTCGTATGTCAACAGTTGAGTAACAATAGGGTGGCAGGGCTGGCAAAATGCCACGGGCCCCCGACCCAGAAGATGCCCAAGAGATATTATGTTCTATGGATGAATGTGAAGTCTCCAATACGCATTGGGCTAGCGTGGGGACTACAGACCATTCCCTCTCGCCTAAGAGAGGAGGCCTATAGCCATTAGTGGGACATATACAACGTGTAATTGATTACTCTGAAAATCTCAAAGTTTATTAAAATTAGACAGTACAACGTGACGATTTTTACTGATAGGGCCATCAAAAGAATTTGCCATGGACCCCAGATGGTATAGCCACTGTATGTCAAAAAACCATCAATTTTTTTATTATTAGACTCTTATGTCATTTAACTGGTATAATCATGAAGTAAGGACTTATTTAGGTTATTAATAAATAAGTCCTTTTTAACTATGGACACACATAATAATATTTTAACGAACATTGACATGTAACATTTTTTTCGTTTCCTGTGATGTTTGGTTCTCTGGACATACGAGGTTATCATTCTACAGCGACGTTAAGAAACGTGTATTTGTTAGCCGTTATTCGGAACGACCCCAGGGAATAAAGTCACGCACAGGCCGACACGGTTCCTTTTTATATCAACATGCTTTTGTGGTGAAGACAGCTGTTGTTTTTGACGTGACAACGTTTTATAATTCGATGGAGCCGGCTGCACGCCCGAAAAAACATGACGCATGCGGCGTTACCTCGCTCTGAGGTGTTCCATTTAAGGCTTGAAGTGCAAGCGAGAGCGCGAAACGAGCGACAAAGAGGCACAATCGGCCTCCGCGTTCGGTCGTTAATAATTGTATTTATGCGTACAAATAAATGTAACTTGATCAATTCAATTGTGATATCCATTTACCTCCTTCTCAATATCCATACAAAATATCTATCAAACAAATAAAATTAAAATTTTCTTTTGAAAAATGCAACCATTCCATCAGAATTTTCTTATGATGTTGTCACGTTCAATTACCGTCAGTAAACCGACTTTACAGACAGCCGATTTTTCAGATGCTTAGCCTAGCTACATTCGCAATTGGCCTATGGGTGATAACCTCCCCGAAGACGCTGGCGTATGTCCTCGAGAGAGCTGGTCCGTTGAAGGTAAATATTATTAAAGACAGAGCCATCAGAGATCTTCCAAAAGAAGATGGACCAGTAGTAGAACTTAGAAGTAGAAACCCCAGTGGCTAAGGTCGAAATACTTCGATAGTATTAAGAAGTTTTTATTCAAGAACTAATCAAAACACAAATGCCCTTTTTTATATGTAAACTAGCTGACCCGGCAAACGTTGCTTTGCCATGTATATTTCTAGGAATCATTTTTTTTAAATTCAATAAAAATAACTATTTACTCTACTATAAAAAATAGGCGTTAATCGAAGAAGGGTGAAAATTAAGGGTTGTATGTATTTTTGTATGCTGTATCATAAAAAAAATTAGGGTTGGACCACCCTTAACATTTAGGGGGTTGAAAGATATATCGTAGCTGATTATCAGACTTACTAAATATGCATAAAATGTTTAATAAGAATCGGTCAAGCCGTTTCTGAGGAGTATGGGAACGAACATTGTGACGAGAATTTAATATATTAGAAAATAAATAAAAAGACATTATGCAACATAACGATCTAGTCTAACTCAAAACTAATAAGTAATAAAGGTCTCACTTAATTTACTACCGAGGACATTTAAACACTACTTACTTATTTATTTATTATAGTACGAGATCCCGCTGCAGGATTGGTGCGCTCATCGACTATTTGTTTAAAACCAAATTTTTATGTTTATTTATAATTAAGAGAATATATATTTACTAGGGTGCCTATCAAAATTTGGCCGCCATTATTTTTAATTAAATTATTTTTAATTGATTTTTGGTAAAAAATTGCGTTCATTTATTATTTAAATAAAATAACGTCTACATCACGGTAATTAATATGAAGATTCTAAAAAATCACGGGTGCCGTTGCGCACATGGCCGCACCTCTTTGCAGCCAGGTGTAAACAGGTATGATTTCGATAAATTTATACGTTTATAACCTATTTTTTTAAATTATATGTCAAATTGAAGCAAATTTTTTTCTATTAATTATCATATAAAGTTGCTTAATTAAATCTGGCCGCAAATAAGGGCTACTGGCTGTTAAAGATAATAAATATTTAAGGTAGAGTGAAAGAGAGTTAGCGCGTAACATCATTTGTCAGACGAGGACAGCGATTGTCGGCTGTGCGACGCTTTTAAGCCATTGCGCATGCGTCGAACGTTAGTGTTCTCAACCACCGGGGAGTAATAGAGACGACTTATAATAAATACTCCAAAAAATATGTATTTTTTTTTCAAAATGACAAATTTAAAAATTGCAACAAATTCAGCCCAGAATGGCTGGCTGGTACTAGATGGTTTTTTAAAACCAGCATGGTTCCTGGGAGACTCATCTCCAACGCAAGTTAATAGTGTGCTATGTGAATCCATGAACAAAGCTACCGATAACGACGATTCTGATATTTGTAGCGATGAAAGTGATAGCTCCGATGATAGTACAACAGAAAGCTCCGATGATTCAGATTTTTAAATAAGAGTTACGGAAATATAAGAGTTATAAGATTAATTTTTTTAATTTTTTAATTTGCTTAAATGTTTAATTAATATGTAATAGACAATCAATTACTTGAATAAAATCTAATAAAATTTTTAAATAATACTTTCGCAATAAAATTTTCTTTTACTTAAGTCACCTTGGTTTTATTTTTTAAATTAATATTAAATATCGACGTTCTAATTAGCAAATTATCTAACTCCATTTTAGAGAATCTTTTATTTGTACGAAAAAAACAATGACTTCAAAATTTATTATCATTTTAAAAAACCATTTAATATCATTAATATCTAATAGAGATATAATTTTTAAGTTTGAATCATTCAAATAATTTGTAATTGGATTATGTCTTCATCAAAGTGTTAAAAAAATCACCCTGTAAAAAATAAGGAGTTAGACAAATTGCTAACTAGACCGTCGATATATCAAATCAATATTAATTTTTTGTTGCAATTTTTAAATTTGTCATTTTGAAAAAAAATACATATTTTTTGGAGTATTTATTATAAGTCGTCTCTATTACTCCCCGGTGGTTGAGAACACTAACGTTCGACGCATGCGCAATGGCTTAAAAGCGTCGCACAGCCGACAATCGCTGTCATCGTCTGACAAATGATGTTACGCGCTAACTCTCTTTCACTCTACCTTAAATATTTATTATCTTTAACAGCCAGTAGCCCTTATTTGCGGCCAGATTTAATTAAGCAACTTTATATGATAATTAATAGAAAAAAATTTGCTTCAATTTGACATATAATTAATAAAAATAGGTTATAAACGTATAATTTAACGAAATCATACCTGTTTACACCTGGCTGCAAAGAGGTGCGGCCATGTGCGCAACGGCACCCGTGATTTTTTAGAATCTTCATATTAATTACCGTGATGTAGACGTTATTTTATTTAAATAATAAATGAACGCAATCCTTTACCAAAAATCAATTAAAAATAATTTAATTAAAAATAATGGCGGCCAAATTTTGATAGGCACCCTAGTAAATATATATTCTCTTTATTATAAATAAACATAAAAATTTGGTTTTAAACAAATAGTCGATGAGCGCACCAATCCTGCAGCGGGATCTTAGACCATTAATCTTACAGCATGTAACTAATATGTATACGTATTGGTTATATGTAACTAAAACAAACCACTTAGACAATATACAAAGCCAAAACAGATTACATAAAGCTGACCTGGCAAACGTCGCTTTGCCATGTATATCATTTATAATAAAAAATAGGGGTTGATCGTAGAGGGGTGAAAATTAGGGGTTGTATGTATTTTTTAATTCTGTATCATAACAATTTTTTTTTTTTATCTAATACTTTAAGAAATAAATTAAGGGTGGACTACCCTTAACATTTAGGGGGATGAAAAATAGATGTTGTCCGATGCTAGCAAGTTAGCAGTTTTGGCTTCAGCTTGCGTCTCTCATCCGTCCGGCATCTCCGAGGCCGTAGGTTCGAACCCCGGCTACGCAAAACTCGCTCGTACGGTGAAGGAATACATCGTGAGAAAGACGGCCTAAGATCCAAAAAGTCGATAGCGTGTGTCACTATTACTTGCCTATTAGAAAGAAAAAAAACGATACAGAAATCAGAGGACATCAAAAGTTTGAAGCACCAATGGTTTTTAAATGCTAAAGAACATTCGCATATTAAAAATAGGCCGTCTGACAAATGCTTTGTGTTTAAAATATCAATAATGCATGCACGATATCCGTGGGAACTCGCGTCGGGACGGCGCGGCGACCCGGGTCACAATAGGTTTCGTTCACACTGTATTAGTTCGCCTTTTACAATTCTTTATATATATAATTCTTCTGTGAGTGTGTATGTCACTGAACTTCTCTCAAACGACTGGACCGATTTTGATGAAATTTTTTGTGTGTGTTCAAGGGGATCTGGGAATGGTTTAGATTCACAAATCAGCCCGCCAGATGGCGCTGCAGTCGGTACTTTCATACTTTGCTTTACTAATTGCTTGAAATATCATGCAGGACAACGTCTGTCGGGTCCACTAGTCTATATATATAAAAATGAAACCCGTTTTCCGTTGTCACGACATAACATGAAAACGGCTTGACCGATTTGTCTGATTTTTTTTTATAATATACCTTGAAGTACGAGGATGGTTCTTACGGAGAAAAATTCAAAAAAATTGAGTGATAGAGTCTAAAAACAACACTTTTCTATATTCCCATACAAAAAATTCGTAATACAAAATATTCGTAATAATACTTAAAAGTCGATTTGAAAAAAGGCAATTTTTGCCGCGCACCACTATTATGTGGAACCAGCTGCCCACTGAAGTATTTCCGAACCAATTCGACTTAGGGTCCTTCAAGAAAAGAGCGTACCAATTCTTAAAAGGCCGGCAACGCACTCGCGAGCCCTCTGGCATTGAAAGTGTCCATGGGCAGTATCACTTAGCATCGTGTTATAAAAAAAAAGCTCTCGGCCTAACTAATGTGATGTAATTCAATTAATTTTTGGCTTCGTAATACTCGCTAAATTGAATAAAAACTAAATTAGACAAATGTTAGAGGTGACTTTGTGTTTTTGTATCGAGGAATTTATATTGTATTGTCTTTTAATTAGACTCATTGAAATTAAAAGGATCGATACATATTTATCGTTTTTAATTCAAACATCACACAAAAAAAAAACTACGACGAGCGAATTTACTTAATGTCCGCTTTTATGGCAAGAAATAAGTTTCATTGGTATTTTTAGTATTATTTATATATACTTTTTTAAATAATAATAATTTAATTTATTGCCAAAGCTAATAAATCAAACATGTATCTTAGGCATCATGTAGGGAGAACTGTATATCAAAAGGCTTTATAGTATTGCTTAGCAATATCAAGAGTTAATTACAGGCAGTCCTCGACTTAGGTCGTTTCGAGTTACGTCGAACAATGTTTTGACGCTATTCCTCAAGCATACGTCATTTGTTTCGATTTCCGGCATATTCATTCACTTGTCTTTTGCAAATTTGGAGAATGCCATGAAAATGTTTGAAGAAAATGATTTTAAATAAATGTTAATAACAAAGTTTGTGCAGCCTATCAGTATTACCAAGATAGTTTCTTTAAGCCAAAAGTTTAATTTATTATTTCTCATTACATATTTTGATTACATATTAAAGTTTTATAATTATTAATAAAATTAATAACACACAAATAGCAAAAATATCTAGCAATTTCATAAGTGCATATATAATTATTTTCAGAACTTACTTTTGATACTAAAGTACGTATATCCTTTGTTATAAATGCAGTTTTTTTTAAATTTTGAGTCCGTGTGGAACCTAACCCTTGAGTTTTTATGTCTCGACTTACGTCGCGGATTTCAATAACCTATCATGCCGTAAGTACAAGTACTGCCTGATCCATAATAAAATTAATTTGTAATACATAATAAATAATCATTTAATATTTAATAATAATTAATAATTTTAATATTTTTTATTATTACTTTGTAGGTTAAGACAATTGTAAATACTATACTTGATTGTAATCAAATAAATTGAGTATTAAAAAAAAAAGATAATATTCCAATGTATATACGATAATACAAGCAGTGTTGGTGTAATGGCTTCAGCTTCCTTGAGGTCGTAGGTTCGATCCCCGCCTGTGCACCAACGGACTTTCTGCCTGTGCGCATTTAACATTCGCTCGAACGGTGAAGGAAAAAATCGTGAGGAAAACGGCTTGCCAATCCAAACAGTCGACGGCGTGTGTCAAGATAGCTGTTTTGTTTTTTGATATTTAATTTTACTTATTCCATATAATTTAGTAGTATTCTACGTCGTCATAGTTCAATGCAGTCCGGTCCGCGTTTTATTCTGAAATTGCTAAGCGTTTCAATATTCTTATGTGCATTAGGAATTTTTCTATACACGGTGCCAGAAAAGTATATTGTCGTTATGGACTTTTTGAATAGAACACACACCGTCTAGAGTTTATGTGTCATTTGTATGAATTGGCATTAAAACTACATTTAATTCACCCATATACCACCAAGCTCCTTTATAGCGATTTTAGTACTGGTATATTCTTTGAGATGTTTGATTGAAACAAACGGGTATCTCTGGGATTATCCAATCACTACGATGACGTAATACTGAAACGCGAGAACGAAGTATTTCCAGCTGAGCATATATAGAACTTGACCTGAGCCAGTCAGTGGCAAGAGTGTTCGGGCATTCTCCTTTTTGAAGCAAGCTTTTGAGAACTTTTTCCTCACTGTTTCTGTTAAAAATTTAAAAATTTTAAGGACAGGGGTTCATCTGATGACACTCACATTGCCAGAGCTCGCAGGTGCGTTGCCGGCATTCTTAAGAATTGGTTTTGGATCCGAAGATGAATGGGTTCGGAAATACTTTAGAGGGCAGCTGATAATATAGAAAAATATTTTCTACTTTAATTAATTCCGTTTGGAATTCCAGTAACGACATTAAAATGACACAAATAATTGTGTAACAAGTCAATAAAGTATTAAAATGACAGCACGCAATGTGTATAAGGGCTCATATACACTTGCCCTCATAATATATACGTAGTTATTTATTCAACAAATATACAGTATTTACAATATAATTAACCTACATAGTAATAATAATAATTTAAAAAAAATAAATAGAAAATTAGAACAAATTTAATAACGTTGGCAGCATTTCCTTACTGTATTGTATACTTATTCGTTTAAGAAAGCTCCAGCTCTAGGGTCACCGATAGTATCGACCAGACGCCAACTTAAATCTTGAATTAGACTATAACTTCAGTTTGACGGTTTTTTATTTGGTAAAAATTTACTCTAATAAATTTTTCCCTAACGCGCCAACAGAAGTAAAACTTCAAAAAAGAATATTATTTCGTACATAATTTGACGACTCATTGGTCTAGTGGTTAGTACCCCTGACTGCGAATCCATGGGTCCCGGGTTTGATCCCCGGCTGAGACGAACATCGATGTGATTAGCATATGTTGTTGTGCTTAGGTCTTGGGTGTTTAGATATGTATTTATTTATCTATCTATAATATGTATGTATATCCGTTGCCTAGTACCCATAACACAAGCTTCACCAGCTTAGCATGGGACTAGGTCAATTGGAGTGAATTGTCTTTAAAAAAAAAAATTATTCGAAGTTGACCTGTGAAACAATAATGGGTCGATCGATACAGAAGGATCGATTTCTAGCCTATAAATACAAAACAAATATTAAATTAATTTCTAAGAACAGATAATAATGTTTGTGAAGAAATAACACGCGTAGACAGTGTGTAACACCCCTGAACATAAGGGTAGGCTTCGCACACGAACCAATTATTTCGATATCATGACAATAAAATTTCACGTAATGTCTGTGTGCCCTAGAAACCTACAAAATACGACAAAGCCCTGGAATTAACTTAACATTAATCATTTTCATTTCCTATCTTTATATATATTATAATTCTTCTGTGAGTGTGTATGTCACTGAACTTCTCTCAAACGACTGGACCGATTTTGATGAAATTTTTTGTGTGTGTTCAAGGGGATCTGGGAATGGTTTAGATTCACAAATCAGCGCGGCAGATGGCACTGCAGTCGGTACTTTCATACTTTGCTTAATATCCTAATCGCTTTAAATATCATGCAGGACAACGTCTGTGGGGTCCACTAGTATAATTATAAACCATAAAGAAATTATAGAAAAGACACATGGAGTACTGTTCTCACCTCTAAGCGGGAGCGCCCCAGTACCAGCTCCTTCCACTTGAACGTATTCAACGAAGAGCGGTTCGAATCGCCGACGACCAGTCACTTTCTAAGTCAAATCAAGACCACCTCAAATGGCACTTTTGACTGTCAAATAAAATATAAAGAAGATTCTAGTTGCCCCTTCCAAAAGGGTTTCGTGTGGAGAAGAATGGGCAAGAAACTCCACACTTACTCTTTTAAAATAGGTTTACAATATTTTGCATACATTAGTAAAATAATTATATGTGAAGACGATGTATTCCGAGAATAAAACTACTATACTAAAAAAAAGTAAGTATACATGTTCCTCACATATTTACAAATATCGAAACCGTAGAATAGTATACATTAAAGAGTAATAAAAATGAAAAAAATACAATAAAACAGTGTGTGAGATAAAAATAAAATAATTAAATTTTGTAGTATTATATAGTAAAAATAACAAAAATATGTAAAAGCAAAAAATCAGCAACCAATTTGATTTTGTCCAGGCTCTATGATTTGCTCGGATTAATACCTGCAGCTGAGTTTCGTAAAAACTTTCAAAAACGTACCAATTCTTATCACTTAGCATCAGGTGAACCTACTGCCCGTTTCTATTAAAAAAATCTTATTCGAACCAGACATTCCCGATATCTGTGCGATAAACAATCGCATACAATATTTAATAATTAGTGTGGATATATCTTGTAGACTCAAAAAGTCGACTGTGTGTGTCAGGTACAGATGGACAGCTACTTGCCTATTAAAAATGAAATCTGCCCTGCCCCTCCTTTTCAGAATGCCAAGTTATAAAATGACTGCTTCACGACTGATTTGAGAGCGACCGCCGATGCGAAAACCGCTCTGTGAGTGTGTAAAAAGTGAGTTACAGAATCGCAGGGCTGGGGCCCAGACCAAAAACGATTTATTAAATCTTGTCTATATTATAGTTTCGGATATTTAATTCCACAAAATAAATCGCAAAACATGTTGCTAATTTTTATTGATTTTTCCTTTGGAAGGTGTTTTCTGGAGAGGAAACAATTTTTCTACTTAGTACTTAGATTTTAATTTCGCAAAAGCGTCCGCAAAAAAGTATCTATGGGGTAGCATACCAAAGTATTCCATATGTTGGTATGTACTGAAAAGGTAGGCTAAGTAAAAAAAACATATTAAGGCGAAATGACGTTCGCGGGGGCAGCTAGTACTTCATTAAACTAATCAATGCATTTTTATCTTAAGTACTCCAACATCTCTTTCTGTCAAATTGTGTATCCAATGTGATAAAAAGAGACAGATGAGTGAAATAAAACAGTGCAATTGTATTTTATTTATTTATGAGTAAAATTTTGTTTCAGGATTTATTTCCCGAAGAAGTTCTGACAGTACAACTTGGAGTAGGAATAGCGATGCTCAGTATATTTTTTGTCTTCATATCTGTCATGGGACTCTATGGTTCTATTAATTGCTCAACATTTCTATTGTTTATGGTGTGTACTCTTTGTCTATATGTATTATTATTCACGGAATACATGAATCAGAAAACAATAGCACTGAGCTTATTATAGTGTTGTGTTGTTTTTAAGATTGTACCACCTTAACATTTTTGTACCTTATTCTTGCAATAAATAAATTATTATTATTATTACTAATAACTTTAACATTCGCTTGGATAAAGGTGGAACTTTTGAGTAACAGAAAAATGTTTCCAAAGAATATAATGCAACATAATAAAAATTCAACCTCAAGAAGAAATTTGAACAATTATATAAGTTACGATTAACAAATAATTTTTCAGTATGCAGCGCTTGTGTTACTCTTGATGCTATTGGAATGTGCCGTTTTCTTCTACTTTACATCAAATGCTGAAAAAGTAAGTCAGAACATTTTATCGCGTCATTTCGATTTCACTAAAAGGGCCTTAGGAACATCTCCGTACCTCAGATGAACAGAGGCGGTTCACCAGTGGTTAAAGGAAGACATCGTGAAGAGACGTGATACACAGGCTGATCTTCTACTTATATATTAAGAAATTGATCACAAAACATACAGTGATCTGGTAAACCCTAAAAGGGTGTCGCGTTTTTATTTATATCATATCGCGTTTTTCTCGAAATAATGAACAGACTACTAGATTAATATCTCCACTTGCTACGGTTTTGACATCTCTCGCTCCATCCACTTAGATAACATTCACATTCGGTAACTACTAACTTGTCTCTTCTCTATTACCTCCTGGATTTGGTTCCTGTCCAACAATACTGTAACATAACTGTTGGGTACGCCCAACCCGATTTCACCATTTAACAACCAGATTCCGTCACCCCCCTTTCAATCAACGTTCATTTAGAAGCATGCTAGAGATACATTCCTTCGTTATTGACATCCCCGGTGCACGATTTGAATCGTCATCGAAAGGAGTAGATCACCTTGCCCCCTTCTATATTTCCATTCCTTCCCTAGACAGTTTAATATGGCTTCATTCAGATGGTTAAATTGGCATCTCCTGGACAGACGTGCCCTAATAGGCCATATCTCAAATAATATCAGATGGGAGATTAGATAGATAGATTCGAGTCGACTAAAACGTCACCATATTCTAGAGCTAGAAGACCGGCAGTAGCTCTAGACAGAAGATGAGTAGATGCTTCCAATGGGAAGTCACTCCACCTGACAATACCACAGAAAAAATTCGCTCATAGCCTTGGGGCTGATTGCAAATAACCGCAAAAAAACAAAACAACGGGAGCACTCCGGGAGTGCCGGCAGAAGTGAAAACTTCAATATTAACGTTGTGTTTAATTATAAGTATAAAAGTACTATCATTTATGAGGTAGAATACAATGTTTATTTATTGCGCTATCGTACACAAATATGACAATTTATATGTTGTTCATTATAATATTATATCGTTATTTATATATTACATTAAATTTTATCTCTCAGAAAAATCAACTTCCATCCATAATTTCGACGACTTTTACACCATCGTTATTATCAGAATCATCATCGCAAATTTTTACAACTGATACAATTGGTTTATGATAACTGAAGTAAGAAACAAACAGTTTTGATTCGAACCTATTTAAGTGTCTAATAAAGACCGTACTCATTTGCTTTCACTACTTCATCATCACTTTTTTCATTAATAGATTCACTTTGTTCGATTTCCATAATTTAAACAATTCACATTTACGAATACACAACAGTCAAGCAATCAGCTGTCACCATCCTTGGATACGCGTGGGACGCTGTACATAAACACACACGGTCATTCGCGCAAGCGCCCTGTGCCGCCTAAACAGAGCAGCACACTCAGGCACGGTAGAAAGAGTGGGAGATACTAGTTCCTCTCCCTTCCCCTCGATCTTACGCTTTTTCGATCAGCATCACGTGACCCTGACGCAAGTTTGAAAGTTTTTACCCATACAAAAAGTGCTCAGCGCCGCTAAAGAAGTTTTCACTTCAAAAAAAGATAGATTAGAAGAGCTTGTAACATAGAGCTGTAGATAAAGCATTATTAAATAAATAAATAAATAATGTAGTTTAAATTTTATGTTGGAGAAAATATATATACAATAAAGAATAATATACGCTTTAAGCATATAATACGTTTTACTTCAGAAAGGTGTCCAAGCTAGTGACGGAGCATTGGGACATACATTACGACTGGCTTTGCGTTGTTGTGACAAGTATGTATATTTTTTTATGTTACAGAAGGCAAACGAGCTGGCCTTATGTTAAGTGATACCGCCGCCCATGGGCACTCGCACTCGCCAGAAGGTTTGCAAGCGCTCTGCCGGTACGCTATTTTCTTGAAGGACCCTGTCCTTAAGTCGAAAATACTTTAGTGGGCAGCTGGTTCCACATAGTGGTGCGCGATAGAAATTTTAACGTTAAAAAAACGCTCAGTTGTGGAACGACGGACGTCAAGGTGATACGGATGGTATTTTGTATTCTGCCTTGACGTCCGATGATGGAACTCAGCTGCAGGTATTAGTCCTAACAACTCTTCTGAATAAATCTAAATCTAATATTACCAGGTATGCTCTAAAAATTGCAGAAAAACGTCTCGAGTATTTAAATTTCTTATATATGGTCCCCAATTATATTTTATCTTTTACTATTCTTATTCGTTGAGGAAAGCACCAGCTCGTCACCGGCGTCACCGGTACTATCTACCAGGCGTCAACTTAAATCTTTAATTAGCGCCTGTGTAATAAATTCAATAAACCACAAATTACCGTTAGCTTTTATCGATTATGTTTAAGAACAAATAACTTCATTTATATTTTATACATGACCTGACATGTGTTGCACCCTGCTTTTCGGGAATTTCTATTTATAGTTGCGTTTAGTTCCAAATTCAAGCAGTGTCGGGCGTCGGCCTGGTGGCTTGAGCAACTCACATCGCTAAAATAGGTTTGAACGGTTGTGTAATGGACTTTTCTTTGGTGAACGGTGACTTGCCTACGAAGGATGTTTAATCAAGCTGTCAAATAAAGCTTTTCTTTGTTCTATTTTTCTGCTAAAGAACATATATGCAGTCTCTTCCATGAGAACTTGGAGAAACTGAACTGTTACCAAAACACAGAATTCAAAAGATCACGTGGCGGTTCAGCAACCAGATGGACCGATCAAGTGAAAGACTCATCGTCCTCATCACACTGTCATAAGAGAGGCGCTCAACGCACAACCGGTGGAAACAGATTGTCAGCTTCAGATGCTTCTTTGACGACAACGGCGCTCAGACATGAGCTGCCGACTGAGGAGGAGTGACTTCCATATGAGATCCATATAGATTTTTTATGAAAATTCATCAGATTATATTTCATTATTTTCAGCGTTTCTGATAGCATGCCTTGGTCGTGTTGTGGGACCAAAAATTGTTCGCGAGAAATTAGTTTTAGCAAAGTAAGTGAGGTTTTGATTATATTTATCCACCCGTGACAGTAATGTTATTTCATTATTACTTCGATTTCTTAATCCTTTTTTCTGTTTTTTATCTCTAATTTAATAAGTTTGTATTAATATTATCTATATTAGTTACTGTGGCAGTTCGTCACAATTTCTCAGGCGCTGCACTACGTGCTGTTAATAGTATTTTTAATTATTATTTAAAGTAATTATAATTTTACATAAAAAAGTGTAAAAAAGCACTGCAACCTTGATAAGCACTTTGGACTCACTATTATAGTTTCTAAACCCATCAATTTTTTTTTTTAGAACAAGGTAAACGGACAGGAGACCCTGATGTTAAGTGACACAGCCCATGGACACTCACACTGTCAAAAGGCTCGAAAGTGCGTTGCCGGCCTTTTAATTATTGCTACGCTCTTTTCGGAGAAACTCTCACCTACCAATCAGCCCGAAACCACAGGCCATGATTGGGGCTTGTGACCCGTGACCCTTAAATACCTTGATGAACTGCCCATCTAAAGTGGTGGGGCCTTTATTTCTCTGAGATGCAGAGAGTCCTGAGTGTAAGGCCCGGCCACGGTCCTAAGTGAACACGACCTTCGGCCTAAGTGGCAGTGGCATAAACGGCGTAAGCGCATTTTCACCTCGTAAACAAATCATTCTTTACGAGGACCAAGAGACCTCACTGGGTCACGGAGACTTTAAAGCCGGAAACTCTCTCGCGAGCCTTATAATATATAATAGTATAATAAACATAATATATATAATAATTGCTGGGGGGGTCGCTGCCGAATATTATTTATTCTTTTCTGAATAGTAGGTACTTACTTCTCAGTATCTTCAGAGTTGTTTGGGTTGATCCCTCCTGCCTCGTTTCAACACCGTATTAACTTTAGATATTATCCGTATCATTGTGATGGCTTGAAGTCTTCCGCTTCTCAAGACATTTAGTCAACTAGCGAACTGTGAAATCGGTTCCCGGTGGAATTCTTCCCTGGGAGATACGTCCTCTAATTGTTTAAAAAGAGAGCATACCTACTCCTCCCTCAAAGGCCGGAAACGCACTCACTAAAACGGGTGTCTATTGTACGCGATGTTTGCCTCCCTTCCCTATAAAAATCTATGTATTTTAAACAGTATTTTTTTTTTCAAATATAAATATAATATGTAGTTAATTGAGATTAAAAAAAAAAAAAAAAAGGCTTCATTTTTAGCTTACATCAGCTTAATTGCACAATTAAAGCACTTTTTCATCTCTTTCTGGCTAATTAACATCCGCTGAGACGAAAAGAGATAAATTAAGTAAAAAAATGATTTCTATTAAATTAGTCGAAATATTTTAGAATTGCAAGGACGCGATGTCAGACTGGCTCCACCATTACGGAACTATAGTCTATGGTTCGCTAATAGCATCTCATGTGATATTGTCGTCCTGCTCACTCCTACGTCGTGCGAACAGTGCGTCCCGCGCGCACACCTAGCGATCGCAGCGCCATTTTGGCGGTAAGTTATTTTTCATACATTATAGAATTGCTTATATTTATGGTAAAATTCAGTGGAGACGACTGTGTGAGTGACTGCCGTCAATTAATGCCTTAAAAATATAAGAGTAGTTATGCATATAATTCTTATTTGCCTTTTAGTCAAACAATAAATCAGTGACGCTACAACCTTTTTAGGTCTGGAACTCATATTTCTGAATCCGTTTCATGATCATTTGTCAATCTAATAGGCAAGTAGGTGATCAGCCTCCTATACCTGAGACACACCGTCAACTTTTTGGGACTAAGGCAAGCCGGTTTCCTCACGATGTTTTGAAATTCTTACTAAAGCTTCGTAGTTGTATACTAACGTGGGTCAAGCACTGGAGGCTGTTCACCTGGTTTATAAAAAAGAATTAAAAAAAGACCTAGACGTTGGAGCACCACAATTAAAAGAACTTCAATATTTCAGCTAACCAGAGAAGATGCGCCCGCGTCGGGCCGGAGGATGATGACGTTATGATGGTCGTGTTGGGGAGAGGTCGGATAGGCTGGGTCGATAAAGAAACCTAAATATAAATTGCTAATATATAATGTAAAGGCCGGCAACGCACTTACGAACATTGTCTTCAAGTGTCTATGGACGGTGGTATCACTTAACATCAGCGGAGCCCGCTGCCAATTTACCCCCTGTTCTTTAAAAAAAAATTCGTAAAAGGCCGGCAACGCACTTGCGCTTTTGTTGGCAATGTCTATGGGCGGCATAAAATATTAAATTACCCTACTATCCGTAATATAAAAAAAACCATAAGTGTTTTTACAATAACTTACGCTGGAATTGCAGAAGTAGTTCTTATCTATTCTTCTTCAGACGCGCTCTTCTTTTCTTGTGTTAGTGTCACCGCATTTCCTTGCACCCAGTCTTTCTTAAGTGGCAAGCTTCAACATGTGGCTGGTGGTAAGACTTTACTTGATCGATCCAGCAAGTAGGTCTACCTACCCTCGACTCACACAATAGGTATTTCTAAATTTTCTGGACCTTTACATGTCCAAAATTCAGGACTTGTCTTACTTGTAACCGTCTTAGTATACCCATACCAAAATTTAAATACTTGCGATTTGTCTTAGAGTCTGGCTAATGAAAGTTGATACTGAAAAATCGCGGCAAATTTAAAAAATATTAGCATGGCAGCCCTAAAGTAAAAAGGAAAGTTGGAACAACTCACTTTGATACTTTGACTTTTATTTTACTAGTGGATGCTTGCAATTTTGTCCGCATTATGAGGAGATTAAAAGTAGCTTATATCACTTGTTAACTCTTTATTAACTCCATACCAAACATCACACGGATACGTCACTCCATTGTGGCGTATTAAAGGAACAAACAGGCTATCAAACACTATCATGAGTATCAATATTATCATGAGTTTAAATATTTGTAAATCTATGTGAGTATCCTCAAGACTATCTGTAAAAGAACAATAACATTATCTAAAGTAACTAAAACTAATATGTACTTATTTAAAATAAAAAAAATATCAAGACATTTTGACCGTACTAACTTTAGTGTTGTCATATAAAAAGTTTGCAAAAAAATCCAGTATCTGCTTTCGTTAGCCAGACTCTATGAGAATTAGTCCCATAAACAATTTAAGCGTTTTTTAATTCTGTGGTTTGTAATACCATTTCTTGATGATGGAGCAATAGCTGAACGCATCATCTCCAAGGAACAGTTATAATGTACGTTCTATATACTTCGGTCTGTTCAGAAATTGAAAGGCGAATTCAACATACTTGGAACAAGTTCTGGAGTCTAAAGGAAAATTCTAGAAGCAATATGCCAGTAAAACTTCAAACCATTTTTTTTATGAGGTGAGAATGCGCTTACGCAGGCCCACACCATACGTCGGGCTTGACGCGGGGACTGTGGGGTTCTTATTATTTAGTATAGACAAAAATTTGTGTGATTTATTATATTTTAATAAATTATAAGTTTACTTTGATATGGCAAAAAATAAAAGGCGTTTTATTTTATTATTAACTTTTGTCCCACAGGAATAATCAGGGTAAATCAATATAAAATCATATTTTTTAATGTTTCTTTTTTCAAATAGAAAAATTACCAACTTTTGAGACATTTGCAGCGATTAACTCCCTTATAATAAATCAATATAATACGACTCTAAGTACACGGTCTCTTTCTGTCAAATTGTGGTAACGCTGTGATGAAAAGGGACAGATGGGTTAAAAATTGGATATATTTTTCTAAAGGAAACATGTTTTATTATTAATGACTGTTAATAATTAAATAACGTATATAATAGTAACGAGCTGTGTATAAGGTCATGTGGAACTTTGGTCGGCAATATTTCGTAGCAAGCATAAATATTGCCGACTCTCACACCCTTTACCGGATGGATGGAAGTAATTAAACAGTTAAAAATAATTATTTAATATGAGACAATTTGTCAGGTCTTTACTCTCTGAGATCGATACACGAGCCAAAATATCTAAACTAGTAATATTTAAAAAGCAGTAGATATAATAGACAGAAAGTCACAATGAGAAAATAAACAACTTTTAGTGTTTATTTCTTTATAACTTCTTGAGACAGATATTTAGTATTATTAATCTTAATTTATTTATGGATTAACATTTTATTCCATTAAATAGTTGGTACATATACATTCAGATAACATAAATTAAGGAGTCAACAAGATTATCGCTAACAAGCGATCTCTTCCAGGCAACCCTTGTAAGGAAAAGGAAATAGAAATATATTATGTTTATTATGGAACAAAAGATACAGGTCACTAATAGTAAGGAGATAACAATGTAGACTTATACAATTACAAATCCTAAATAAAAACTGTAAGCTAATCTTAAGAGTCATGAATCACAATAAAAGGTTCTAACATTGTATTGTATAGTGAAAGGATATGGGTTAGGTGTTTTATAGAAGTCTTTTAAAAGACGTTAGAGGTTTCTAATCGTATAGAATCGGGGAGCGTATTCCATTATTTCATGGCGCAGATCCTAAAAGATGCCTACGACAAATGATCTGTGAGAAGGAATTTCCAAAACGCTACGTCTCACCTCACCTCTATAAGAGGTGCGTAGTGTATAGGACTCAAGAATTTAAATTCATTTCTAAGGTGAGAAGTTCTGGGATTGAATATACAATAAACAAAAGAAAGACTTCTACAGATTTTTTTTATTAATGCGCGCTGATTAATTATTTTTTGACAGCCAGTAACGTTTTCATAAAATGTTCGTTATTATTCTGTTTGGTTACCTATTTACTAAAAATATGTCCTTGCTACCAGATCAATTAATGTTAAAAAAAACTATGTTCCGAATTCAAATTACTATTAATTTTGATCCCTAATTATGGGGATTTAATATAAAAGATCTTGCTACACTAGTATTACTCTTTTATACACAGAAAGGGGTGCTAATACGTCAAACTCAAGGTAAAAGTGCATGAAAGTTTACATTCTAAGATTCAAATAAAACAAATTTTATTTAAAAAACCTTTATTTTAAATGTAAAACCGAAAACAAAATGAAACACAACTTAATTTAAAACTACACTGGTACCATTTTTAAACATAAATAATTGCGATTTCGCTGATTCGTGCAAAAAATCACAAATTATTATGTATTAAAAACAAAAAAACATATACACAATAATTTCTGTTGTTCATATAAAATTAATTTCAACAAAGAATGCAACAGATGCTAAATGTTATACCATCTGTCAAATTGGCATTTGTGATATGAAATGTCATGAATGTCCCGCGGATTCTGATTGAATAAATTCAATACCACACATTAATTATTTCTTAGACGACATCTTCAAAACTGACTTTTGATACGTTTGGGTTTAATTAGAATAGTAACTATTATAATATTTTTGTAGTGATAAAACAACTAGGATAATAATAGTATTATGTCAAACGGAATGATGGAGCTGTCAGAAATTATACACTATACACTGTTCTGTACACTGGAATGTCAACTGTCTAAAGAATTGCCATTTTCATTTTATTACGGCGCTGCCAACTAGCTTAATAAGCCGTACAATCGACAGCCTCTGTACAAAACAGCGCCGTTTAACTAGCGGCCTGAATGAAAAAATAAACTGGCTGGCTAATAACTTAGGCCATTCGTACGGTAGGATGACCATGTGACAGAAATAAGAAAGATGAAACGTTTGACATAAAAATGATTATCTAATATATTTAAAATTTAACATATTACTGTTCTTTAGACATCATGCGCGACGCCATATTGACAGTTTGAAAAGTTTCGACGCTAGATGGCAGAAATTGAAATGGACAGGGTAACCAAGTAATGAAATGTCATCGATTCAAGTTATTTAATATTTGCCTAGCTATTTGATCAAATAGCTGAATATCCAGGCTGTTGATTGAACGGCTAATTAAGCGAGTTGGTTGCGATAAATACCGTGATAAGCCTATTTATTTATTAAAATGAATGACATTGTTTAATTTAAACTCTAAGAGAAAGAGAGTTGAGAATTAGCGTCATGTATGAGTCCTGTATGTCAAAAACTTATTGGATTTTGACAGTTAAGAGAACGTAACTTTGCAGTAAGCCTCGACTCTCTCTGAATCTCGCTAAGACAAAATACAAAAAAACATATTAATAAATAACATATCTAGTCATAATAGCCATGAGGACAAATGTGACATAGCTGTAGTAGCTCTTAGCTCCATTTCCTGGGGCAGATGATGTACAGGAGTCGAGATGCTGGAACAACTCGTTATAGTTACGGGACGGTTCGTTTGCCGCTGTACTGGATGGCTCTGATAAGCCAACTGCTGTGTTTTTGAAGAGGAGGTCGTTCACACCTGAGGAAAAATCTTGTTACTATAAAAACTATATAATAAGCTGAAAAACCTCATGCGATGCGCAGGAGTGAGGGCAAACTGGTTTTCAGCAGGGACATCGAAGGGACGACTCATATTTAGTCTTAAAAACCGATAGTCGTAACAGCCGATGACGTTGTTATTAAGAACCTAATACAATAGAATTCAGCCGGGACCTTTGCTTTTGGTCAGTAGGTACGGTATGTCGTCGTAAACGGTTTTGACTGTATTATGAAATTTGTAAATTTATTTATGAAATTTTAATATAAGTTTAAAAAGGCAAAGTACCTTTATAGCGTGGGAGATCATTTAGATTTTAGACCATAACTTTTGACAACGGTTATAAATAACTTAACTGTTCTTATTATTATGATAATTAGGTAATATTACATTTGCATGCATATTTTTATATTTATTTTTAATTAATCAATCTGAATGTACCACTCTCTTTGCAAATAAACAATTTATTATTATTATATAAAACAAATATCCTCTGCCGCATCTGTATATCTGCATGTTCGCGATAAAAACAGAGTCATGACAGTTAACGTCAGCTGTTAGGGCAACCATTGCAATTTTTGTGAAAATTTGCCGAATCCAGGAACCTAGCTCGCGATGTCAGGATGTCCAGGAAAATGCAACCAGACAGTAATGCGATTCGCTGATTTTTATATACTTAATTATTTTAGAAATAAGAGCTAACCGCTCATGGGCCAACAACGCCTTTTAAAATGTGATTAAGATCTTAATTATTTTTCTAAAATTTAAAATAACATTGATTCAATGTTTTATTTATTGCTGTGAAGAATTCGCGGAACTTAACCTACGTTAAATTAAATACTAAAAGGTAAACATGATACATCTTCAGTTCGTGGCAATTCATATAATAAATTATGATAAAATGAGAGTAAAGTTTTTTAAGGTTCTTACATAAAAGCTTTATGTAATGTAGAAAACATTAGAAAACTTTTATGTTAACCTAACTACGGGTTTATCGATTTAAAGAAAGGCTTGATGGGCATGTAGAAACCAATAAAGACTAATTGAGGCAAATACACCATGCTTAATACTTAATAACTATTGTAACAGAATACTTAAAAGCTATAAATATGATTAACAAAGCAAGAAATAAAATGACAACATTGCAATATTTGGAGATTGCTCTTGAATTAGAGGGGAAAATTTATTGACTAACATCCTAGGAATACCAGATTAAGAACCTAGAATGTTTCTACCAAAGTGAATAGCAATAGGGAATTGTTTTAATATCCATATGTGCTATTTCCCCAAACCTATCATTACGTTTGAAAGCTGATAAAATCAGAATTGCTATTGAAATTACGGGGTATGCTAAGGTTTCAGTGACGTAACAATAGGGTGGCCAGGTCCCCGACCCAAGAGGGCCCCTGCCCAAGAGATATTATGTTTTTTATTTATTTATTTATTTATGGATGAATGTGAAGTCTCCAATACGTATTGGGCTAGCGTGGGGACTACAGACCATTTCCTCTCGCCTCAGAGAGGAGGCCTATGGCCATTAGTGGGACATATAAAACGTGTAATTGAGTACTCTGAAAATCTCGAAGTTTATTCAAATTAAACCGAGTACGTGAATATTTTTACTGATAGGGTCCCATCAAAAGAATTTGCCACGGTCCCCAGATGGTATAGTTACGCCACTGATTACTTTGACCCGATTTGTTTATTATATTCATGAATAAATAAAATTATTATATTCATTTTTATTCGATTTTGCAATACTTAATAACTAGATAAGGACATGTTCTTACCATCGAGAGGTGAGTAAATCGCTAAATTGATGAGTTGGGTCGATGTGGCCGCGTTGTATCCAAAGTGTAAGTCAAGAGTGTCCAGCAGAGCGTTCAAGCTGTTAAAGAGAGGGTCGTTTCTGAAACAGAATTGTATAATTGTAATTTTGTTCAAACATCAATGTTCTTATTAATTAGATACTTTAAGCCTGAGTCAGTTAAAGAATGCTTATGACGTTTACGAGTCACAGATGTGATATATGTGCCAAAACATAATATAATAAAGACTAAATAGCTAGTTAAGAACGTTTTAATTTAGAAAAAGAATATAAATATAAAAATTGGACCAAACAAATTTCGTTTCAAATTAATCTTAGAACGAAAGTGCAATTTCCGGAATTACTTTTCCGTCTCCGGGTACATACTACATATCCTACTAATATTATGAACGCGAAAGTTTGTAAGTACGGATGGATGTTTGTTACTCTTTCACCTAAAAACTACTGAATGGATTTTAATGAAACTTTACAATAATATAGCTTATACATCAGAATAACACACACTATAAATTATAAGATATGTGTGAATTTTCCAAAATATAAAGAAAGTAGGAAAAAATCTACCAGCTATTCTGGCGTGCACTGCCAAAACCGCTAGAGTTACATATATATTGAGTTAATATATGTAATGTATGATGGAAATGTTTATCTTAAATAGTTATACAAAAAAATCTTCTTATGTGTAAGCCATTATAGCCAAAATAGTTAACCATAACTACAATAAAAAAATGATAATTTATGTATTTCTAATGCACATTTGGTAGTAATAAATTGATTCCTATATGAAAATATATACTTTTTTCGCTTTATATAAAATAAGCGAAACTCATAACTCACCTTCGTGACAAGACCTCGGAGTCGACAACATCAGCGAGGAGACAGTTCGAGTCGACCGAAACACCAGTCGACAACGCCAAGGTATTGTTGCGACAGAGAACGCGAATTTGTGATGCTTCAAGACCCGCCGCTCGTAAATTAGCTGGAAACATTTAAAATTGTATATTCCTGTATGAAGATAATGAACATAACATCACAAGTCAGGTTATATAAAAAGAAATACAAGTTATAATTGAGAAATTACATAACATTTTTAACTCAGAAACAGTTAATATAAAGATTTTATCCTTGTGTTGTAAAGTCCATTTAAAAGGGTCACCATCACGGTAATATCAATGCAAACATGAATAAGCTGTTGTCAGTGGACTAACTGTCATAATAAAACTAATTTATTATTAGAACAAATTTATTTATTATTTCAAGCACAAAAGCTAGCCGCTAGGCGGAAAATATTAATCGGCTCAAATATAAAAGTCTTTCTCCAACTTTGATGGGGATAAAATCTTTAATTAGCGCCTGTGCACATGAACCCCACGTTTTTGTAAGCCTGGTAGATACGACCAGAGTTGTATTGTTTTATTTTTATTTATTAATTTTTAATTATTATTATAATTAATTACTGTGTACATTAAGTATATTGTTATTACCATAATATTTACTTTAGTCTCGCGAGTAATTAAATTACACTCACCATCGATATTCTCTAATTCCACAAACGCTACATCACTGTCTGGATCAGCTAAACAGGCCACTGCACCTGCGTTGCCATAGTATTTGTTGGTGGAATCGTAGGAACAGATTTCCGTTGCTGGAATTTTATTGAATCTATTAGGTACTTCATCATGTAAATACTAGTATGTTAAGTTTGGTAGTCCCAACTTAAATAATATTGAAAGCTAAAGGCATAAGAAAAAAAAAGTTCGAACACATGTCAGAAGTGAAACTTCTTTGGCAAACTAATTTTAAACTCTTGTTCATATTATACAATTCTAAAACTTTAGATTTCCGAGACTTAGAGGGAAGGAAAAGGGAAGATATAATGTATACCAATAATAAATTTAACTGTTTAATTTATTTCTTTGATAATAACACAATTTGTCATTTGAGATTTCAATAAATTATTTTGCATAAAATATAAAATACTAATATTTCATAAATTCTCTTTACGTAATTATAATTTTAAAAATATAATTTATATACGGTAATTCACCCTTCTCACTCTCTCTCAATCGGTTTCAATCGCTCTCTCCCTTTTCTTCGACAAAAACGCTGCGCATCTTCGGGAGGTTTCGTAAAAAAAATTCCCCTCATTCGTCTAAAGAAGTTTCACTTCAAAAATTACAGCAATTACAAATATCGCAAAACAAAAATTACAGACGATATAGTAAAACAAGAATAAAGAAAAATTAAGTCAGGTGCGAGTAGAATTTGTCCATGAAACGTTCTCACTGGTCTAGTGGTTAGTACCCCTGACTGCGAATCCATGGGTCCCGGGTTCGATCCCCGGCTAAGACGAACATCGATGTGATGAGCATTTGGTGTTGTGCTTAGGTCTTGGGTGTTTAAATATGTATTTATATGTCTATCTATCTATATTATAATATTATATTATAAATTATTATTATTATATGTATGTATATCCGTTGCCTAGTACCCATAATACAAGCTTCACCAGCTTAGCATGGGACTAGATCAATTGGTGTGAATTGTCTTTAAAAAAAATAACACCTGTGGCACTCGGGGACTGCCGCGATAAAGCTATTGCATATCATTTTTTATAAACTTACGCAATATAATTATTTATTTATTTTTTCACGCCTATCCGACCACGCTAAACCGATGTGAGACACAGTATGCGTTCTGTCCGCTCTAACGCGTATTGACCGGACCTAGGTCATTGTGTCTTAGGTTTATTTCGTTACGGAATTTCTTGATTCGGTCGCCGTGCTCAAAGCCCGCGATACAATGTATGCAATAGCTTAAAAAAAAATAACAGCAGTTCAAACTATTAAATTGTTTTCTTTAAAAGGGAACATATGAAAGTTTCTTGTCATTTTCAGACCTACCTTTGACACCCCGTACGTACACACTAATTTTTTATGTAGAAACCGTATATCGGTTAACAAAATACCTATCAAGTTCAGTTGTGTAGTCAAATAGTCAAATAAGGTGGCTGTGGTATACTGATGGACTGGCATGAAGAATCTGTATGGATCCCTTTTGCCGTTCGGTTAAAGAACTCTAATGATTATTTTTCCGACCCAAATATCGACCAATAGAATTGCACCATTCGACGTCACGTGGTACAACCTACATGGTATTATACTGATAATTTTTTGAAAATTTTCTCTGGTAGTTGCTTCAAGAAAAGTATTAAGTAGTTGTTTTATTCATTATGAAATTCTTATTTGTTAACTGTACATTTCGTCTCATGGTGCAATTCTATTGGCCGACATTTGGGTCGGAAAAATAATCCCCCGAATACCACACGAGCTTCAAAATTATCTGGCATTTCCCTCAAGGTTCCCTGCAAACAAATAAAGTCGTCAAGTTTTTCAGGTTAAAAAATTTTTTAACCTGAAAAACTTGACTCCTTCATTTGTTTGCAACGAACCTATCGGGAAATACCCGATAATTTTGAAGCTCTTGTGGTATTATAAGTGAAAGTCGCATTCATATTCTATGTTACACACATGTAACCAATTAGTTAAACGTTCTAAAAATATCTTAAGGAGCCGATAATGTAAGTCTTAGATAAAACTTACCTTCTGGGGCTACGCTGACATTAGCTGGTTTGCACAAAGAACAGAGAGGCTTGACATCGTAATCCTAAAAAAAAAAATTTGTGCACATTGAAAATTATTTCATAGATAATTTTTTTACAATTTATTACATGACCATGGATACAAGTCTTTTTGCCGAAATAATAGAGTGCAATTTTGACTGAAGATAACGATAGCAAAAATGTAAATATCTAAATTACTACATACAATTGACTTCTACAATTCTTTTTTCCACAGTGCTAACAATAAATTTACATAGCAGCCCTGCGATTCTGTAACTCACTATTCGAACTCACACAGCAATAAACTACAAGCTCCCACCTTTTCAGAATGCCAAATCATAAAATGACTGCTTCATGACTGATTTGAGAGCGACCGCCGATGCGAAAACCGCTGTGTGAGTTCGAAAAGTGAGTTACAGAATAGCAGGGCTGATTAAAAATTATGGGGAATATGTATTATATTGATCAAATCAGATACATAACATAATATCCAATGATTATCTTTGTTTAAAAGATGCAAACGGACAGGAGACACGTGTAACACATATTTGTGTAAAAATAGCCAGCCCCCGATTACGCAATGAACTACACTGTTCCGTTCTGTCCGTTTCTCGTGCGAGTAGTTTGCCATTTTTGTAGAGGAAGTAGACTTATTAAAAACTTACAGATGTAGTGATAACATGTGACGCGTTGAGCGCTCCGGGTGCGCACGCGCCGCCAAAGAACTCTCCAACCGCGCGGGCGTAGTCGCATTCTGAGCGAGAGATCACGTCGCGCTCTTGCGCAGCTCTGATGAAGGCTACGTATGCTGAAATGAATGTTTTAAATGTATTCTGTGTATTGGGAAAACCTGCCACGAACAAGGATGGTGTAATATTTATTCAAGTCAAAATTAATGGCAAAATTAATTCAATATAACAAGTGTAGCTCTTCTAGCGTTTCTCTCATCCGCTCACAATTCCAGCAGTCTGCTAGGTAAAATTCTTAGATCTTATTATACAAACTACGAGAATGCGGATTTAACAGATGCGTGAAATGCGTGGTTAGCATCCGTCCAAAGATTAAATTTGCCTTCAAAGGAGCTGGGATGATCTTTGTAATTCGGAATTCCAAAACTCACACCAGAATTGCAGACCGCGCCTTGGGGTCTAGGGAAACCGGACATTGGCACCATTTTGGATCCTGAATCACTTCGCAATGCCATCAACCTCCACTTAGGAGTGCCCATATGTACCCCCCATAAGTGTCCCTATGGCTTTGAAGTAAGTGGTCTTCGACACCATGGCCTCCATTGCCAAAAGAGTGCAGCTCATTTTACTTGCCACACCGCTCTCTTGCCTCCGTCAATGTTCCAGCCATTTTGAAGCCAAGAGGCATCGCTAGAGACGATAGCAAGCGGCCGGATGTGATGTCATTGATCCCTTGGAAGTTGGGACGAGCATTGATATGGGATGCTACTTGTGTGGACACGTTTGCCCCGTGTCACCTCCCTTGGACAAGCAAAAAAAAGGGGGCGTGGCCGCAGAGCAGGCGGTAAATAACACACGGCTCGAATAGAAGAGTCTCCAACTCCAATTTTGTTCCCTTTGAAGTAATGATTCTTGGGCCATGGGATCAAATGCACATGCGCTAATTAAAGATTAAAGTTAGCGCCTGGTTGATAATACCGGTGACCCCAGAGCTGGTGCTTTCCTCAACAAATAAGTATCGCAATACAGCGAGGAAATGCAGCCACAGGGACCATTGTTATATATATATATATATTCTATGTTAGCTGTAGGAATACGAAATAAATAAATTTTAATGTAATTAATTTTTAACACTTACAAATTCCTCCAAACTCGGGGAAGCAAGCCTTCTTCCCGCGAAGGTTCTCAAAGCGTGTAATGGAACTGGAAGCCTGAAGAAGTGTCGCGACACGGGAGAACGCGCGCGGGTCATTGCGAGAGTTCTGAACTAGCTTCACTGATGAGAGACCGTAGTGTCTGCAATATAAAAGAATATTTCTCGTATCATATTTTTGGAGAACAGTGATAGACACTCACATTGCCAGCGGGCTCGCAAGTATGTGGATGTCCTTTAATAATTGGTACGGTCTCTTCTTGAAGGACCTTAAGTTGAATTGGGTCGGAAAAAATCAGTGGGTAGCTGGTTCCACATAGTGGTAGTGCGCATAAAAACTGCCATAAATAATGCTCAGTTGTGGACGTCAAGGCGATAAGGGTGGAATTTCGTATTCTGCCTCGACATCCGATGATGAAACTCAGCTGCAGGTATTAATCCGAACAATTTTGTTACCGACTTATAATTTAGGTAAGACAACTTCGATATGTTTAGTTAAAATTATTAGTTTTTCTTGTTACTAAGTATGTATATATACACCATTAGGTATACCTTAATTATTGGCAAGATACGAAATACATCTTAACTAGTAATAAGAATTCAGTCCGTCAAACGTATTGCAATATATCTTGTGTCAGTTGAAGATTATTACAGTAAAGGGTTCCTAGCAGATAGGTGAAAATTAAGGGTCCTTAATAATGGCAGATCGTAATAATAATTCTGTGGGCTGAGCCAGCCTCATTAAGGTAAAATAGTTAGTTAAAAAACATCCTTTTTAGGAATAGTTGTCTTTCTAGATTATATAAAACTATACAAAAAAAAACAGTGTTTTTTTTTGTTTTATACCGGAAAGAGACCAATTGCTACTCACTGTCTGGCCAAAAATCCGTAGTTAGCTGCCGCAGCAATGAAATCAGCAGTGTTATCCTTGATAGCGGCGAAGCATTCGAAGATAGACCTCCTCAGTTGGCAGGAAATAGCCGGTTCGATTCCCAGGGTATGAGCAGCTAATTGCACCCATAGGCACTTGGAGTGTTCAGATTCGGAGATGGTGCACCAGCGACGGGCTGGGATACAGCTTGGAGACGCGTCGATTGCTGATATGTTTCGTACTGCAAAGATTATTGGCATAAAAGTATAGTTTTCTTTTATTGTGATAGTGAATGTGAAATTTTCTTAATTCGTTAAGTAATCTGAGGGCGTTCAGCGCCTCCAATCTAAGTATCAGCTATACGCTTTTTATTTATATACACCACATCATATATAAATAAATTGGAACCAGACGGGTCTTACAGTTGGCCTACTATGTAATGAAAGTCTTGAGGGGGTTGTTCGGGGTTGGGATAAATTATTAAGATATTTAAAGGGATAATTATTTATTTAAGGACTAAACTAGTGGGGTGAGGTGAGATTGGGATAAGAGTCGCGCCCGGTACGAGGTCTGATAGCGAACTAACTTAAGTGAATATAATAAGATATAATGAAAATGAACACACAAGCAAATCATATTGCATGGTGTCATTTACATTGTAAATACCTGTACCTTCCCGAGGGAGGAAAAGATGAGGGTTAGTAAAATGGAGGATGAACTTAAGACTAACAAGGTGTGCAAACCAATTGTGCTCCAAGAACTGGGTTTCTTTGTTCCTATGGGATATGTGCGACGGCGAAGGCCTAGATTATTTGCGTTACCAAGGGCCGGAATCAGTCTGTTGCACAGATCCCCGTTGTCAAAGATGTTTCGCCTACTGAATGCTGTCTCCGACACTATCAACGTATTTATGTTCGCAGAGTGAATTCACTGTCGCGATATTGTGTATATTATGTGTTTAATATTATATACTTTATTATATTTTAATTTATTTTTCTCGACATTATCGTATTGGCATCGCTGTAAAGATAATGTATGTAATTCTGTAAAACAGAAATAAATAAAATAATGCATTTGCTACGGTATATGTTACAAGCTATCTATTCTAATATACATGGCAATTATGGTGAAAATAATAAAAATTCACTAAAAATATTAAGCTTCCAATTTTAGTTTTTACTAATAACTTTTGCCGAACAATGCGGCTTAGGCTATCAGACAGGCGATATACACTGGTTAAGTTGTATTTATTCTGTTGCGAAGAATTCGAATGAAAGGTTACTGATCTCCTAGGTTGTAATCAGCCTCTTGTGTCTGAAACACGCCAACTTATGGGTCTAAAGCCGGTTTCCTCACGTCTCTTGAAGAAGAGAAGTATGTGCGCACTCTAAATCCACTAGGCCTACACTGCTCTCACATCTTTTCACTATCTATACAAATAAAGAAACAATAAATATAAATATATTAATATGAATCGGAACATATGCTAAGCGCTCTCGAAGACAGCTGGACCAATTAGATAATTTTTGTATTAACGTTATTATTTTAATTGTTGAACAATGTAGTATAATTTAGTAATTAGGTTTTTATTCCGGGAAAGCGAATAGTCTTTAGCAAAATAATAATAATAAGAATTTTAATAATAAGAATTTTATTCGTTATCTCAAGGATTTTACAATAGCTGATAAGTGATTGGGACCTCCTTTTAAGCGCATAAGCACTTGTGTTAGGAGAACCCGCTCTTCCATTACATAGGTGTACCAACTAATTATAATTTAATTTAACACGTATAGCTAAGCTAAGTATTACAATTTTACAATTTACTAAACATAATCTAAGGTTAAAATGTGAATAATGATATATGTGTGTATGTGTATGTGTGTGTGTGTGTTTGTGTGTTTATGAGAATGAATTTTCATGACTGATTGTAGAAGTTGACTAATTACTAGTGTATTATGATTCATGATTACCTACAAAGGCTTCAGTGTCTTCATAGCTAAATGTTTCTAGGATGTTAAGTAGCGACGTTTTACATTCATGTTTATTCAATGTGTATATATTTAATATTTTATTTAATTTATTATAAAGTTTAGCAGCTTGGCATTGAAATTGTCTCATAGCAAAAACTGATTTAGATCTCTCAACAGGAGCAACAGTATATTTGCGTCTTTTGCTCAGTTTGCGACCATCATATTTAAGAGACTTGTGCAATCTTAAGGTAGTGCAAAAAATGTACAGTTGCCTGACCGATAAGACACCACAAGAGGCATAAAGATCAGAGGTGGAAAATCTATAAGGCTTAAACATCATTACTTTTAGTAAAATTCTTTGTGCCCTCTCCAGATCCAGGAACTTCATCTTTGTAGCACCCCCAAACTGGGATACAGTACACTAAAATTGACTGAGCCAGCGATGTGTATATCTGTATTAGTAGATGTTTGTCAGCGATGTGCCTTAGAGTTTTAAATGTCCAAATAAGCTTTCGAATCCTACTTATAACTTGTTCTAGGTGCTCATGCCATGACATTCTTTGATCAACTACCACTCCTAGATATTTAGTGTGATGAACTTTATTTATAGTTTTACATGTACAGTTTACTCTAGTGCTACAGTTATGTATTTTTATTTCTAGATCTGTTTGAGGTTGGGCGCTATTGTATTTAGTGAAGAAAATGTAGTTAGTTTTACTTACGTTTAATGATAATAAGTTTTCTCTTAACCAGTTATCTATTTTGGAAAGCCCTATTTCTGTATGTCGACGCACCGAGTCAATAGTTTTCCCAGTGAAGACAACAGCAGTGTCATCCGCGTAGGAGTAGACTTTCCCACTATCAATTCTTAAATCGCATAAGCTGTTTATGTAGATTAAGAATAAGGTCGGCCCCAGAACACTACCTTGTGGGACCCCATATGTGACGTCAGATTGTTCGCTGATGTATTGACCTATTTTAACTGCTTGCTTTCGTTCACTGAGGTAATCAGCGAACAATGTGAGTGGAATACCCCTAATACCAATGTTCTCTAGTCTCTGCACCAGAATAGGGACAGAAACCGTATCAAATGCCTTTTTTAAGTCGATAAAAACTGTGATACATTTATTACCTTTATCAACTTCATTAACAATATGACAAGATAGTGAGGTAACTGCATCTTCGGTTGACAGACCCTGTCTAAAACCGAATTGTGAGTCCGAAAGTAGACTATACTTCTGGAGGTAGGTAATTAGTCTTTTATTAATTAATTTTTCAAGTACTTTTGATATGGCAGTGAGAACGGAGATTGGGCGATAATTTGAAACATCTTCTCTGTTACCATTCTTGTACACAGGTGTAATAATTGCTTGTTTTAGCGCAGGTGGAAACACTCCCTGTCGGAAGCAGAGATTAACCAAATGAGTAATTATGGGCACAACTAGCTCCCTAGTATATTTAAGAAACTTGGTGCTTATACCATCCCAGCCAGGAGCACTGTCAGTTTTGAGACTCACAATAGTCAGGTATACTTCATGAGGGTCAGTTTCTAGAAGCACAAAAGACGAGACCTGGGAACAGTTGGGTCTAATCACATCTGTTCTATTATGTAACGTTGTAACTGGAATTATCTCTTTAGCTAAGTTTTTACCAATGTTTGAAAAATAATCGTTTACCAAATTAACCGATTTTTGAGGAGAAACATTTAAATTTAGTAATTCTAGATTTTGCGTTTTAGGTTGGTTACGATAAGTGAGGGTATTTATTTTCTTCCACAAAGTTTTTGGGTTTTTTATACTCTTGGCAAGGTCTTCTTTTTCATATTTACGTTTGACTTTCTTTATTAAACTATTGCAGAAATTCCTATATCTCCTGTATGTAATTTTAAGAATTTCATTATGAGGATCAGCTCGGAGTTTTGCTTGCATAGCATTTCTATTACGAATACATCTAACAATTCCTAAGGTAATCCATGGTTTAATAAGGCGTTCCCTATTCGGGATAGCTCTAGTGATAGTATTGGATTGAATACACTGCTTTAAAATAGATATTAATTTATTAGTTAAGATTATAGGGTTATTATAGTAAATTAGATCATTTATGTTGCTGTTTTTTAAATAACTTAAAGCGCCTTCCATGTTGATTGAAGATTTAATTTTCGAGGTATTGTAATTCGACTTAGCGAGGTAGGATAGTTTTAAGAATAACATTTTGTGATCAGTAACTGTAGTATCAATAACGGTAATAGACGCACACGTACCTATGCACCTATCAAGTTTCAGTATGAAATGATCTATGCAATTGCTATCTCGAGTAGGCAGTGTATGACCCGGGAGCAGGCCATGCATGGCTAGCATATTGAGGTAATGTAATCGGTTCGAGCGCTCCTGAGATGTTTCACTGGATTTTTGTATTAGATTTATGTTGATGTCTCCTGTTATTATAATGTTATTCTGAGTTTGTAAAGTTACTAAGTGACTATTTAATGAATCTATAAAATTTTCAGCGTTAAGGTTAGACGGGGAGCGATAAATACACAACATGGTATAGTTACCTACTTTGACTTGTAAGCAAGATGCATGTTTTAAATTTATTTCTTGAACGATAGTTTTATGGTTGCATTTTATGTAGACAACTACGCCATCACTACGATTTAGATGGCAGCTTGTAACGAAGTGAGTGTAGTTATCCATTTGGGGTATAGGCTTGTGTGGGTCGATCCATCCCTCGGTCAGTGTTATTACATCAGCTTGAAATTTGAACTCAGATAAAGTTATTAAAAGATCATCAAAATTATTGTAAATGCTTCTTATATTTTGTGATATTATCGTGAAATCAGATTTTTGTATGGTTGTCTGTCTTGAAAAGTCATTTATAGTATGGACATTAGATTGGGCTATTTGTATGTTATCTAATTCGTACATGATTGTAGTCTGACTATCCATAAATGAGTAACCAGATACTTTCCGTACACTTCGATAAATTATAATTTACTTGGGATAAGAAATTCGCAGTAAAGCCGAGATTGAATAAATGTTTATAATCACTTGTGACGTGTTTGTAGCCATGAGCCATGAGATAAAGTGAGATCGCACTAGAATAGTGTTTAATATATGTGAGTGTATCAGTGCGTGAGTGTAAATAGTATATGTAGTGTAAAGGTTTGTGACTATTGTTTTTTAGAAAAACTGTTTAATAATGGGATAACAAGAAAAAAATTTTACAAAAAAAGGACAATAGTTAAAGAGTCATGCCTGCATGAGGCTGTGTACCTGTGATTCGTTTTTGACCTTAATTACCGGGGTGTTTTCATTCTTTCTTAGGTAAACACGTCCGTAAGAAGTCCAACAGAACTTGTAGTCTTTTGATTTAGCTAGATCGCGAGCGAGAAAGTGTAGTCTAGCGCCTTTCGCAGTGAGCTGCTCGGAGATAAACACTGCAGTTTCTTCATTTTTAGTAGCTCCCAGATGCTTCGCTCGTAGCTTTTCTTTATTTTTGATGTTGTAGGTTTTACAAGATTTTAGTAAATCTGATTTAAGAATCGAGGATGATAACTCAACAATTATTGGAGTATTCGTTTTATTAGAATCTCTTTTCCCTTTTAGCCTGTATATGTCTTTGATATCATCTTTTTTAATACCGCTATTCAGGGATTTTGATAAGCTTACAACCATGTTTATTAAGTCTTCCTTTGATTCTGTGGGTAGTTTTGGCATATTTTTTATTTCAATATTAGCCTTACGTTGTTCCCGCTGCAATTCCTCAAGCTTGTCCTCTAAAATTATAATTTGTTCTCTGTCTTGCTTTAAACGTACTTCAAGCTGTTCTATTTTCTTCCTAAGGTCTTCATGTTGCGATGAGAGGAATGCAAGGCTACTTTCTATGTTGGTATTACTCTCTCTGATCTCTACTTGGGCAGACGTTATTTTTTTAAGCTCTTTTTGTTGTTCCGCAAACAATGACTTAATCATGCCTTTCATCTCTTTTTTAAAACTTAATAATTCATCCTCAAATCCATGCTCTCTAGCCCTTTTTGACGTTGTTGAACATAGCTCGGTGGTTCATTGTCACCGTAAAGGTCTGTGTGAAAAGTTTCCATTTTGTCGACGTTTGGCTCAGAAACACTTTGTGATTTATTGGCCATAGGAGAGCGTTGAACTTTTGGCATCTTATAAATTCACTAATTGGGAAAACACAAAATTGAATATGAATTTATAATTGGGCCAGACCCTTATTTTTTGCTCCGCTACCGCTTTCGCCTTTAAATTGCACTAAGCGATTAATTAATATGACTCACGCACAGCTTTATTCTAGCGTCGCATCGGCGCGTACGCAAAGTAAAGCGTAGCTCACGAAACTGTTTCGTTCACTGTTGTTGTCCTTCTCACCCGTAGTTAATTGACTTCTTGCGCGTTATGGGCGCCTGGTACTTCACCAAATTTGCGGACAAGATATTATATTTAATTTTATAAAATATTTTACGTAAGCTTACACGTCTTAACGCTTTCGCGGTCCGAGGGGAAGAGGAGGAGCAAAATGGTTCCATATATTGGTATGTAGCTACTAAAAGGGAGGCTAGTGTGTAATAAAGCTTTTCTTTCACTTACAATTAGCCGAATACGACAAATTTGGGAGTGTCTCGTCAAACAAAACCCTTGCATTGGATCCTCCAACGATGGCACCAAAGAGCACCGCTTGCCATGAATTGCCACCAGGACTGGCGCCGTTTTGCCACCACTGTTGTAGGTTGGTCTGGATTCCCTTTGCCTGGTTTCTGGATAAAACAATAATATTTATAACTTTTAACCGACAAATATTAAAAGCTAAGCTACTAATGCTCTTTTCTAAACCACTAGGAAAAAGAAACGTGGGAAGACCACAAAACCTTACTGCCGACATCATAAAGGATTCTGGGGAGAAATGGAAGGAGGAACCAAAGAGAAGATCCAAATGGACAGTTCAAGAAGAGGCCTTTATCCAAGGTTGTTACTCCAGAACACAAATGGAAATAACAAACACTAACGTAGACTAAGTGTATAATGACAAAACTGACTTTTATTATTCAAAAGTCAAAAATCATTTATGCATGGAGGTAACAAACGACACACTTATGAACGTCAAAATAGAAATATACATTAAATGTTTCTAACTTTACATTTACAGCCAGTTATCAAATCAAGGGCGTAGAACGGAAGAGAAGAACTGGCAAACTCTCCGCCACTCTTTTTTTTTAAGCTTTTATTATAAGCTTCTAAGGCCTAACGTGTCTATTGAAAATGTTACTTGAAAATGATTCGATTTGATGCTAAGACGGTGGTGGCGTGACTTGTTTACTTGTTTTAAAATAAGTTTATATCCTAACATAAACTAACATCAGGCATCGCCAGAGACGATGGCAAGCCGGCTGAGATGGCTTTGATCCCTTGGAGGATGGGTAGGGCTTTGTTATGGGATGCTAATTGTGAGAACACGTTAGCCCCATCTAATCGGGCGAGGCCGCAGAGCAGGGGGAAAATAATAGACGCCTGACGCCTAAAATATCAGTCTTTCCTCTTTGGCCGTGGGGTTCAAGTGCCCAGGCGTTAATTACAGATTTTGTTGATAGTGCTTAGTATACAGGGCGTCCCAAAGTTATGACACATGAAGGGAAAGTACCTTAAATATCGTAGATAGGGTTTTGAAGTTTTGACAATTTGAAGCATTTCTAAATACTATACATAAAGTCTTCTTTTAGTAGAATACACTATCTACGATATTTAAGGTACTTTTCCTTCATGTCCCATAACTTTGGGACTCGTAAGTATCGCAATACAGCGAGGAATTGCCAGCATTAAGGGTAGAAGGTCACAGCTTTTAAAATTTATTTTAGTGTTCTATTATTATTACTATGAAGGTCAAGTATTATACTAATTTTAACATATGTAAATAAGTTTTAAAAAAAAGTGCGTGCGTACAAAGTACACATGTCATGTCAAGTGAAACTTCTTCGGCTAACTAATTTTTACGTCTTGTTCATATTTATACAAATCTAAAACTTTAGATTTCCGAGACTTAGAGGGAGGGAAAAAGATTTTAATAATTTAATTGTCATTAAAATTTTAAGTGTCGAAAATTAATACAAATTAAATTATGTTTATTTATTTCTTCGATAATAAAAACACGTGGCATTTCAATTTACAATTCGTCATTTGAGATTTCATAAATTCTCATCACGAAATTTTAATTTTAAAAATAGATTTCTATAAGGTAATTCGCCCTTCTCACTCTCTCTCTATCGGACTATATCGCTCTCTCCCCTTTCTTCTACAGAAACGCTGCACATCTTCGTGACGCTAATATTATTATTAAAGCGTTTCATCCGTAAAAAATTTACCCTCAAGCGCCTAAAAAAGTTTCACTTCAAAAAACTTATTTACATTAATCTTGATTTAATAATAATACTCACGTTGGTGCAACAAGGGCGCTCCATGGTTGCTTAACGAAGGAGCACGGAGCGGTACCTTGAGCCAGGACCTCACTGGTCAGCACTACAAGGCTATCATCCGGACATAGAAGTGAATACGATGTCGCCTCTTGAGGGTTGCGGATCTGGAAAATGAAGGTTATTTTTTAATTTGAAAGGTGGAATCTGAAGCTCTGTAGTTGAAATAGAAGAAGTACATTAGAACAAGAAAACTGGTTTCAAATATCTGTCCTGTCCATATAAAAACAAGCGAACGGTTTCGATTAATCCCTAATTCGGGGAAGTCCCCCGTAATAGACGCACACCGACCGAAAACAAGCGACGGGGAATTCCCCGTTCCGTTCGGTGGACGCGCATCGCACATGAATTGATTGATCTCAGGTATTCCAACATTCTGATTGGATTTTTTTTACATAAAATTATCGCCTATTGTTTTCAATGGGGACTGGGGGCTTTTTGTATCAACGGGGCCCTGTCTTGCGATTCTGTAACTCACTTTTCGAACTCACACGGCGGTCGCGCTCAAATCAGTTGTAAAGCAGTAATTTTACGATTTCGCATTCTGATAAACAATAAAAAAAAAGTGAGTTACAGAATCGCAAGGCTGGGCTGTAGCCCAAAAAGCTCTTAAGTAGATCCGCCTCTGTTCAAAAGAATGAATTCGGCGTTTTAAGAATTTGTACGCTCTTTTCTTTAAGGACCCTAAGTTGAATTGGTTCGGAAATATTTGGTGGAGTTTGATTCCGTGTTTTAACATACATAAACTTACGAAAACTAGCACACTTGCTCGAAAGCATATATAGAACAATAGTTTTTAGGTAATTCTCATATAAAACCTGTTAATTTTCTCCGCCCATCTAGGATTTAAATTTTATGTATTTGATGGAGTTAGACCGAGTATTAGCGAGTGAGCAGTGTTAGCGTGCGAGTCTTATCCTAAAGGTGTACGTTCGATCCCCGGCTGTCCACCAATGGACTTTCTATGTGCGTATTTAAAACTCGCTCGAACACGTGAAGAAACATCGTTTTTTTATGTTACAGGAGACAAACGGGTCGTGTCAGCCCCAGGATGCATCGCACCTCCTGCCCATTTGCCTCCTATTACACAAAAAAGAAAGACTTGAAGCCAAAATGAGCCCTTTAGTTTATCCCACACTCATAAATAGTAATATAACATTCTCGTTTCCGATAATGTCCAATAAATTCACTTAGATTTAAGAACCCTTCAATAAGTTAAGTCAGTTTTTTGTTAATCGCAACCCCATTACTCCTCACTGTATCTTAGTTATAAGCTTAACCCAGCTGCAAACAAAGAGTTTCATTTATTGGAACATCCCTCCAACAACCGCCGCCGAACTTAACTCGCCAATTGTTTTGTTTGTAAAGACTGATTACTCACATTGAAGAATTCGCGAACGTGTTGCCAAGCTACGTATGCCACTCGTGAATCATTACCACGTCGCAGACATTCCAACGCTTGTATATGTCTATTGTCATTTCGTACTCCGGTAACTGACACTCCCATGTCAATAGTGTAGCGGGAACAGTCCGAGCCGTCACCACAGAGTGAGCAGAGGGATTGGTAGCGGCTTTCTGTAAATATATTTAAATTAGTTTGGGTTACTTTTTGTGATTTAAATTAAATAGATGCTCTCGCGGGGATTTCATCTAATAATATACCTGTCATCGTTAAAGCAGCGTTCGTAAAAACGTATTCGATCGATCGTTATTAATCCGAATTACTTTGCAAAACCGACTACACTAAAAATTATAATTAAAAAAGGCTTGTATTTTGGATATGGTTCGATTCCCGAATGGGGAGCAGGGGAGCTGACACAATTAACTCCCAAATGGTCTAAGGGCAGCAAAGTCGTAGGCTGGATACAACAAGAACGAACGAACGAACATTTTTTAAGGAACTACAAGATTATTTTAAGATTTAAGTTGGTGATTTTCTCGCTCAACGAACATATTGCATAGCATTTATCTATTTTTAATTATTATTATTATTCCTACATAAGTTAAGAATACTGTATGTAAATAAATATAAGTAGAGGTGTAGAAATATCCCTCTTATTAAAAATATGATACATACTCAAATCCGCGTCGACGGTTGTATTAGCACTCCAGGGTCCAGGTCTGCAGGCGCTGTTGAAGAACTGGGAGAGCGTTTCCACCTCCATCTCTTCAGCGGTCTTTCCGTTGGTGTTTGCGTTGGGACAGCGGTCGGTTTTGGCAGCCTGCAGACGTTTAAATTTATTGTTATGTGGTCCAATATTGAGGATATGAATACCGTGAGTTCGGTTGACTAAACGCTGGATAGTTTATCATTATATTTTGTATATTTTCTGATAAATCTCCGAGTGTAGCAATAGACTGCAATTAGCTGCTAGCACAGTCTTTCATATTTTGTACACTGTTATGAACTGGCAGGTCCAAAGGAGCACTGCTAGGTTAGGCAAGTAACACTTCTTATTCCCTTTCATTGTTAATAGCATACCAGCTTCTCCAAAGTCTTCAAAACCCTGGGTGACCAGCGTAGATCCGGCTCATCCAGTCCTGGGTGGCAGTAGCGACCTCCACGTAGTCCTTCCAGACCACCAGTGTGGCTCGATGCTACCACTGCCACGGCTTCGAAGGCGAAGGGTTCTGGAAAAATATAATAATAATATAGACTTTCAATTCCGAAACTGTGCGATTTTTAACGCAAATTAGCGAGCTTCATCTGATTATAAAAAAGATTCGAATTAATTAAGGGTCCACTAATATATTGCTTGCCCCAGGAAACAAAGACGTATAGAACTATTACGAATGTTGTAATGTTTTCTCAATTGACTTCCTTGAGTGATGTAATATTTCTGTATTTTTTTTCAGAATTTTTGCAAAACATTTTATTATAAAAAGAACACGAGCTTTGTTTCTGTCTATGTGTGCATTTAACACTCGCTCATACAGTGAACGAGAAACATCCCAAGGAAACCTTAGACCCAAAAAGTCGACAGCCTCTGTCAGGCACAGAAGGCTTATTAGGAAAAAACGAATGACCACGAAACATACACAAAATCTAATACCAGACCTAAAAAAGTTAACCAGAAATTTTGAATCACCTTCTAGATTGCACAGTGGTACCAACCTATATGAGATTTTCACGTTTGGTCAATTTAATTATTATTAATAATAATTATATATGAGATATGCATAAGTGTTTGTCTACAGGTAACAAGAGCTGATGACCTTGCACGTTATCATTCACCATATACACTTCAAAATAAAGCATTCAAATACAGGGGTCTAGGCTCCGAATATTATTTTGTCCCATTCGGTGTCGAGACCCATGGTCCGTGGGGTCCTAGCACTATAAGGCTTTTTAAGGAAATAGCAAAAAGGTTAGTCGAAATCACAGGAGACCGAAGAGCTGGCAGGTACCTCGGACAAAGAATTAGTCTAGCTATTCAAAGGGGGAACGCTGCCAGTATCTCGGAACCTTGCCTTAAGGGAGTCCCTTAAGGCTTTTAATATGTTTTAGTTATTACATTTTAAGGTTAGTTATTGTTTTTCTGTTATTTGTTTATTTGTAATATAATAATTAAATAATTTAATTCAATTTATTCATTCAGGTCACACTATGTACATGTATGAACGTCAATAAGGAAATAGATATTAAATGCTTAAAAATTCTTACCCATTAGCGTGGGAGTTTAAAAAAAGGGGATTGTATTTAATTGGGCATTTTTTTGATAAATAAAGTCTAATAAGAATACATCAAACTACTGTAGAACAATCAGTATGTCTACAAGATAACACTGTTGCAAATTTATTTACGCTGCAATGAAAAGAGAAAGAACGGTTTTTGTTAAAAAGAAGAAGGAAAAAAGTGCTGCTCTTTTGACCGAAATAGAAGATCCTCGACCAGCCTAACCTATCACTGGCCCTGGTGGCTAATGTCGAGAAGTTGTAGGATTCTCAGCAGTAGGAATTACTTTGTGAGCGAGATTCAGGGCATGATTCCATTGTAGTGATTTGTATGAGCTGAAGAACCAACAATATGACAGGTTTATCAAATATATCGGACGTTAAGGCAGAATATAAAATACCATCCGTATCGCTTCGACGTCCGTTCCACAACTGAGCGTTTCTAAGGCAGTTTTTGCCACGCACCACTATGTGGAAACAGCTGCCCACTGAAGTATTTCCGAACCAATCTGACTTAAGGTCCTTCAAGAAAAGGCCGTACCAATTCCAAAGGTCAGCAACGCACTTGCGAGCCTTTTGGCAATGTGAGTGTCCATGAGCGGGATCACTTAACGTCAGATGAGCCTCCTCCAAGAAAAAAAAAGGATAATGTGATTTTCGTGTGTTTCAGACTTACCATTCCTTGACACATCTCTGATGGAACCCACGATTCTGTAGTTGTTACCAGTGGGATGCTGTGGCAGTAGCACCATCTCCTCTTCAGAGAAAACGCCGAGATCCGCCTCACCGCGAGATAATTTTAAGGCGCAGTCGATTCTAAAAAATGAATTTACTATAGAAGCACGATAAATTACATAAATTTAAATTGCAACAAATGTAAAATTGTCTGCACTTAATTATGTTAGTTAATATCATAGATACGCAGACAAGTACTTTGAGAGCAGTGTTGGCCTAGTGGCTTCAGCGTGCTAATCTCACCCTTGAGACCGTAGGTTCCATCCCCGGCTGTGCACCAATAGACTTTCTTTATGTGCGCATTTAACATTCGCTCGAACGGTGAAGGAAAACATCGCAAGGAAACCAGATTGCGCATTCTTAAGAAATGAAAATATCAAACCTACGACCTCTGGGATGAGAGTCGCACACCGAAGCCACTAGGCCAACACTGGTGTACAACTCTCAGCGCTGATGAACAATAAACAAGAGAAATAAACTTACTTGGACTCGACTGCCTCGCATTTGACCTGGCTCCCGTCTTTGTCCAGGCTCTGACATAATACAGGCTGTGAGTTTGGGATACATACTCGGTCTGGAAATAAAAAATATATACATGTTTGGCTGCACTTGCACGTGAATACTTATATAAAAAACGATTTTGTCATGAAATATCGAATCGCATGTGCAAGGATAAAGGAAAAACAAATAAACTCTTGAAACTCCTACTCATTAAACTGAATCCTATCACTCCTTTACTGTGCAAAGTCTCCTGCTTTGGAACTTAGGTACCTCTTGGTATCAGACGAGCTCAGTCTTTAAATTCATCGAATGAATCTTTTTTTACCACCTTTCTTCTGCTATCAGAGGTTATTGTGTTATTTACTTTTTTGATTGTTTAGTATTGTATATTTCTAGTGTTAAATAACGCACTTCTTGTACCCTTAGTAAGTTAATTTCTTATTTGTCCATACTAGGGTGGCCTGGCAAATATCGCTTGTTAGCGATAAAGCTGCCCGTTGCTTATATGCCCTGTTTTTATATAGGTATGTTTAAGGTAACGAAGTGTAAATAAATATATTAACAAATAACAGTTAAGAATTGAACAAACCTTTTATCTAGGTGCATGAATCAAATGTAATGCTGGGTTTTAAAATATAATAGCACAATTGGCCTGGCTAGAGCGTGCGCCACAATATGGGTAACTACTAAATGTAAAAATAAAATTACTCAGTTCACAAATCAAGGGCGTAGAACTGGAGCTGGCAAGAGACTCTGTCAGTATTTTCTTTTGTAAAAGTAGAACCACAGAAATAAGATGCTATTTTACATCTGCATACATTGTTGCTACATATTTAAATACTTGGTATCACTTTACTCATATAGTATTTCAATTGAAAGGCTACAAGCAAACCTTATCTAGAATAATCTTTAGATAACGATTCTCCGTAATGGGAAGGGCGAACTAAAGAATTCGATTAATCATGGATTTTACTAATGCAAGCGGAAATAGTAGAATTTCTATTGTACCGTCGTTCTCCAATATTATAACATTGAGTTCAGTTCAATCATTTGTTCTTGTCCTTCGTCATTGTTTTATATTACGATTATTATATTTTTGGCTATATGGTTATTACAATGGTTTGAATTTTTAATCCCCTAGTGTACTGCATGACTACATAATATGGACTACATAATCAATATTATTGTACCGGATAGTATTATCCGATCACGACGTTATGATTATTATCAATGACTATGGCCTCGCACGGCTGAGGACTTGTTTTTAAAAATATTAAATAAATAAATCGTTTATCTGCAAAATAGGTGGTACATTTAGATCGATGAATTATAAAAATCCGCACAATCATAAAAATAGGCATGCAAATGTCATATTAATTCTTATAAACTCATATAATAAGAACATCAGCATAATGTCACAATAATAAGTTAAGTTATTAATAATTGTCAAACTTATTATCTAAATACTCGCCCACGCTATAAATGCACCTTGGCTTTAAAAATTTAATCACCTTCCCCTTGAAAGCATTACACGGCAGTGGTCTATTACTTCTAGGAAGGTGATTAAATTGTTTTTTAGAAATATATCCTATGTAACTCATTTAATTTGTACAAATTTTGCTCATTGATATTGAAATTGTTTTTGGAGTTAAATCGTTAAAAATAATTTTTTTATAAGATTCCGAGAAATTTCAAAGTTATATAAATACTGTTTCTATGCAGAGTAGTTTCATTACGGGAGGTACTAGTTCTGGAATGGTAATTTGCCCCAGGACAAAGCAGGGAACATGCTCTGATGAGCAAGTACTACTGCTAGTAGATACTGCCGTGTAGGACGTCCATACCATCGTAATAAGTTATGGAAAAGGATGTGGTACTTTTATAATAAAAAGTGGCTTTTGTTACGCAATTGCGATAATTGGTGGCAGAGTTTCTTGCCAGCTATTTTTATCCGTTCTACACGATTGAGTCATGTGTGATTTTTTGATGTTCATACGTTACCTACGTACATTTTAAATTACCTACAAGCTACCCTCAAAACCATTATATATTAAATCAGTTTAATCTGTATGTTTGGTGAACTTGTTAGCAGCAGATTGAGTACCTAATAGAAGTAGTATCTGTACGAGCCAAAGATGTACAGTTAGCTCACTCAGGCTTTCTTAGTTTTATAAGCGTGGCGATTTCCTAAATCATCGGAGTTACGCCCCGAGAGTATATACAGACGTAGGCACTCTCTTCAACTGTTACATTGCATTCATTCATAGCAATTAACATTTCATTATTTCGCTTATATTCTATTGGTATACGCGAGTGGTTAATATAGAGTAAAATTAAAATCCTCTATTATTTAAAGCACCTCGATCACCCAGTAACCGTTTACTAGTATCTTCTTAGGCTTTCAAGCACGTGTACTAAATTTCATATGTTTACTGCCTGCATCGTTTGATATGCTTAAATGTAAAGTGTAGGACCGATCGGTATCATTTAACTTGAGTACCTAGTAGAAGACCGTTTAATTTTTCAAAATTAATTGACTTTGACTTCTACTGTACCACAGAGAAAGAATTTATATAGTGCTTTTTAAAATTATAGTAATAAGAATATTCCAGCAATTATAATTTTTCAATAATTCAAATCAGACACGCCTTGATTAATTGAGATAAGGATTTACAAATACTTACAAGCAATCTGTGCCGATGCAGCAGCAATCACAGTTAAAAATAATAATAAATTAACACCCATTTTTCACAACACTACACCTAAGTCAGTCTTCGTGTTACACAAGCGTTTGATTCACTTGCGGATACATATGTAACTATTTAATAGTTCAAAAGTGTTAGGTGTTCGGAATATTGTTATCAACGTTTCGAAATTCACTGTAAAGGTGGGTGATAAATAAACACTGATAATGTGATAAGAGGAACGATTAGATTGGACGGACGTCCTACAAGGTTCGGTATTGGGGCTTATTTTATAGCAAAGTTTTATCAGTCGTCTATTGAATTGCTTTGGCGTTTTTAAATATGCATAAAAATAATTATTGTTTATTAAATCATATAATCAAAGAATGACATTTTCTTTTCATACCTTTATGGGTTAATGAGTTCGTTTGGCTCGATATAGGAGCATAACTTAGCTGTATATAACAAAAAAACACTTGCTTTTCCCTGCAGATATTTTGACAACATGATTTAAATAATGGAGAGTAGAATAATCAGGATTATGTGTATAAAATAATATTTCACTATTTTATTTCTATTATCAGATTTTATGTTACATATATAACACGTTATTTAAAATGATAATAATAATTTAGTTACTAACGGATAAAGATAACTGAATATAGGGTCGATAGTATATCACCTTATCAATATATTACGGACGAAGCGCGAGTATATCGATGAACTAATTCAGATAATTCAAACTTAGCTGTACAAATAATTGTAGTATGCAATTTAGAATATTTAAACCGTCTTCAACAAGCCAAAGTATAAAGAAGGAAAGGGAAGAAGGAAGACAATTAAGTAAAGATAGGCCAGATTAATAAAACAGTCAGGGAGACATGGCATAGTGTAGATAGAAATGGCGGGATTTGGGGAAGGCCAGAGAAGGGTACATACTCGTAGATACCAAGGACCAAGATGATAGAATAATCCGTGTATCAAGTATCTAAAATAAAAAGGCTTTTATTATTATTCAACTATAGGTATATTATTAATAAACCGATTTTGATGTTACTGATACTATTCTATTATTTTTTTTTAAGTTACAGGAGGCAGACGGGCAGGATTCACCTGACGTTAAGTGATACCGCCGCCCATGGACACTCGCACTGCCAGACGGCTCGCAAGCGCGCTGCCGGCCTTTTAAGAATTATGTGAAAAAAAGAAATATACATGAAATGCCACTAATTTTACATTTACTGCCAGTTCTCAATCAAGGGCGTAGAACGGAAGAGAAGAACTGGCAATAAACAATAAATAAATACTAATACAGCCCCACAGGTGGAAACCATAAGTGCATATTTTTATTTATTTAGACTTTTGTGTTTATAGAAAAACAAATAACATAATATATAAAAATTATAAGGGATGCTACGCGGCCTTATCGCTCACAAGCATTCTCTTCCAGGCAACCCTAGTAAGGAATAAAACTAAAAAAGAAATATGATGGGTTAAGTGCAAGAATACATAACCTCATCTTATAAAAAAAAATACCAACCTTAATCTAAAATAATACAAAAAATCTACTAAAAACTAAAAACTAATTTCGCGGATTCATGAATTGCGATGAAATTCAAAATAATAAGAAATACAAAAATTATAAAAGTCACGAATGAGCAGCCCTGCGATTCTGTAACTCACTTTTCGAACACCGTGAAGCAGTCATTTTATGATTTGGCATTCTGATAAACAATAAACTACAAGCTCCCACCTTTTCAGAATGCCAAATCATAAAATGACTGCTTCACGACTGATTTGAGAGCGACCGCCGATGCGAAAACCGCTGTGTGAGTTCGAAAAGTGAGTTACAGAATCGCAGGGCAGGATAGGATATGGTTAAGAAATGTTCATGCAGAAGATGCTAAACGAAATGCCTGAGAAGGATGAGATGTATACTTGGGACTTGTTTGTAGATTAATAATTTATTTTGTACTGATAACGTGGATTGCCTTCCGAGCATTATATTACAATTTACTGTGTTACGAACATCCAACTCTTCGCGATTCTTTTTGACATGGACCTAAAAACACAATGACACACAATCACCGTCCGATCCCATTTATTTAGCATCCTCAACATATTAATTGCATATACAACACATATAAGTTCGACATAATTACGATTGTATATGCGTGATATTATGGCGCGTTATCGTGTCTTTCCGTTCAAGTGAAAATTTCTTGAATTCCTCGAAATAATAAATAGATTCTTAAAAATTTTATAAGAATCTTTGAGTCATAGGTATCGTCATATTTACCGGAAGTGACTCAGATTATACTGTATAAATTTTTTATCATTTTTTGTGTGAATTTTAGGTCACGAAAGCACACTATAGAATGTACTAAAAATATTTATTTCATATACAAAAATATAAGGGTTATTTTTGGTCTTGTAAATTTAAACGTTTTTATATGACTTCATATTGGCCACAAGTTATTAACCATATAGACTACAAGCCCGTGAAAAAAAAATACCTGTGAAATGAACCAACGTGAATAACTCTTATAATATTTTTCAAAGTTTATGAAAATAAATCTTATGATAAATTAAACAAAATTAAATTAAGTTTGAAATTTATTTGAAGCGTATCTATAACTAAGTTTTAACTTAAAATATTATTTAAAATTATACTAAAATTAAGTGGTTTTAATAAAATAACCAGAAAACCTTTTAGTCTGTTCTGAGTACATTTTTAAATCATGGGGTTCGAAATTAGGTCGAATACACAATTAACTTCGATTGTAACTAAAGGTGATTTAAGTTATAATGTGTATTAAACGAGAATAATATGTTATTCAAGAAGTAACGTTTATTTAAATTAATTATAATTTGATATATATAAAATTCTCGTGTCACAGTTTTCGTTGCCATACTCCTCCAAAACGGCTCGACCGATTCTCATGAAATTTTGTGTGCATATTGGGTATGTCTGAGAATCGGACAACATCTTTTTTTCATCCCCCTAAATGTTAAGGGTAGTCCACCCCTAAATATTTTTTTTTTATTTTTAGATATTTTTTTCTGTTTTTATTTTTTTATGATACAACATTAAAAAATACATACAAACCCCTAACTTTCACCCCTCTACGATCAACCCCTATTTTTTTATTATAAATGATATATATGGCAAAACCACGTTTGCCCGGTCAGCTAGTTTGATATAAAAATCAATTCTCCATATTTGTTTCCTACAATAGTTAAGAAAAAATATGCGACTTTCATGAATTACAATCTAGGCTCTACAATAATTATTACTAATATTATGTTCACTTAATTTTCTACAATACTAGTGAATAGTTTGTATAAACTATTCACTAAGGTAATGTTCATTAAAGTTCAGAGCAGTGTTGGCCTAGTGGCGTCAGCGTGCGACTCTCATACCTGAGGTCGTAAGTTCGATCCCCAGCTGTGCTCCAATGGACTTTCTTTCTATGTGCGCATTTAACATTTGCTCGAACGGTGAAGGAAAACATCGTGAGAAAACCGACATGTCTTAGACTTAAAAAGTCGACGGCGTGTGTCAGGCACTGGAGGCTGATCACCTACTTGCCTATTAGATTTAATGATCATGAAACAGATTCAAAAATCTGAGGCCACTGATTTATTTTATTTTAATGTTCATTAACAGTAGTGTTCTATAATGTTTTGACACCGTATAATAATAGCACAATATTTGATATATTGTGCTATTATTGGGCGGTTAACTGCCTATCTCGAACCAAATCCGCTGTTATGCTGTTAATTCTTTTTTTGTGCTCAACAAAAATTTCTGGAATTTTTATTTTATCTTGTATAAATTGTAATTGTATTTTTTTGTAACATTTATTATTACCTAAATTGTCATACATTTTAGATAAAATAGTTTGTAACATATACCGTAGATTTAGAACTATGTATGACTTTAATAAGTAAAAAAATATATATATGTATTATATGATTGTGTTTTTAATGAAAGTTCCACACGAATAGGAAATTAACATGACTATTGCATTATGAAACATTACTATTGACACGCAGAAGTGAGAAATACTTTGGTGGGATATTGTTAGTGGGTTATTGGTGTTACTAAAATTATATTGTATACTGTAATTTAAAAAAAATTAAGATGAAAACTAATAATATTTGTAGCGATTAGAAAATTTAAAATTCAAGTGGAGCAAGAAAGTACTAAACTGGTACCCAAGGTAAACGAAAAAGAGAAAGACAATTTATAAGGAGGATTTAACAGATTAAGGGAACAGCTGATACATGGCAGAGGAGGAGGTCTTTGCCAAAAAAGGGCACAACTTTAAAGAGTGAGATAGAAATATAAATGTGTTTAAGGGCCGATTCGACCAAACAAGAGTAAATCTTAATCTTAGAATAAATCGTCAGTTAATCGAGAGTAAATCAATTTTACGTTTTACCAACTACAAATTCTAAGAATAGTGGGCTTATTCGGGAATAGCTACTATACCGCCGTTTCGCACGGAATAACAGCTATTCCTAGAATAATTTAATGGCGTCAGTCAGTCCAATCAGCTGATTTCTGTCATTTCACAAATATGTATTCTGTGTTTTAATTTCAAGTCAACGCAACGCACTCAATTAATAGTCTGGCATTGTATAATGAAACGTTTAAACAATTTATTATTTATTTATTTATTTTTAGATTTTTTATTTTCTATAATATTAGAATGAAATTCAACTAGGCTCAACAGAAGTTTCTTTTTAGACGAAAGCCTCAAACAAACAAGAAATAAAAACTTTTTGTTGTCGTTTGACACCTGTTAAAAGCTACTTTTTCACTCTATAATACGGCAAAATCGAGTTGACATGATGTATGCTCTTACACTGTCCCGTTGTAGAACAACATTTATTTGCCGAGTTTTATTTTCGTTCACCATTCTCTTGCTATTCGCGTATTGTTATTCCTAGCGCAATTATACTATCGATTACGTGGACAAACGACTATGGATTTACTCGAGATTAAAATCATGGAATAGATTATTCTTGGTATAGTTACTCGTGTATAAATTGAAGTTTGGTCGAATCGACCCTAAGGGTTAAAGTACCTGAATCGGCTTTTATTATAATTAGAAAATTTCTAGTAATTTAGGTAAACAATTTTTTCATTGTTTATCACAGATGTAACTTACCAAATTGAATAAATTGTCATGCACTGAGACACATTTTAAGAAGCGTTTTCGCCTGATATGAAAATGGACAGAAAACATAGTCTTTCTAAAATACTCGTTAAAAAACTTATAAAATGCGGGAGACATATCTGTCTACGCACAAGCGTACACGGGCTGAATCATGTGGCCATGCCGCATCGTCATTGGTGTGAACGGTAAGGTTTTTTTTTTAATTTTTAGTTAATACATATAAGTCTGTGGCGTTACAATCTTTTAGGAGAGAGGCCCTCGGGGATATTTGTTTTTTTCTCATAGGCGATCAGCCTTGTGTGGCTGAAACACGCCGTTGATATTTGAGTCTAAGGCCGGTTTCCTCACGATGTTTTCCTTCATCGTACAAGTATTCTCATAGACAGAAACTACATTGAACCTACGACCACAAGGATGAGACTAGGCCAATACTGTACCAAAGCAAATGTAAAATGATCCTAGCTTGTCTTTTTTTTATCCATCTGCAATCAGCTTGGCTAATAACAGATTTTATGAGAAATGATGGCAATTAGGGAACGCAAATCCAATAATTTTTATTCCCTCCGTAATTCGTAAACTGTCAGACTGCGGCAAGTTTCGTTCTTTTTAGCCGATACACACTGTCCGTCGTTTCCAAGAGGCTCGAAGCTTGGGGAGGGGGTTGACGTGTTGCTGAAGTCTCATTTTGTTGATCTTTTAATGTCTTCCTCGGCAGTAGTTCCTAGTTTGTCTGTAAATAAAAAAACATGAGAGGTGTCAAGGGACACCCGGATGGAACGAAGCAGAAATACGGAAAGGATTCATTATTGTTATAATTTTTTTTATGTACAAAAAACCTATGTACACTCAACAAAAATAATCGTCGCGACACCACACTGTTCAATGCGAAATAGATAGACGAAACGAAATTAAATGGCTTGCTTTCTATTAGAGAGAGAGACAGACAGAGAAACACGCGCACGCCGCACGGCTTACAACTATAACAAAAAGTGTTGTTACAACTTTTGGTCTTAATTTTTTCCGTCTAGCCCCCTTTCGCAACGCGTGGTAAGGAACTTCGTTCCTAAAGGATTGTTATTCTCTTAGGTCCTTACATATGAAATTGGCGTCTTGTATGGGAGGAACAAAAAGTCGAATATTTTTAAATAAAATATATTTAATTAATCAAAGCATGAACCATTGTTTTCTATGCACTTTTGCCATCTCATAGGTAGTTCATTGATCCCTTTACTAAAAAAACCAGTCGGACGGGAATCAATAAAATCTGTGAAGGCGATTTGGACTGCCCCATCAGAGTCAAATTTTATCCCTTGCAAGAAGTTGTCCAAATTTCGAAAAAAATGGTTCTGTTGGAGCAAGGTCCGGGGAGTACGGAGGATGTCTTAGACATTCCAATTGAAGCTCTTCCTAGGACCTAATATAATAGATGTAAAAAGTTCCGTAGGGACTAACTGTCTCTGACATCGACGACACTCTGATCTTTCCTATCGGCTTCCTTTGGCTTGGCTAGATATGTTAGTTCCCTCAGCATCTGCCACCGAATCAAGTGGAGTGCTTTAAGAACAATTTTAAATAATTACTGCGGCTGAATTCCATCATCGAACGTCGACAAAGAATGAGAGCATCTATCCTTTCTATCTCAACGCCTGGTATTCCACAACACGGCGCTTTTTAAGGCATTTTCTGGCGCGCACCACCTCTTTGTGGAACCAGTAGAACTTAGTAGAAGAGTGAGAGCAGTAGTAAAGCAGTAGAGCTATATTTATTTACACCAGTGGTGTTTCCGGACCGATACTACATAGACTTCAAGAAAAGAGCGTACCATTCCCTGAAAGGTTGGCAACACACCTGCTAGCCCCCGCCGTTGCGTTTGCATGTGTCCGTCGGTTATCAGTATATTCAAAGTGAGGCGGGTCATGGATCACCTGCGACAAAATTTATAAAGTAAAAATATCTATTTTGAACATGTCATATATTAATAAATTAAACAGACAAAAAGTACTATTGTTTTGATTAGTAATTAAAGATTCGGTTTATTGATTTTTATATGTTATTTGCGTTCATCAGCAATCTCTGTCTGCGGCCGCATCTGTAGCGGAGCTATCTGTTTCCACCGGTTTCTGTCCAGCACCTCTCTTATGACATTGTACAGTTTTGAGGACGACGAGTCTTTCTCTTGATCCGTCCATCTGGTTGGTGAACCGCCACGTAATCTTCTCATCGCCTCTACGCATTGTATGTCCGAAATAATATACAATTCGCTGTCGGCATATTATGACATTAACAGCAATAGGCCTAATGAAATAGACTCTCTTACATTACAAGATGAGTCACTAAGCTTATTATAATAGTTAAATATTTGATATTTTCAGTTTGCTTTGGACCGCTATTACCATAGGCGCGGCGTGGGCAGCTTTAAGCGTCTCCCTCGGGCAATTGCAACGTTATAATGACAACCCCACGGTGGTGACACTGGAAAAGGATTACCGAGAATGGCAATACAGCTTACCAGCCATCACTTTATGCCCTGGAGTAATTTAGTCATACTCCGATACTACTAGGATTATATATTGTTATTATGCTATGTTATTATGTTATCTTAGCTTACGTACTGACTTACCAATTATTGATATTTACTGCAAATTTTGTATATAGCACAGTTTTCTTTACCAATCTGTATGTAGACAAGGGTAGAAGCCTTTAAAAAAAAAGTGAAAAAAAAATAATAGTAGGATGAAACCTATTGGAAAGGGAGGAGAATATTATAAAAATTAAAGGAAAATAATTTACGGGCGATCTGAGGTCGGGAAGGAGTAGGGGGGGAGTTTTAAGGGTAAAAAACGGTTTATCTCGATTTCCGGCAAAACTAAAAGTCCTATGGAAAAAAGTCAAATGGCAAAGTTGTAGGTAATAAAAAGATCTAAAACTTTTGTATTTACACATTTTTCACATAACCTCAAAATTTATGTGAAAAATTCAAAAAACCAAGTTTTTGGTTTTTAATTTTTATCTTATACAAAATTTATTTTTTTTCCCACGAAACTTGGTGAAAACTTACCTTTTTATGTCTTTAATACGCTGTAATTTAAATGATTGGAAAAAAAAAATTCACCTTATTTTGAATTAATATCGAAAAAGCACTCTAATTTTCATTCGAAAATTCACCCGTCAAAATATCTGCTTTTTTCAAAAAGTTGGTGTGGTTTCGTATTTCATAGAGAAGTAGGGAAGGGGATGACGGGTCTGGGCGTTAATGCATACGATTTTTTGCATTTTCTGAGAAGATTTACTATAGTAATATATATATATATATATTTTTACCATAGGAAAGTAGAGATTTCAACGAACTGAAAGCGATGTATTACTTTAGATAACGAATTACATAGGTTAACGGAACTTTTTTATTGTCCGTCGAGTGTTCTATTATTTGTTAGTGCAAGTTATTTTCTATTAACTTAAAAATATTATTACGCTTGAACAACTTCAAACACTGCTCAGAATCATGAATACGTTGTTGTTTTCGTCGGTTGTGAACTCGCGTGGTACCCATTTTGAACAGAGCTTTCGCATAATATCCAAATACCTAGGACATGTCCAACATGTTCCTTTGATATCTTTAGGATCTAAGCTATCTTAATCGACTAAATTTTTCGGTTATCCAAAATTATTTTGTGGATGCTTTTGAACTTAGAAAACAACTTCTCAACGGTCGATTTTCCGGGTGCACTCCAAATAATATTTATCCAGCCAAGCCTTGGCTTCAATAGTATTTTTATAATAATAACTTGTCTATGAAACGTCGCTGGTATGTTTATAATAATTTAAATTCTATAAATTTATAATGAATATAGAAAACTCGCAACCCATTAACTGAACTCCAGTACCTATTAACTGAAATTCATCAAATTTGGAAGTTAATTGATAACGTTCATTTTCAGAATCGAACTGATCCACTAAAAATGATAAAAGCAATTCAAAAACGATGGAATCTGGGTCCAGATGACAAAAGATATGCGTATTATGCTAACTTCGTGTTAGCAGTGGCCAATTCGGACCTGTTCCATCTCCAGGACTATGAGAAGTACAAAGATGATGATCGTCTTGACGTAGATCTTTTTGGATTGGCTGTTGAGGTAATTCAACTACCTCTTCGACTGTACCAAGGTCCTGGAGGAGGAGGGAGTTTCCAGAGGGCGTTGAGAGTGTCTATGGGCGGCGGTATAATTTAGTATCAGGTGAAAGTTATGCACATGTGCAGGTGCGGTATCTCACACACGAAGATAGTGTCAAAATATTATAAAACACTACTGTTAATGAATATTACTTTAAGCCATTCACTAGTATTGTAAATTAAGTCACACAGTATTGTTATACAGTGGTAATATTGAATAATGCTGGTAGCATTTTCTCTACCTACCAGTGTACCTTTTTCAGGCGGTTGAGGGAAAAGTTATTGTATCTAATAGCAAAACTAACCCTCAACCACCTAACCTACGTCCAATGTATATTCTTTTTTGACCCAATAAACAAAACTACATGTCTAGCTTATTTTAGCTTAGCTTCCTCGGCCCCGGGGCGTAAGTCGACGGGAAGGTAGGTTTACTAGCAATTTAAAAAAAAAAAAAAAAACCTACCAGTGTACCTACGTTTGTAGGTACACAGCCACTAAGACCAAACTTTTTAAATTTATATTTGTCAATTTTTAATAATTAGTCAGGTTAAGAATATTGTAAATACAAACAGTATTTAAAATTTGAGTTAAAAACAATAAAATTTGACATGTAGAAAAAACTTTTACTCAATTTAAATACATAGAAACATTTGAAACTTGTAATCTTTAGGTGATGCCGGAATTGCTGATGAAGATCTCATCATCACAGCCAGTAACCTTCCAATGGGTACCAGTGATGACAGAGAGTGGAACTTGCTATGTCACCAACTCTGTGGCAACCGCGGACTTAGCGCTTATGTTAGTATTTAAGGTTTAGAATTATACCTTTTTTGGATTTTTATAATTCTGTTAATTACGACTCGTTGTTTCTACGAACGATAACTCTAAAAATTATATATAACATTGTGTATGATTAAATTCACACACTATCTGAAAAGAGTAAAAAGCTTTTGCTTGGAAGCCAATCATACTATCCAACAAAAATGTCCATTCAAACCTTCTTTTTTGAATTTGTTTAATCGTCGTCTAACCTCCCAAGGACAAGCACAAAAGCTAGCGCGACAGCAGCGGAAAAGCATAAACAGCTCAAATATAAGTCTTAACTTTGATTTTGTTCCCTTTGGAGTAGACTCTTGGACCGTGAGGTTCAAGTGCACAGGCGCTAATTCAAGATTTAAGTCGGCGCCTGAAAGTACCGTTGACCCCAGAGCTGATGCTTACCTCGCGAAAAATGCCAGCACTAAGGGTACACTTTCACAGGGACCAAACTTTTTAAATTTAATTTTCTATTTATCAAATTTTAATTGTTACTATTATTACTATGTAGCTACACCCTAAATCCCTACTGTACCTTAGCCCTAAAAACGTAACGAATTTAACGAGACTTTATTTTTAATCTTAACTGTGATTGTTTTTCAGCAAATCGCAACTAAATGCAACAAATAATCCAATCACTTGCCACTATTCAGATACTGTTTGCTATGTTATATTTGAAGTGACGAAAACATCATATGTGAGTAATAACTTATTAATTATCAGAGAGAATAGAGTAAAAAATAAATTCTTTGTTGGTGCCTCTAGATTTATGACAAATCTAAATATACTTATAGAACAAAGTCGTGTTAGTTACACCACTTATAACTCAAGATCGGATGGACTGATGTTAGTTATATCTTTTTTGGTGAATATCTCCGCTCCGAATAGCAGAATAAGTAATAAAATATCGGATAAGTTATCGAATAAATTCATTAATTAGTTTTACAAATGCAAACAGCATGTGGCGCCATCTGTTGGCAAAACTATGCATCATTTTACATCGAATTCGTGTCAGTTCGAGAAATTCCGATCTTGAGGTGAAAGAGGAGATGCATAACCTGGCTTTGATCTTGATTGAAGACAAGTGTCTACCTCATCAAAAAATGTTATATATCAGAAAGTGCTTTAAAATGCAGTATCGCAATATTGGCGCTAGAGAGCAGAGGCCTAATGTGTAAAACTGCCATTTTTCTTTCGCAATGGCAAGCAATAAAACATTTCTGTATTTGCAAAAAAAAACTTGTATCAATGAAATCCTAAAATATGAAGAAGAAGGAAGATGTGGCTGGTTAGCGATAAGGGCGTAGCCTAATCATTTATTATGATATGTACTATTAAGAGGTGTTAATAAAAAAATTGTTCAGTTTACATTTATCCACGTTAGCCATTTTCCGGAGCTTTATATTTTATTAATATATGTCATAGGCCTAACATAACAACTTAAAAGACAAATCAGCCCGAAATCGTTAATACATTACATTATTTAAGTTTTCCGATATAATTCGAATTAGGTCCTTTAAGAAAAGAGCGTACCAATTCCTAAAATGACAACGCACGTTCCTCTGGCAATGTGTGTATCTATGGGCGTCGGTATCACTTAACATCAGGTAAACGTCCTGCCCCTTTGCCTCGTTCTATAAAAAATTGACATATTTAGTAGCTGACAGTAATACCATTACTCCGACATATCAACAAACAACTCAATCAATCAAGCAAAAAACCAATCCTAACTCCGCTAGTTTTTTGTTGAAGACGTTTGTAAGGAATTGAATGGTATAACTGTGCTCCTGATCTTGAATTATGGTTTCAGTACTACATTCACTCACCATACGACGTGGCAAAGACGTCAGAGAGGACCGGCAAAGTGTATCCATCTCTAAACCGTTTCACAGAGCTGAGTGTGACAGAAACTCGCACTGGTCATGGTGTGAGGGAACTGTCTTCAAGACGTAGAGCCTGTCTTTATAATGATGAGAGCCAGGAAGGGAGAAAGGTATTCGTTAAATGTTCAATACTTTGTATGACAATATTGATATGCATATTATATAATACTAGCTGACCCGGCATACGTTTGTTTTACCATGTATATTATTTCTAGGAAACATTTTTTTAGTTCAATAAAAATCACTATCTACAATAATACAAAATAGGGGTTGATTGTAGAAGGGTGAAAATTAGGGGTTGTATGTATTTTTGTATGCTGTACCATAAAAACAAAAAAAATCTAAAAGATAAAATAAAAAATTCGGCGTGGACACCCCATATAACTTAGGGGTTTGAAAGATAAATAGTGGCCGATTCTCAGACTTACTGAATATGCATAAAAAATTTCATAAGAATCGGTCGAGCCGTTTTAGAGGAGTATGGGAACGAAAATTGTGACACAAGAATTTTATACATTAGATATACATATTTATATATAATTAAACCATAATAAACTTTGTTCACGCCATCCAGATACTGTTAGTCCTCTCTGTTCACATTTTCTGTCGATACCGCACCAATTCCCAAAACACAACTCTGTTTCTCTTATTCATGAGACCATTATTCTTGCTCCCGCGCTGGGGAGAAGATTAGCAGCCGCCGAAACGAGATCACACAACAAACTTTAATGATTTATACAGAAGATATAAAACTTTTAGCTAGCGTCTGTATGTAAACTAACATAAGATATATAAAAGTATAAGATATACACAGGCCTCAAATGGATGCAATTTTTCATCACACCAACCATCTGGAGCCAGTATGGACCAGCAATTGGAGGGGTCGTCCTTTCATGACGTTTGAGGTGTCGCCCTTTGCGCCGTTAGCCTTTTAGTCCTTTCCATGACGTGACTCATTTCGGCCATCTTCCAACTTGAAGCTTTGCCACATGCATTTTAATTTTTGGCATATTTGGCACCATTTATAGCTTTTGTCATCCTCGTATTTTTATTGAATTATACATTAAAATTCAGGGCATTTAAATAAGAATTGTAGTCGATAACAGGTTGGTAAGTAAAGTATCCTCTCAATGCGCAAGTATTTGTTTTTAATTTACTTTATTATTATTTATTACTTCCTTACTTAATATATATTTCTTTTTGACGATCATAAGTGTGCATTGTGTTACCTAAATGAATAAATGATTTTGATTTGATTTAACATTCGCTCGAACAGTAAATGAAAACATCGTGAGGAGACCAGCTCGCCTTAGACCTAAAAAGTCGACGGCGTGAGTCGGGCACAGAAGGCTGATCACCTACTTGCCTATTAGATTGTCAAATGATTATGAAACAGACACAAAACTCTGAGGCCCAGACTTAAAAAAGCTTGTAGCTTGTAGCGCTTCTGATTTATTTTAATTTATGTTATTATTTTTAATATATAATTTTTTTGTTATTGTTTTCCAGGTGTATAGTACACAAATGTGTCGTCTGTCGTGTCGCAGCCGCCTCGCATTGGAACTGTGTGGTTGTCGGCCATTTTACTATTTTTACGAAGGTAAAAATAAACGCCTACAGTGAATTCATAGGCAATGCGGCTTTTCGTCTTTTACTTTATTTTATTTATGTTTCATCCACATATTAGCAATTGTTTCTCTATATTTTTTCATTCGTTTTTTATCTAAAATTCTTTTTTTACTCGTTAACAAATTCAAACAAAACATTTACAATTCTACATTTATTTTTATATTTTAATGACATTTACAGAGACTTAGAATTGCAGCTGTTGGAGCAGCAGCCATTCTAAGTCCCAGATAAAATCTGAACGATAAAAACATTAAAAATATATAATATACAATGTTTATAGACTTAGGTAGATAGGAAATAAATAAGAAGTTCTATATCTAAACCGGAATAACTTCGTTCGTCGGGGTTCTTGCAGTGAATTGTAAGCGCAGATTGTAGACGCTACATGATGATGGAGAGGAAGTTAGGCGAATTCCACAAACTAAAAGATATTCTTAAAAAAAACTGGATCGTGGGAGGGAATTTTAAAAATATCACTAAATAATTCATAGTTATAAGAAAAATTTTGGCATCTATAGAATAAGCTTGAATTGAATATTTTCGTTTCCAGCGGGTCCATTCTGCAACCCCGCGGGAATGTGGTGTTTGTCGAAGTACAGCAAGGTATTGGCTAACTTCGGGGGCATCAAATGCAACTGCCAGGCCTCCTGCCTTCACGCCGAGTTCAAAGAGAAATTCGTGGAGGATCAGATATGGTATGACATCGATATTTTGCGGGTTTGGCTTAAAACAAATCTCCTTCTAAAAAAATACTTTCACGATATTATAATAATAATATGCTTTTACACTTAAACACTATATTTCTATCTCATTCTTTTTAAGTAGCTGTGTGCCCTTTTTTTGTCAAAGTCCATTCCATGTCTGCACAGTGCCACTCTCTGCCATGTATCAGTTATCCTAAATCTGGTCTATCCTTCTAAATTGTCATCCACTTTTCTGTATATTTCTAGTATTTTTATTGTTTTATTTTATATACATATTTTAAAAAAGATAGATATGTTACACATATACTGCAGTACGATGCTGTAAATAAATAAATTTCTAGTGATATCGTGGCTGATAGATTTTTCTAAGTGCACATTACTTGTTCGTACAGTGAAGGTAAACAAACAAAAACACAGGAATATTTTTACAAGAGAAAAAAGCTCCATACTTCAAAGTCGTAACAGTAAATACAGTGCACATGGTCGCTGTCATGAATATTTGTATTGCCAGTAAATAAGTTATTTTAAAATGTTGACTATTCTAATTTCAGGGTGTTGGTTTTTTGTGACGGTGTCCGCGCTCATCGTAAAAATTTCCTCTCATCATTTTTCTCTAACGCGCCAAAAATATTTTGGTAATTTTAGGGGCAAGGGACCATTTCAAGAAAGAGGTTCCTTAAGATTATCAGTGGAGGCTCCAAGGACGCGCTACACACGCGAAATCGTCTTTCACTTCGAAGATTTAGTTGGTATGTCTTGATTTTTTTGCAAACGATATTTACTTTTTGTATCTGTTTCGAGATATTTTTTTTAATAAGCTACCTACTTGCTTGTATCAGCCTGTGTACACGTGCAGTTGACTTTTTGAGTCAAATGCCGGTTACCTCACTATGTTTTCCTTCATCAAACAGCGATTGTAAAAGCGAGTATAAAATGTGCTCCTTGGTAGTCCATTGACATTCCAAGTCTGTAATGTTGACAGGTTGACATGATAAGCCAGTAAAAAAAATTCATTTAAAAAAACCCTTGGGCTGATAATTCTGTATCTGTTACGTGATAAGTTCCCTAGGCAAGTAGGTTGTACGGCCAGCCAATGGACTGTGAAATGTGTAATAAAATAAATGTCATAAATATCAGTATAGTATATATTGTAGTGTATGTATTAGCAAGCTGCACTAGATATCTAAGTATATGAGAGGGTAAGACCTAAGAACCTAACAACTCTACGGATGGCCTATATAAATAGTGAATATATAAATAGGTACGGGAAGTCTACACCAGAGGTAATATAGATAATAATAAGATCAGTGGTTAGAGGTGGTGGGATTATCTCAAAGCTATCGGGCATCACCAGGATAATTGAAGGATTAAGGGGTCTTCGCGACTTTGAGAGGATGCGAGAAATGAATAAGACAATATTCAAATCTGATGTGTGTGTGTGATGATAAAACAACATCTTAAATATTACTTACACCTATTCACACAGACATAATATTATTCTTGTGAGGTCTTGGTGTATCGCGCACCTTCAGGTGTTAAAATTTAGAACAACCACGTGAGCCGTGTCAGCAGTTGGTCAATGTTCATCATAACATAGGTGATCCTTTTGTGCCTTACATGTGTATTAAGACCTGCTTTTCCTCACGTTTTCCTTCAAGAATATTTGTGATGAATTTAATTTTTTTATTAACTTACAGTATCATTTGGAGGTGCAGCTGGACTCTTCCTTGGAGCAAGTTTCATAAGTTTCGTGGAAATTATATACTTTGCTATGGAGAAATTATTCAAGGTTTTCTCGAGGGAAGAGGAGATAAAACCAGTGGTAATCATTATTAAAAAAAAGTGCGTGCGTACAATGTACACATGTCAGATGTGAAACTTCTTTCGCAAACTAATTTTTAAGTCTTGTTCATATTTATACAAATCTAAAACGAGGGAAAAAGGAAGATATGTTAGGAATTTAATTGTCATGGCGCTTCTAAACGGGCCATGTTTTGCTGCAATTGATGGCTGCAACACTGTGGCCGGCAACATTGCAAACAATAGCAGCCACACTATGCAATATTGCAGTAATGTCTCGGCCATATAGCCAAACATGTTTTGTATAGCCACATATGGCCGATGTTGCCCCGATGGGTGGCCGGACGATCGCTAGGCTATCGAATTCAACTGCAATATTGCCAGTTCTCTTGTTGTTTCAGTCACTCTCTTTGTTATGGCACAGTGTATCCTTTTCGTTTGCTATGAGTGAAGTGTACCTGTTGCTATATTCTGTGTTTTGCGATCAGCTGTATTTGACGTTAGATTACTACGTAAAAATGACTGCTTTTCACATTCTAGTTCTTGAATAATTTATTATCAAAACTTATTTCTAGACTCAAATTGTTCAACTCAGTTTCACGCCTATTTAAGAAAGGTCGAATCCACAATCTGTTCTTTTTCTGTTTCTTTTTTAAAACAATATAAGCTGCTGCGACAAGTGTGATTTCGTCAGCCATTGTTGCCGGTTTGTGTAGCCCGTTTAGGAGTCTGCATCATGGGCCATACTATTGCAGACATATTGCAACACATTGCCCAGCCATAGATTGTTCGGCCATCAGCTGCATTAAAATATTTTTCTAATGGCCGGGCAATTAGTGGCCAACAGTGCAGCCATCAATTGCAGCAAAACATGGCCCGTTTAGACGCGCCATCATAAAAATATTTAGTGTCGAAAATTAATACTAATTATAAAATTATAATTCGTCATTTGAGATTTCAATAAATTATTTTGCATAAAATATAAAATACTAATATTTCATAAATTCTCTACGAAATTTTAATTAAAAAAATAGAATTTCTATAAGGTAATTCGCTCTTCTCACTCTCTCTCAATCGCTCTCTCCTTTTTCTTCGACAAAAACGCTGCACATCTTCGTGACGCTAATATTATTATTATTGCCATTCACCCGTAAAAAAATTACCCTAATGAGCCTAAAGAAGTTTCACTTCAAAAATCGTAAAAACACAACTTTTGATATAAAACAGGGGGCAAAGTTAAGCAGAGGGTTAAGTGATAAAGTATTGTATCAATTGAGCAAGCATTTCTTCAGATGTCGTGACAGTATACGAAATTGTACCCGTATTGCCTGGATGTCCGTTGTTCCACAATAATCTCTTTAGGCTTTGTTCAGATGGCAAAAATTTGACGAGCGTTTTCAAATGACGCGACTAGACACTGTGGTATTTTCATACAACTGTTCACATGAGCGCACGTAAACGCGCGTCAGCGAGCGTTAACGCGGCGCTCAGAGAAAAAGTCTCTAGACGCAGGTGATCGCGCGTTTCCTGGCGCTTTAACATGTATGTAACTTCCGTAGACTGTTCAGTTGAGCGCGCACTTTCATCGCGATTGTACGTTTTTTTTGTGACTTGCTTTTGTATTCAGTTCAAAATGAGTGAATCTCAAGATATTGTAATTGATTTACTAATTGATGAAGTCCGGAAAGGCCCTTTTGGGATTGGCGATTTGGGATATAGCTTCAGAATCCTCTAAAAATAAAATTTAAAAACGTGCTTGGGAAGAATTGGTTTTAATTTTCTGTAATGTAATGATACCGACTCTCAAGAAGACTTTTTTGTAATATAACCACAAAATAATATCTTCTTCCACGTCCATTTTTTAAGCTCTATTTAAACAGACAGACGAGCTCTCACAATAATTCTTGTGGTTTCAGATAATACAGAAACGACCGTACGAGAAACGAATAGAAGAAATAGGAATCATTCTAAAATCCCTTAATTCACGGCAAATACCTTACTAAAAGTAACTAGGAAAAATGACGCGACGTGAATATTGTATTTGCTTTACGCAACCAATGATTAGATTATAATTAATGGATTCGTTGAATAAGTTTAAGATTACACAAAAAGATAATTAATAAAAAAATAAAATGCCTTTTCGTTCGTTGGCAATCAACTTTAAAATCAAGTATTACAAATATACTAACAAATAATATAAAGAGCGGTGTTGGCCTAGTGGCTTCAGCATGCGATTCTCATACCTGAGGTCGTAGGTTTGATCCCCTGCTGTGCACCAATGGATTTTCTTTCTATGTGCGCATTTAACATTTGCTCGAACGGTGAAGGAAAACATCGTGAGGAAACCGACATGTCTTAGACCCAAAAAGTCGACGGCGTGTGTCAGGCACTGAAGATTGATCTCCTACTTGCCTATTAAATTTAAAATGAACATGAAACAGATTCAGAAATCTGAAGCCAAGACCTAAAGAGGTTGTAGCGCCACTGATTTATTATTTATTAATTAATTGTACGGTACGACAACCACTCGCGTACAACAATAAAATATAAGCGAAATAATGAAATTTTAATTGCTATGCAACGAATGAATGCAATGTCATTACTCTACATAATTATATTGTGTAACCTTCTCTCTAGGTTGAAGAGAGTGCCTAAGTCTGGCTCTCTCGGGGCGTAACTTCGACGATTTAGGAAATCGCCACGCTTATAAAAGTAAGAAAGCCTGAATGAGCAAAATGTACAGCCTTGGCTCGTACAGTAAATCCAAATAACATTACGAAAAAACAGTTTTTGATATTAGTAATGTTTATTTAAAGAAAAAGAGTTGTGATACTTGCGTTAACTTTTAAGCGTTTCTGTGTACATTGTCACAGATAACAATAACGTATTATCCTCCGCCTTGAAACTACATTATATTTAAGTAACAAATGCTATATTTATGCCCAACAATAAAAAAACGACGGCGCAGCCGACTGGTCAAACCAAACCCCTTTTAGATTTAAATAATTATTTTATTTTGCACTCAATATATAGTTATAAAAAAAGGCTTTTCGTATCCTACATTTTGGTGACAATATTTAAAAATATGATAGAGAAATCTTTGGAGACAGGTAGGTACTGCTTCCTGCAAAACTGCCATAGGAAACGCTCAGCTGTGGAACGCCGAGGTGATACGGATGGTATTTTAAATTCTGCCTTGACGTCCGATGATGAAACTCAGCTGCAGGTATTAATCCGAACAACTCCATGGTATGCGGTAGAAGATGCAGAGAGACCCCAAAACCCTACTCGGAAATTGACTGGTTGTCGGTCAAGCGGAAGAAGCTGGTACTGGGAAGCTAGTACTCCATGTGGTATCGAATTTGCGTTTTATACATTTGCAAGCGGTGACCCGGAGTGAAGTATGGTCTGTAAGACCTTGCCTTGCTGAGCACACCAAGTTTCTTAGAGGCTAACTTAGCCTTTCCTTCCAAATTACCGCGAAACTGAACGTCATTCGATATGTCAACGCCCAGTATCCCGATCACTCAAACTACACTGTACACGGATTCATTCAATGCATAAATAACTTTGTAATCACATATTGGACTTGCTGTATCTAGAAAACCGAACCGGAATTGCAAAATGTTTCTCCTTGATTGACTACACTTGAATCTTCTATGTCTGTTTTGATGATCGATCAGTCAGTGAGGGACAAAATTAAGAAGTTTTACTATTTATAATCCTTAGACAACTGGTTCAAATTAAATAAAATATACCGTGTTGCGTGTCTGGTAACTAAAAGGCTGCAACTGTCAGGCTTTTAATTTTATCCATAACGAAGTTATAGGGGGTTGAAAGTGGCCTGAACGGCTTCGAGAAAGGAATGGTACGGCCGTGTGATTTTTTTGTGAAGATTACCAGCGTTATTTCTTTTGCATATCAATCATAAGTAAATGCAAACATTAAAGTCAATCAGTGGCGTAATAAACCGGCCTCTGAACACAAAACTGTAACTTGAGAGGTCTCGCACTGGGTTCAACTAAATCCAGTCCAATTTAACTCCAACAAGCCACCAGAAAAGCTCCTTTGCAACAAATACTCCTGTGAAGTCATCCTCTTGGCTTTTTTTTGTTTACTTGGGGAAATGCATTTTTTTTTTTTTTATAGAACGGGGGGCAAACGGGCAGGAGGCTCACCTGATGTTAAGTGATACCGCCGCCCATGGACACTTTCAATGCCAGAGGGCTCGCGAGTGCGTTGCCGGCCTTTTAAGAATTGGTACGCTCTTTTCTTGAAGGACCCTAAGTCGAATTGGTTCGGAAATACTTCAGTGGGCAGCTGATTCCACATAGTGGTGGTGCGCGGCAAAAACTGCCGCTCAGTTGTGGAACGGCGGACGTCGAGGTGATACGGGTGGAATTTCGTATTCTGTCTCGACGTCCGATGATGAAACTCAGCTGCAGGTATTAATCCGAACAACTCCTGTGAACACTCTCCATGGTAAATGCGGTAGAAGATGCAGAGTGACCCCACATCTCTACGCAACGCCAAAGGATCAAGCCGCTCGGAGAGGGATTGGTCGTCGACGATTCGAACCGCTCTGCGTTGTATACGGTCAAGTGGAAGGAGCTGGTACTGGGGAGCCCCCGCCCAGAGGTGAGAGCAGTACTCCATGTGGGGCCGAATTTGCGCTTTATATAGTTGCATGCGGTGGCCCGGAGTGAAGTACCGCCTCGCCTTGCTGAGGACACCAAGCTTTTTGGAGGCTAATTTAGCCTTTCCCTCCAAGTGACCGCGAAACTGAACGTCGTTCGATATGTCAACGCCAAGTATTCCAATGCTGGCTGTGGCTTTAAGAAGAGTGTTTTCGAAAAGAGGAGTAGCGACAAAGGGTGTTTTTTTAGCGGAAAACGCGCAAACTTGTGAAATTGCTTTGCTCATACCCTTTTGCGGCGGGACTGGTTAGTGCGGGAGGGTATGTGGGACTCGCACAAACTCGCTCCACTAAAACACCAGGGTGCCACCAACAATCGTCCTAGGTGGGATGTGGTAATAGCTTATCCGCTTTCCCGATACGCGAAACGATGATTTCACCCGCCTCTCTACACCCATTGTTAGTTTGTGTGCTCCCCTTGGATTCAGCCAACATTGGAATACTTGGTCCTGAAGCGATTTGATGTCGCAGCAGAATGAGATAGTACTTCACTCGGAGTCACCGCTTGCAATAACATGATGTGCAAATTTGGTCCCTCATGAATTAGAACGCAGAATCGTCGACAACAAGCTTTCTGAGTGACTTGATTCTTTGATTCTTAGTTGTAGAGTCATTCTATATGTTTTATCGCATTTATCATGAAGAGTGTTCAGAGGAATTGGTTTACCTGCAGCTGAGTTTCTATGGACTTCCCGGCTTCACAACAGAGCTCACCTCAACATACATAATCACCCAACAGCGGTTGTGACATTTGCTTCTTTTTCATTGATCATAAAAAAAGTGCGTGCGTACAAAGTACACATGTCAGAAGTGAAACTTCTGTGGCAAACTAATTTTCAAGTCTTGTTCATATTGTTACAAATCTAAAACTTTAGATTTCCGAGACTTAGAGGTAGGGAAAAAGGAAGATATTATAGGAATTTAATGAATTCAATTGTTAACAATCAATTATATTCTTTTTTTTTTTAAATATATTTCTTCGATAATAAAAATTCATCAGGCATTTTAATTTACAATTCGTCATTTGAGATTTCAATAAATTATTTTGCATAAAATATAAAATACTAATATTTCATAAATTCTCTTTACGAACCTTATAATTTCTATAAGGTAATTCGCCTTTCTCCCTCTCTCTCAATCGGTCTCAATCGCTCTCTCCCTTTTCTTCGACAAAAAGAAATTCTATTATAAGTATACTTCTTTGGCGTAACAAGATAAAAAAAAAATTTTATTCTACGTTTGTAGAAAAAACGAAACTAACAATAGAAAATACTAAAATGTTGACTATAGCTAACTTCGGGATGTTGGTTTATTTTTCCCTAACGCGCCAAAAGAAGTATAACTTCAAAAAATAATCAGTGTTTTTTTATCACATCTTTACAGTAAATGTCGGTGATAAGAATCTTGCTAACGCTTTTCAAGTATATATACGTTTGCCTGGGTATCCAACCATTGTTCAACGAGTTGGAAGCATTGTCGATAATAATGGGTGTTAATTTCTTATTAATATTAACTGTCATTGGAGCCGCATCAGCACAGTTCGTATGTAAGTATTTCTTTTATTCATATTTTTATTTTTTTACTATCAACAAAGATTTATTTCCAATACACAAATATACAGTATTTACAATATTCTTAATAACATAGTAGCAATAATAATTAAAATTAGAAAATTAAACCAAAATAAAAGAATGGTGCGTGTACTTATGTACGCGCGTAAGAAGTTATACTTCTTTGGCTTTCTTTATTTTTTTAAATATTAAATAATTAATAATAAATATTTAGCGTTAATAATTTAACAATATTTAATATTTAGTATATTATTCAATTATTAATTAATATTAATAATTATTATTATTTATTATATTATTATATGATTAATTCAATTTAATAACTAGGTAGGTTTCATAACCTTTTAACTAAGTAACAATAGGTCTTTGTGAAAAAGCATTGCTAAATTTCTTTGAAAAAATAATTAAAACTCCTTTATTTGTTTAAAAGGTACTACAAATGTCATTATGGTCATTCAAAATTCTTGGCATAGCTGCTAACGTCACGCATATTCTATTTCTTTTTACTTGTAGATTGTCTTATTCCCATCTCGCTCGCGCACGCTCGGCGCCCATACTGATAATTTTGTGTCACGGTGCGCGCGCATCGTAAAATTTCACTCTCATAAATTTTTCATAACGCGCCTAAAGAAGTATAACTTCAAAAATCCTGTGGCAGTGTACCTTTAACGCTGGCAGCATTTCCTCGCTGTATTGCGATACTCATTCGTTGAGCGAGGAAAGCACCAGCTCTGGGGTCACCGGTTCTATCTACAAGGCGCTAACTTAAATATTTAATTAGCGCCTGTGCACTTGAACCCCACGGCCCAAGAGTCTCTACTCCAAAGAGAACAAAAGACTCTTATATTTGAGCGGTTATTACGTTCCGCCTGCTCTGCGGCGGCGCCAGCTTTTCTTCTTTAAAAATGCAAATTATTTTTGTTAATATTTTCTTGATTTACGCAATTTTTTAAGGAAGTTCGATTAAAAAATAAAAATATTAACGATTATTTACGCAGTCTATTATGACGTAATTAATTATATATTTAGACGTGGCTTATATTTTAATTTAGATACAATTCCTCTACCATGCGTAGAGGATATATAGGATATATAGGTATTTGATATATGTATAATATTACCAGCGAATCAAATTATTTATTCAATAAAGAGCGATTCGGCTCGTCGAGGCCCAGTCACTTTCTGAGCGGCTTGATTCCTTACGTAAAGATGCATTTACCACAGAGAGTGTACAGAGTTGTACCTGCAGCTGAGTTTCATAATCGGGCGTCGAGAAATTCCATCATTATCACCCCGACGTCCGTCGTTCCACAACTGAACGTTTTCAAGGCCGCGCACCACCACTATGTGTTCAGCATATGTCCGAAACAATCCGACTTAGGGTCCTTCAAGAAAAGACCGTACCAATACTGGTATTAGAAGTGTTCATGGGCGGTATCACTTAACATCAGGTGAGCCTACCCGTTTTTCCGTTTCTAAAAAACTTAAAACCAATTTGGACGAATTCGATTGTTCTCTAAGTTAGAATTTATAAAACTAAACCCCGCACGATTTAAAAAATTTTTTACAAAAGATCTTTCCATAAATATACAGGTATAAAAAAACACAATTTTAATTTCGTTTTACATGACAAAGTGCCTTTGATAGCAATTGAAAAATATATATAAGCAAATTCGTTTTTTCTCTCCACGCGCGCCTGACGAATTATTTGTTTTACTAATTGTGTTTATTTGAGGTGTATGTAGATTGTGCTGTGTTGGCCTAGTGGCCTTGTCACATATCCGTATGTCGTAGGTTCAATCCCCGGCTGTGCACCATTGGACTTTCTAATGTGCACATTAAATATTCGCTCGTACGAAGGAAAACATCGTGCGGAAGCCTTAGACCAAAAATGTTGGGGCCGAGAAGACTGATCACCTACTTACCTATTAGATTGACAATTGATCATGAAACAAACATATACAGAAATCTGAAGTCCAGATCTAAAAAGGTTGCAGCGCCAATGATTTATTTATTTAGTACTAGCTGGCCTGGCGAACATCGTACCGCCTAACAGTCGATTCTTTTTTTTTTAAATACTTATTCTGCTATTCGGGACACCGGTCTAGCTAGTAAGATAAAAAAAAAAGTTGATAAGACAACAAATACATTATGTCAAAAAATAAAAATTTACCTTCCCGGAACCCCTCCACTAACACTTGAACTTTATGATATGGTATTAAAGTTCAAATTGACTTTTAAGTATTATTACGAATATTTTGTATGGGAAAATAGAAGTGTTGTTTTTAGACTTTTTCACTCAATTTTTATTAATTTTTCTCTCCGTAAGAACCATCCTCGTACTTCAAGGAATATTATAAAAAAAGAATCGGACAAATCGGTCAAGCCGTTTTCATGTTATGTCGTGACAACGGTAAACGGGTTTCATTTTTATATGTATAGATGTAGAATGCAGATAATTTTTGTCAGATGCGGTATAATAAACGCGAATGAATCCTTATTTAGCGCCTCCGCACTCTGTACTTTTTCGTTCATTCGCCAACAACCTTATCGAGTTTTAACCACTCCTTACCATTTCATAGGTAGAATTTTCTCTGTAAATAATTTGCTATCAATATTTGTAACACGCTCGATGCGTCAGGATTTTTAGTGATCTTTCAAGTGGTGAGTCATGAGATAACAATGAGTAATGACTCATTTGCAAAGAAGTGGTGGTACATACAGATTGATCAGATACAAAGACAAGCAAGCCATATAGGCATGATATTATATTAATTATCATGATGTCATAATAAAAAGAACAGTTAATTATAATAGTTGTCAAAACTTACAATCGAAATAGTAAATACTCTCCCACGCTATAAAATCACCTTGCCTTTAAAAATTTAATCTAATCCTTGTAAGCATTACACGGCAGTGATCTATAACTTCTAGTAAGATGATTAAATAGTAATAGCCATGGCGTAACAATGTTTGAAGTGAAACTTCTTAAGGCGCATGAGGTTAAAATTTTTAAAGATGAAACGCAATAATAATAATATTAGCGTCACGAAGATGTGCAGCGTTTTTGTCGGAGAAAACGGAGGGAGCGATTGAGACCGATTGAGAGAGAGTGAGAAGGGCGAATCACCTTATAGAATTTGTATTTTTTAAATTAAAATTTCGTAAAGGGAATTTATGAAATATGTATTAGTATTTTATATTTTATGCAAAATAATGTATTGAAATCTCAAATGACGAATTTTAAATTAAAATTCCACGTGTTTTTATTATGTATAAATATGGACAAGACTTAAAAATAAGTTTATGTGTACTTTGTACGCACGCACTGATTTTTATTACATCGTGGTGCAACATACAGGCACACAGTCCTGTTGGATCCTCATAATTAAATAAAAAATTAAATTAAAGATTTAAGTTGGCGCCTAGTGATAGTACCGGTGACCCCATAGCTCGTGCTTTCCTCGATCAACGAATAAGTATCGCAATACAGCGAGGAAATGCTGCGAGCGTTGGTACACTGCCACAGGGAAATTTTTAGCTTAGATTTTAACTAGCAGCGGGTTTCACCGTGCTCCTTTTAATCACAATCTACTAGACCCAACTCAATCCAACCTCTCATCATCACAATGCTCCACTGAATACTCAATCAGTACTGTCCTACTTTCACTGAACGCACTGTCCGAAGTCAAGATGGCGCCTCGACCCCACTCGAGGCATTTGCTCTGCTCTGTTGGGTCGTAATAATATTCGTACTTAGTATTGTCTTTTGTTGACATAACTTTTACACATTTAAAGAAAACACTTTTTTACCGGATTGAAGTTATATCTATCTATATAAAATAAAAATGGTCTTCGTTTGAGGCTCCTTCACGCCTAAACCACTGATCGTATCGACATGAAACTACCACCATTCGATGCGAAATTTTTCCTAGATGGTTTATGGCTCATTCATTTTTTTATTGCTGTTTTACTTTTATGAAAATTTATCCATACGGACTTCACCGCGGAAACATTCGGGGAGGCTTCCTAGAACCTCTAAACGTCAACATCTGTTAAAAACTCGATTTTCGAAATATTTCAATTTTCTTAGCGGGAAGTTAAAAAGAAGAATAATAAAAATATGAAAAAAAATAAAATAATGAAACATAAAATTTATTTTAATTCGTCCAGCAAAGCGGGCGCGAAACGGCTAGTATTATTATAAATTTACAATTATTTTATGTAATTTTAAATTTTTCCGACGTTTCGCGCGCTTTACAGCGTGCTTGGTCACGGTGACTGAAGACAAAAGGTGTTGAATGTCAAAAAGAATCACAGCTGTAGAAAAAGTTGTATTATCTGTATTTATTTCCCCAGAGTTGGTATCGACTACAAGATGGAGGGTTTTGGCAGAAATGGCTGTATATAAAATATGGCTGTATGTAATGTTTTGGCAGAAATGGCTGTATGTAAATAAATTTATAATAATACATAACTTCAATCCGGTAAAAAAGTGTTTTCTTTAAATATTCGTACTCTTATTCGTTAAGTAATGATTCAAAACTATGAAACAATGGTACCAAAACAAATCAAATTAAATTATTCTTAAACGTAAAAGAAGAAATCTCACTCATCAAAGCAACAATAAACAATCAACGCTTACTTGATTCGACTATAACACAACACGACATATAGATAAATAAATATTGAGTTTGCGAGAAATTCGCGGACAAACACACATTTACTAATTTAAGCAGCGGTGCAGCGATAAGCGTTTTTTATATTATTTTTTTCTAGACCGAGTATGCGTCCCTATTTCTCAAAAGCATGTATGCCAGCGCCTTGAAGTCCAATGGAGTGCGGTGAAATGCGAGCTGGTGGAATCCAAGTAAGTCCAGGCACAAAAAGTCTTGATAAAAAGGCAATATTGACGAAACAAGTTATGTTTACTGTAATTACTTATACTAGTACATAAAAATGAGTAATACTAAAAAATTAACACTAAAAATAAAAAATGTGTGGCACTCGGGGACTGCCGCGATAAAGCTATTACATAGCGTTTTTTATCAACTTATGCAAATATAATTATTTATGATTTTTTTATTTATGCAGTATTTTTATTCTTTGATATTAATTCAAGTTTTTTCTTTGATATTAATTCCATAATCTACCACTCTACCAGACTCAGACTAACACGCCTATATAGTCTGTCTCAATCTACGCGTACCGGCTGCACCCGATGTGAGACATCACGTTACGTCAAGTCTCCACGGTCAAGGCCCGCGATAGAAGCTAATAATAAATCTTATTTTTGTTATACAGCTTGTCCTTGGACATAGGCCTCCTCTAAGGGCTTGCACTCTTCTCTGTTTCTAGCTTTACGTAGCCACATAGGGCCAGCTACTCTTCGCAAATCTTACCATCTTTTTATTTGCCTTCCTCGTTTACTTTTAACAAGTTATTATACCTACCACAAAAAATTACAAGGAACCCAGTGCCGATTCCCTTAACAGATAATGTTTTCTAATGAGTTTCACTTTCAGAATGCTGTTACACATGACACCAGCAAAGCATTCTTTTCATAAGTTCTCCCTGAATCCCCTCAACCTCGCTGTGGAATTGTATTTCTGTGCACACACTATCCCTTGAATTAAACGTAAACAACACAAATATTAAGTTATATCTCTGGTAAAATGTGATAATTTTTAGAATCGACTGCGCCCTAAAACTATCTCGCGGTGAGGCTGATCTCGGTGTATTATCTGAAGAGGAGGTGGCCCTGATCCCGCAGCATGCTTCTGGTAAAAACTTCAGAATCGTGGGATCCATCAGAGATGTGTCAAGGAGCGGTAAGTCTGAAATTTCATACAACACTCACACTGTCCGAAAAGCAAGAAGTGAGGATACAATAATTATTTCTGGAATTTTTCTTAAGAGGACTGAAATTCTCTGTTTCATTTATTTATTTATTTATAAAAGCTTGTCAACGCTCGACAAACTGATACATTGGCACAAGAAAAATAAAATAAAATATTTAATATGACAAGCCCGTTTAGGCAAACATAATAAACACGAAAATAAAAAAAAAACAATTCATGAATTATTAAAACTAAAGAAAAATAGTCTTCAAATTTTGAGACTATTCATATCCAGACTGAACTCGTTTATCAGAATGCTCAATCTGGATATCGAGTTTTGGCCAAAACGCGTTCTTCTAATAGGAAGGACAAAGAAGATGATGGGATATCTAGTGTACATGAAATTTAATGTATTTAAAAGATTACGGCAATCAACCTTTTTGGTAAATATCTTAAATGCAAACGATATTTTTTTTTAATGGCTCTGGCACGATTTGTGCATTAGCCAGCGTCAAGTATATGATTTTTTATAATTCGTGCTTGTCTTTTTAGAAATTCGACCGTGTGCTCCATGTACGGTTTTAAGCAATCGCCCGGAACCGCACAACTCTCCCAAAGGCCGAGAATAAATTTAAATTAAAACTTGCCCTCGAACCGGGAATCGAACCCGGTACCCCTCACCTAGCTGCCACTTAATAAGACCGCTAGACTATGAGGCCCCCAAACGATATTAGTACCTAACTAAATCGAAACTAGTGTATAACAACAGATTTTAATATTTTTCAAGACAGTTAATTAGGGATGAATATTCATCATCATTTACTTTTGTAGTGAGATTGTATAGGCATCCCGTTCTCAAACGTAACTAACAATATATTAAAACTAGCTGCGCCCGCGAACTTTGTTTCGCCTTAATGTGATTTTACTTAGCCTACCTGTTTAGTACATACCAACATGGAACATTTTGCTATACTACCCCAGAGACTGTTCGGTTTTCCGGAATGAAAACTTTTTAGGTTCTTCTGTGATTTTTCTCTATATAAAAACCTCAGAGTTCAAGTAATACGTTCTTAACTAATAATTAAAAATAGGTGTTGATCGTAGAGAGTAGATGAAAATTAAGGGTTGTATGTATTTATGTTGTATCATAAAAAAATAAAAACAAAAAAAAATTCTAAAAAATACATTTTTGGGGTGGACGCCCCTAATCTCTTAGGGATTTGAAAGATAATAGCCGATTCTCATAATTACTTAATATCCATAGAAAATTTCATAAGAATTGGTCGAGCCGTTTCGGAGGAGTATGGGAACGAACATTGTGACACGTGAATTTTATATATTAGATATAGACCGAGTTCGAAACTACATAAACTTTTGATTAATGTTAATTGACATTTCCTATAAAAACCTTATCACAAATCTTTATAAGTTTTGAATAATTCCAGAACCCTTCGCCTTCGAATCCGTGGCAGTGGTATCATCGAACCACACTGGTGGTCTGGAAGGTCTACGTGGAGGTCGCTACTGCCACCCAGGTCTGGATGAACCAGAACTACGCTGGTCACCCAGGGTTTCAAAATTCTTGGAGAAGAAGGTATGATATGTCTGTTGATTGTGGCAATGCCTGAAAGTCCTATATATTATCCTTATTACTACATACTATAAAACAAAGTCGCTTTCTCTGTCCCTATATCCCTATGTATGCTTAAATCTTTAAAACTACGCAACGGATTTTGATGCGTTTTTTTTAAATAGATAGAGTGATTGAAGAGGAAGGTTTATATTATGTATAATAACATCCATTAAATAGTGGAGAAATACTGTTATTTTTGAGGTAGAAACATGTGATGTTGTAAATTTAAAAAAAAATACATTTTTTCCGCTTACATTGCAAACGCAGGCTGAACCCTAAGAGATTTATCAAAATATCCAAATTTAACGCGTGCGGGCCACGGGCATTATTAATGAATAAATCAAAACTACTGGATCGATTTTAATCATTTTTTCATAGTGACATAGGCTATATATTTTATATCCGTGCAAAATGGAACGAGCCGCTATGTTTTTATATACAATTTTTACAATGTTTCTGTAGTATTGTATTTAGTATCAGCATTGCACCCGTGCGAAGCCGGGGTAGGTCGCTAGTACATTATAAAATGAACTACCAGTAGCCGCAGATGTCTTTCTGTACGTACGTGTGTAAATAGTGAGATTCCAAAGGAAGGTTTTAAGTGTTCAATTTGACTTTTTTTATTTTTTTATTTATTATATACATGATCTTAAATAGAAAGAAGTTGGTATGGTGGAAACACAAACTGGACACAGTTTTTCTGTCCACCAGGTCGTCGAACATATTTAAATAATTAACTTATTACATACTTAGGCCAGTGTCATACAATATAACAGTTTTACCATTAAACCATCAAAAGTGCACGAACAACGTAATAAACCAATTGAAACATTGTCGCTCGCTGTAACTATTATTGTCGAAGAGGTCCCAAAAATTATATAAACAATTAAACTCTACATGATAACACGTAGGTTGCTGAAACTGACCGCTGTCCCGATGCAAACACCGACGGAAAGACAGCAGAAGAGATGGAGGTGAAAGCGCTCTCCCAGTTCTTCAACAGCGCCTGCAGACCTGGGCCCTGGAGTGCTAATAGCTCCGTAGATGCAGATTTGAGTATGTATCATGTGGCATGAAGCAGATTTCTGAATTTTATAGGCTAGTAACAGCAAACCTTCTAAAGGTTTTGCTATCTACTTTAGAATACTATGGCTACAAACACTATGATGATTCTGGACCTCCAATGAGGTCTTCAGGACGGTGTAAGAATGTTCAAAGATCCGCCCTTTAGGTCGGAAGAAGCGTACAACACTCCATATATGTATATATTACAGTTAAAACCGGTTTTTAGATAGAACGCGTTATTCCTAGTTAGACGGCGTTTTTACTAAACGCCTTTGTTAAAACTAGAATTAACTAATGCTCACAATTGAATATCAGTTAAAACTAGTTATTACTAGACAAAACGCGTTTTTTCGAAGTTAGTCAGTTAAAACTGTTCCGACCAAGGCTACTTTATTCTGCAGGTATGTACCTACCTATGTGTTGCTTAATTGTTATATCATATAATTATATTGCATTTAGGTAAAAGCTAACTATTTAAATATTGCTTTTCAGGTCAGAATTCGACAAGTGCAAAGAAAAATTTTTGCATGAAGAAGACGTTCCGAATACAAATTTACCTTTGAGAACTGTTGCTAAGGAAGCATCCATAGGAACAGGCCAGGGATTTATGCGCTGCGTATGTAAGAAAGGATGTATGTCAAAAAGGTGTCTCTGCAAGAGAAATGGCTACCTTTGTAATTCAAAATGCCACGATAGTTTGTCTTGCAATAACAAGTAGATCGTCATCTTTTTTAATTTTAAGGTTGTTTGATTATTTTTTTATTAAGCTATTGCATAGATTTTATCGCGGGCTTTAAGCGCGGCGACCGAATCAAGAAATTCCGTAACGAAAAAAACCTAACACACGATGACGTAATATAGGTGCGGCAAATACCCGTTAGAGTGGGATAGAACGCATACTAGATTGAAATAATATCAAAGAAAAACTTGAATTTATATCAAAGAAAACAAATACTGCATAAATAAATAATTATAACTGCATAAGTTGATAAAAATGCAATGCAATAGCTTTACCGCGGCAGTCCCCGAGTGCCACACTTTTTTTTTAGTGTATGTTTACCAATATCCCTTAAAAATATTATTATAATGTTCCTTTTTTAAATTTTATGGTTGTATTCTGTTGATTTGTTTGATTATTTTATTTACTTTTAATTAATGTTGTCACCTTGGCAACTACTTTATGCTGATGTTCCTTTAGTGTAAGTTTTTTTTACTAGGTACGGTACTATGTTTCTATACCCTAGATCTTTTTAATAAATATTTTTAAAACTTTATCTTGTTTTCAATCCCAAAATTCAAATTATTTTCTCTAGTGCTAGTTGTAACTAAAGCTCGGAGTGACAACTAGTTTTATCAGAAAATGAATTATATCAGTGGTAAATTCTAGTTTTCACTTGTTATTTCTAGTTTTGACAAAGGCATTTAGTAAAAACTATTTTTAACTAGGGAAAACGAGTTTTAACTAAAAACTAGTGTTAACTGTAACATATATATTTTTGTCGCGCACCACCACTATGTGGAACCAGCTGCCCACTGAAGTATTGTCGAACCAATTCGACTTAGGGTCCTTCAAGAAAAGAGCGAACCATTTCTTTAAAGGCCGCCAACGCACTAGCGAGCCTCCTGGCAATGTAAGGGTCCATAGGCTTTATTAAACATCAGATGAGCCTCCTGCCTGTTTGCCTCGTGTTTCATAAAAAAATGAAATGTCATCTTCTAGTATTGTCTTTGATTGACATAACCTTTACACATTTAAAGAAAAAACTTTTCACAATCCGCGAAAATAGAGGACACCGTGAGCCATTTTTGCCAAAACCCTCCATCTTTTAGTCGATACCAACTCCGGGGAAATAAATACAGATATTGCAACTTTCTCTACAGCTGTGATACTTTTTGACATCCAACACCTTTTGTCTACAGTCACCGTGACCACGCACGCTGTAAAGCACGCGAAACGTCGGATAAATTTAAAATTATGTTAAATAGTTGTAAATTTATAATAATACATAACTTCAATCCGGTCAAAAAGTTTTTTCTTTAAATGTCATCTTCTACTCGGGACTTGAACCAGATTCAATATAGAAAGTTATAGAAACTTTATGATTCTGTTTACATAATATTCGTGCTAAAAGTACTTGAATAAACTTTCAGAAAACCGTTACCAATCATTCTGCTCACTTTGTGGTGTCAGATCGAACTGTGCCCGCTATACCAGAGACATGGAAGTGACAGTTGCCGGAGTACGAAATGACAATAGACACATACAAGCATTGCAATGTCTTAGACATGGTAATACTCCAGGAGTAGCGTACGTATCCTGGCAACACGTCCGCGAGTACTTTAATGTGAGTAAAATTTATATATTTTTAATCGGTATAAAGGCATAAGGCATAGAGCAGTGTTGGCCTAGTGGCTTCAGCGTGCGACTTTCATCCCTGAGGTCGTATGTTCAGTCCCCGGCTGTGCACCAATGGACTTTCTTTCTATGTGCCCACCTAACATTCGCTCGAACGGTGAAGGAAACATCGTGAAGGAACCGGCTTGACAAACCCAAAAAGTCGACGGCGTGTGTCAGAAGACTGATGACATACTTGCTTATCAGTTTGACAAATAAAAAATATCAATGACAAATTATTACATCTGATCATTAATAATATGAAAGATTAATTAAATAATTATATTTTGCCTATATAAATAGTAAAATGAATTGTGGCCTTGTTTCGTTTGAGTTTCGTCATATAATATATACATAGACCAGCCACCATATAATGCAAATCTGCAAAACTTACACTGCAGGCACAAAAAAATAGAACAAATACGAGTCTAAGTTTTAAGTTAAACCAATTATTAATAAGCAGTAATGTCGCTATAAAAACTAGTAGATGATAATTCCCGCTTTCAAGCTTCAAGATAAAGTGTATACAAGATACCCTAACTATTTGGTGCTTGGTTGTAGGCATATGCAAATTAGCTACTTCTTTGTATAAAACATAACAAATTAGAAAAATCTAAACAGTGAGGCTAAGTTTGTGGCCCCAACTATGCTCCTAATTAATCATTTGGATTTATCTTCTACTCTCTTCTGGTCTTAGCCATTTCCGATAGTCAAAATCAAAATTCAACGTGTATTCTAACCCTTATTCATAAAAACTGAATCAGGGAAATTGCACTGTTTCAACTAAACTTTAAAAGTTCTCAAATAATACCTGCAGCTAAGTTTCATCATCGGACGTCGAGGTCGATACAAAATTCCACCCGTATCACCTCGACGTCCGTCGTTCCACACGCGTTTTTAAGGCAGTTTTTGCCACGCACCACCACTATGTGAAACCAGCTGCCCACTGAAGGATTTCCAAACCGATTCGACTGAGGGTCCTTCAAGAAAATAGTGTACCAATTCATAAAAGGGCCTCTGGCAATATGAGTGTCTAGAGGCGGCGGTATCACTTAAAATCAGATGAGCCCCCTGCCCGTTTGCCCCCTTTTACATAAAAAGATATCAGACGGACGAGAACTGACAAGAGACTCACTGACATTCAACATATATAATCTATAATCATCTTTTCCCAGCTCTGGAACCCACAAGAGGCATCATCCTATTCCCTGTTATGTCCTGACGATTCCCTTGTAGTACTAAACAGCAAGGTCTTGGCTCAGCGTGTCGCTCCTTGCTCTTTTGTTAAGCAACCATTGAGCGCCCTTATTGCACCAACGTGAGTATTTATATTATTCATTAGCTTCAATGACATTATAACATTCTTGACGAGGCCAACATCGTCCAATTCATAATGCAACAGGCTCGAGTGCTCAGCTCTTTTGTTCGGATTAATACCTGAAGCTGAGTTTCATCATCGTGACGTTCAGATACGTATCACCTCGGCGTCCGTGGTTCCACAACTGAGTGTCTCTTAAGGCAGTTTTTGCCGCGCACCACAACTATGTGGAACCAGCTGCCCACAAGTATTTCCGAACCAATCTGAGGTCCTTCAAGAAAAGAGCGTATTATTTCTTAAAAGGCAGCATCGCACTTGCGAGCCTTCTTCAAATATATGACCTTAATATCAGGTGAGCCTCCTGCGCGGTTGCCCCCTGTTACATAAGAAAAAAGTGGTTGGGGTATTTGCATCGAATGGTGGACTATAGAACCCCAAGGTGCTTACTAAACTCACAACCTGAGATCCGGTAGACCGAGGCTGTGGTGGGATAGAGTTGCTAAGGTCCTCGAAAGACTGTGATGTTGATGATGATGACGATTCTACGTAAAATTACTATACTTGTGGTTGACGAGGGCAGAAGGACTACATACAAATTCAGTGAGTCTGTGAATCGGCTACTATCTATCTTTCAAACCCCTAAGTGATAAGGGGTGTCCACCTCAAAAAAAATATTTTTATTTTTTCGACAAAAAATTTCGTTTTTATTTTTGGATGATACAGCATACAAAAATACATCGCCCCTCTGCGATCAACCCCTATATTTTATTATAGTAGATAGTTTCTTTTATTGAAAAAATGTTTCAAAACGGCAAAACGTTTGCAGGGTCAGCTAGTTAATATATATAAGTTGCTAATAGCAGAAGAGCGACGAGCTTAAGAAAGTTGGTGGAGAGGATTGGGAGAAAAATGCTCAGAACAGAGAGAGATGGAGTTAATTAGAGGAGGCCTATACTCAATAAGAGGTCCTTGGAAAAACAAAAAAAATTATAATTAATTAATTGATTATTAATAGCAGAAGAGAAATACTCAAAAAGATTTTTTTTTTTTTTTTTTCCGACAACAATTGTATCACAACAGTTACTACTAATACCTCTATTATTTTACAATCAAAATATATTAAATAATATATATATACACCCACTAATAAGCAGCAGCTTTTTTGAACTCGGCCTACAAACTCAGTGTACAATCAAATAGAAGATATAAGTATTATTTATAACTTTCAAAAGATTTTTATATTTAAAGACTTAATGTATTACGATAATAATACTATAACTAGAAGCTTTTAAAAATGCGAATTAAATACCTTCCCTATATTCAGATACCAAGCAAAAGGAATCCAGATAAACCTACAAAAGTGGTGGAAAAATGGCGCCAGTCCTGCTGGCAATTCCTGGCAAACGGTGCTTTTTGAAGCCATTGTTGGAGGCTCCAATGCGAGGGTTTCGTTCGACAAATCTTTGCCTAATTTGTCTTACTCTGCTAACTGTAAGTATATGTTCGTTCCCATTGTCCTCCGAAACGGCTCGACCGATTCTTAGGTCCTCGAAAGAATTGATCGGTCCCTTGTAATACGTTACACAGAAAAACTGTATATATTAAAACTGATAGATATATATATCAAAATATCGAAAGACCAATATATTTAAACATTATTTTTAGTGCGAAACATCCCACCAATCGACGCGTCTCCAAGCTGTATCCCAGCCCGTCGCTGGTGCACTATCTCCGAATCTGAACACTCCAAGTGTCTCTGGGTGCAATTAGCTGCGCATACCCTGGGAATCGAACCAGCGATTTCCTGCCAACAGAGGAAGTCTGTCTTCGAATGTTTTGCCGCTATCAAGGATAACACTGCTGATTTTATTGCCGCACCAGCTAACTACGGATTCATGGCCCGACAGTGAGTAGCACAATAATTTTTTACAGACTTTTAAGAATTCATACGCTTTAATATTTACTTTTCAGTGGGGACTTGGGGCCCTTTATATCCACGGGGCCCTGGTCTGCAGCCCAAAAAGCCCTTAAGTTTTTAATCATGTAACATTTGAGTTACAAATTTAATATAACTGTTCCATATCAGATACTACGGTCTGTTACCTGTGAAGCTAGTTCAAAACCTACGCAACAATCCACGTGCGTTCTCCCGCGTCGTGACTCTTCTACGGGCTTCGAGTTCAATTTCTAGCTTTGAAAACCTTCGTGGGAAAAATGCTTGCTTCCCCGAGTTTGGTGGCATCTGTAAGTATTACATTTCTTAACCTGAGTCATTAAAATCCTTTAAAATACGATGTAAATTTTTTCCTCCGTAGTATATAATAACATAACCAACAGATATGAAGATGCTTCTTTCTTCTTCACGAAGTACCTCAGAATTTCTAACATTGAGTACCGTTTACGAATATTGTCGTAGTTACTGACTCTCTAATCGATAGCCGGTATTTCTGGCTTCCTTTTTATTGATTAGGTAAAATTAACTTCGGGACATGCTAACTTATCTTCATTTTGTTTTGTATTTACACTTTGTGATACACAACACGCTCATGATGTGATACTGCGGTGTTCTGCAATTTTTTTTTCTGAAGCTCAAGATATTGTTTTGAGTTCATTCATCTCCGTTGGTGTGGACAGACTTACTTCCTGCATATGCTTAAGTGCCTTTGCTTGGTTATAGTTGCTCGAATTGAGTTAATAAATTTATAACGCATTTCCAGCATACGTAGCCTTCAACAGAGCGGCACAAGAAAACGGTGTGATCTCTCGCTCAGAATGCGACTACGCACGTGCGGTTGGGGAGTTCTTTGGTGACGCGTGCGCACCTGGAGCGCTCAACGCGTCCCAAATCTCAGCATCCGTAAGTTTTAGTCCAGATTCTGGTATATAGATTTCTGAATCTATAACTACGTGGCAGAAGTGCCTGTTTCATCAGTAATGTAATTGCTCGGCTTCACCAGGATCCCTGTAACTAATACGCAATCATTAGCCTTTGAAATTTACTATTTTTTTTAGAACAAACCCCAAATGGACAGCAGCCGCATCTGATGTTAAGTGAAACCGCCCATGGACACTCTCAATGCCAGAGGGCTCGCAAGTGCGTTGCCGACATAACTGATTTGCCGTTGCTTAATCTCTACCCCATTTGTTTCTTCTATACTAATGTTATAAAGAGAAAATTGTAATTTTGTAACGAATAAACTCAATGGCACTTAGTCCCATTTTGAAAATAATATATTTATTTCCGAATTTCCGTACGATACGGTAGGAATGTTTACCTTGAAAATCATGGCGCCACAGCCTTTAAGGTTTGCCTTTGATAATTGTGTCTGTTTCGAGATTTTTTTGTCTTATCAGACAAATAGGTGATCGCTTCTTTGTCTGACACACGCCGTCGATTTTTGTGAAGCATTTTCATACGACATTTTCCTTCATCGGACGAGTGTTAAATACGCAAAGAATGGTCAATTACACAGCTGAGTTCGAACCTACGACCGCAGGGATGAGAGTCGCCCGCTCTTGTCACTAGACCAACACTGCTGTTAGATAATTAATCGAACCCTGAATGTTGCCAATTATCTAGACACATTCCGAAATTAGGTAGTAATAAATTAAAATACTACAAGAGTTCGTATGGAAATTACTTTTTCTCTATGAATCTTAGAAAACCACTGAAGAATCGTCGATGACCAATCCCTCTCCGAGCGGTTTGATCCTTTGGCGTTGCGTAGAGATGTGGGGTCACTCTGCATCTTCTACCGCATTTACCATGGAGAGTGTTCAGAGGAGTTGTTCGGATTAATACCTGCAGCTGATTTTCATCATCGAACGTCGAGGCAGAATACAAAATTCCACCCGTATCACCTCGACGTTCCACAACTGAGCGTTTCTTAAGGCAGTGTGTAGTAAAAGTATAACAAACAAAATGATATAATTTTGAAGAAATCGCAACGAAAATAAAAAAAACAAATTCCAAAAACATATTCATAATAATTTTAAAAAAAATCAAAAAAATATATAATTTTTCCAGAACTACGATGTCAAGAGCCTTTGTTCCTTGTGTAAGCCGGCTGATTCCGTAGCCCCAAAGGGTAAGTCGCAAAAACGACATTATAATAAATTTTGAACTGAAATAAACGATTTGAAATTTAACATTTTCTATACTCTGTCGTCTGTGCCTAATACAATTTTCGGGCCTTGCTCACAATTACCCGTACACACTTTCGCGTTCGTTACTTAGTCATTTTGATTTGCGTCAAGAATAGTATAATCTAATATATAAAATTCTCGTGTCACAGTTTTCGTTGCCATACTCCTCCGAAACGGCTCGACCGATTCTCATGAAATTTTGTGCGCATATTGGGTATGTCTGAGAATCGGACAACATCTATTTTTCATCCCCCTAAATGTTAAGGGTAGTCCAAACCCTAAATATTTTTTTTTATTTTTAGATATTTTTTTCTGTTTTTTTGATACAGCATTAAAAAATACATACAAACCCCTAACTTTCACCCCTCTACGATCAACCCCTATTTTTTTATTATAAATGATATATGTATATGGCAAAACGACGTTTGCCCGGTCAGCTAGTAATTTAATAATAGTTCAATGAAAATGTAATTCATTATAAACAATGCACTGATGAATGAATGAATGAATGCAATGTGTAAGATTTGGGAAACTTTTTAAGTAAAAATAATTGTATCAGGGTTCCCAACTCTTCAATAACTAAGTTAGGGAGCGTTCAAGTATTACGTCACGCAATTTTTGGAGATTTTTGATTATTAAGTCCAGGCAGTCAGAAACACATTTTAAACCAGTCATATTTTCAAACTGTTCTCGTAACTGAAGTATTGTTACTTTAATTAAGTTCACACCACGACAAAGGAAGTCCTAGTTCATTTAATTGTGTATTATATACTTACTTTTGTTTTCTTTTAATGCTTATAGTTATGTAAGACAAACTTATTTCCAGGATCGAAAATCTGTTCCTACGACTCCACCAACAAATACTATGGCAACGCAGGTGCAGTGGCCTGTTTAGCTGATCCAGAAAGTGATGTAGCGTTTGTGGCATTGGAGAATATCGATGGTGAGTGACATTTAATTACTAGCGAGACTAAAGTAAATATTTACAATATTCCTAACGTAAATAGTAATTAATTATAACAATAATTAAAAATTGATAAATAAAACAATACAAATCAGGTCGTATCTACTCGTACCAGGCTTACAAAATCTTTAATTACCGCCTGTGCACAGGAACCCCACGGCCCAAAAGTCTCAACTCCAAACACAATCAAAGTTGGAAGAAAGACTATTATATTTGTGCCGTTTTATATTTTCCGCCTGCTCTGCGACCGGCTTTTGTGCTTGAAATAATAAAAAAAATGTTCTAATAATAAATTAGTTTTATTATGACATTTAGTCTACTGACAGCTGTAACCAATACTTTCACCAGTGGTGCGTTCCACTAAGCGCTCACGACGATCAAAATGCTCCTTTAGCCATTCCACATACCGACCGCGGTCGTTGTGGTCACGGCGAAAACGTCACTCATGACGTCATGACAAATGCTCACGCAACGCTCACAACGACCCATCTAAAGAGGTGGGTCGTTGTGAACGTTGAGAATAATTTGGCGCATTTTTTGAAATATGACAAATAATAATATTATTATATTCAAAGCTTAAAGATGGCGACAAGAAAAAACACATTATTTGATTCAGAAAGAGAAATTGTAAAGCCATTTCGATTATATTTAAACTTAAGTTGTTTGATAACTTCACCAAAATTATTTATAAAATATTCAATTATTCTTCACTTTTAACATAAATAAATTTAAGTCACAAATATCAAAACTTATTGTTTATGATTACCTAACCTCCTTAAAATTCTACTATTTTCAAACTTGACATTTGTAATATTTACATGAACGCCCGAAACGCTCCATAATCCATTCCACTTGAGTTAACGACAGTAACATTCACAATCAAGTGGAATGGGGAAATCAGCGGTCGTGAGCGTGATCGTCGTGAGCGCTTAGTGGAACGCACCACAGGTGTACTCTCACCGTTTAAGCAACAGCTTATTCATGTTCCCATTGATATTAGCGTGATGGTGACCCTTTTAAATGGACTTTACAACACAAAGAAAAAATCTTTATAGTAACTGTTTCTGTGTTAACAAAATCTTCATCTTTATAAGCTTAATAATAAAAAAAGCGTTGTGTTTTCTACGTACACTTAACTATCATTATCTATAACTATCATTATTAACTATATTATATTATACATTTATATCTGTGATGCAATTTCTCAACTTGTATTTCTATTTATATATCCCGATTTGTGAAGTTCTTTTTTATTATCCTCACGCTCTGGTTATATTCAAATTAAAATGTTTCCAGCTAATCTAAAGGCGGCGGGTCTCGAAGCATCTCAAATTCGAGTTCTCTGTCGCAACAATACCTTGGCGTTGTCGACTGGTGTTTCGGTCAACTCGAACTGTCTCCTCGCTGATGTTGTTGACTCCGAGGTGTTGACACGAAGGTGAGTTATGAATTATACTTATTTTACTATAAATGCAAATCAAATTTTAAGAAAATCCAACAAAGCATAGTTCGAGATGCTTCTTTTTATATTAACTTTATGAGTTACTGAGGTTTTCTAAGTAAATGTTAAATTTCAAAAAGATCCGTTTTCACACATGAAGTTGATTGATATATTCCAGCCATTTCTATTTTGATATAAAGAATTATCGATTCCGTTTCTATAAATGTTTCTCCTTTTGCAAAAGAAAAAAACCTGTGAATTATATTTCAAAATAATTCACAGGTTAAATAAATGTATATACTCTATAATCTATAAGCATTTAAATAATCTTGACAATTGACAAATTCTTGTCTTATCTTTATCTCACTCGTAACATTGAAATTAAATGATACAAACATTATTTAACTAAATGATGCTTATAGTAGGTATAAGACCTTAAATATAAATTCACAAAAAGAACAGTGCTTCAGCTTGTAACTCTCATCCATGAGATCGTAGATATGAACGCCGGTTGTACAACAATTGAAGGTACCTACGCATGCAACACTTGCCCTCAAGTGACGGCGAGTGTCTGCCAAATGTAATGCGGAGACCAAAAAGGTTCTTTTCCGTATATTTAAATAATAATTACGAATATTTAAACTAAATGTTTCAGAAACGACCCACTCCTTAATAGCTTGAACGCTCTGTTGGACACTCTTGACGTACACTTTGGGTACTTCACGGACACCCAACTCATCAATTTGCCGATTTACTCATCGTTCGATGGTAAGAACTCTCATTTATTACTTCGATTCCGCTAAAAGTCATTCATGGACAAATTAAACAAAACGGGTCCGAGTAATCTACCTAGGAGAACCCTGTAAGTTTAATAGCGGTTTCGTTATTCATTCGTAACTCCACCAATAAACATAATAATAATTCGAGTATTACGATTCTTCTAAAAACTTTAAATGTTTTGACCAGGTGTGAACGACCTTCTCTTCAAAAACACAGTAGTTGGTTTAACAGAGCCTACTAGCAGCACAGTGAATGAAGCTGCCCGGAATTACCATGAGCTCTTCCAACATTTCGACTCCTGCGTCAGGAATTAGAGTGACTAAAGATCTCTTAATAAATTCAATAAGAGTAATTTCAAATTAATATATTCATGCAATGCCAGTCAAATATAAATCAATTATGTTTGACAGCTGTCAGTTCGTTTTAAAGTAATGTTCACATGTAAAACAACTTAAAACTGTTTTTATAGGAATTCAAGCCACGCTCACTATATTTTTATTCATTCCTGTGCAATAAATGAAGTTTAGTTTAGCATGCTTTAAATCAATTGTTTCCGATTTAATATTAAAAATAAATTTTACAAAATATATGTTTTATTTTTTTGCCTGCGTAAGAAATATCTTATTCAGCTTACGTATTGATACCATGCTGTCTAAAGAGCAGTGTTGGCCTAATGGCTTTATGTATATCCTTCAAACTCAAACTCAAAATAACTTTATTCATATAGGTAAACAAGTACACTTATGAACGTCAAAAAAGAAGTTAAATTAATTCTAAATTTACAAATTACTACCTGTACGGTTCCTGGGTCATCAGGGGTTCGAAATAATAGAATATTTTTAACTTACTCTATATTTATCACTCGCGTAATACAATAGAATATGAGCGAAATAATAATTATGTTAATTGCCTAATGAGTGCAATTTAACAACCAGAGAGAGTGCCGACGTCTGGCTATGCTCCCGGGGTGAAACTCCCATGATACAGTTAATTGTAATGATACGAATGACTGCTGTAACAGTCGAAGAGAGTGCCTGCGTCGGGCTATACTCTCGGGGCGTGACTCCAACGATTTAGGAAATCGTCATGCTTATAAGTGATCAAACTGTACAGCCAGGGCACGTACTTACATAAGAAAAACATCACGCTTGTAGATGATCGGAATGTACGAGCCCTGGCACGTACTTACATAGGGAATAATTAAGCCTATAAAACTAAGGAAGCCTGAGCGAGCAAAATGTACAGCCTTGGCTCGTACACTACCAGTTCGTAAGTCAATGGCTTCGCTTCGCTCTGTTACAGTGTCTATTTTTGAATTTATAAGCTTCCGTTTAACTGTTGTGTATGTATGTATTTTATATGCTCCAACCCTCGTCCATATGGAAAACATCGTGAGAAAACCAGTATGCATGCTAAATTAAGTCAGTCTTCCCGCATCTCTAAATATTTCCTCACATCATTGGTAAGGTGGAAAATGTCAACATATTCATAATTTGTGTTAGTTATAGTTAGCAAAAACCCAAAACTGGAGAATTACGCTGTTAATTCGTGTTCGTACGAGGCACATAGATCAATTGTGAGTATCTTGTAGCATAATATGGTGGACCGGGATTCTTAGAGAAATTAACGACAGCAAATGGGGCTATATACTCGTATGCGCCCATTGGGCGTGCAAAAATAATAAATCATGCTGACTCCGCCGAAATATTTGCAAGAATCTGCATACCAGGCTATCGAAACATTGATCCTGATTAAAGGAAGGAATTTACAACTTTTTTGTATTAGTATAAGATCTCGCTATCTAATATTAATTAAAATACTCTGGACTGAAATTTGCTAGGCAACCCATATGGATTATATTTATTGGCATATTAAATTAAATATAAAATAAGTTTCATTAAATAAGCATCTCGGTGAAGGTCGTTGTATAGCGGGATCTTAGACCATATATTTGCGACAGCTTTTATGTATTTTATGTAGAATGGAGACCACATGAAAATTGCATACTCTAACACGGTTCTGACATAAGCAAAATAAAGGCATTTTATACAATTTATGTTTTCAAATGACTTGCATGACCGCCTGACAAAGCCTAACTGCTTTCCCTGTTATGGCATTGTATTATTTTGATTCGCGTCATTCAAAAACGCTTTCTAGAATATAGTTCTGGGGTGTTTTTAATATAAAAATTGGTTACCATGGTAACAAATATATATACGTTATTATATTTGGTACACATTTCATTCGCATAATATGTGTAATTTAGAAATGTTACCAGAGCCGACCATGATGTTAGGAACAGTCAATAAAAGTCGTTAAACTGTTCTACTATGAACTATTAAAAAATTAAAGGCCAGTGACCTGACCACAGGCCAACCATAACATGGCCATAAAAACCTTTGTGTAAAAAATTAAAAATCCTTATTTCTTTTTCATGCCTGACTTAGATAATTTTTCGTCAAATAATTATGAATTGAATTGCGTGTAACGCGGCACCTTCAGATTTTTGACCGTATTTTACAATAGTAATCTGTCACTCATGAACTACAGATAATATTGCCATTTACGCCAGAGACAACATAACCGGTTACTGGCAGGTCATAATAAAAACCGTAATGTTTCGTCAAAGTGACCTGCTTTGTTAATATTTTGTGAGGTCTTTCTCACATAGTTAGTTATTTCGACAATATATATGCGTGTTGTTGCCGTGCGTGCTCCTATTTCACCATGCCTACTGCTGATAGAGGACAAATTTTTGTCTTTAATTTATTTTACTATTATTAATTACTTAAGATGTCATGAGGAATATGGTGTAATGGTTGCAGCTCCTTACATTGTGTAAAACAAGAAACTTGGCGTTTAAAAAGAGGAGCGGAGAGTTTGTTGCCAGTTCTTCTCTTCCGTTCTACGCCCTTGATTAGAGAACTGGCAATAAATGTAAAATTAAAAGCATTTATTATATATTTCTTTTTTGACGGTCATAAGTGTGCATTGTGTTACCTATATGAATAAATGATTTTGACTTTGACAATATAACCAGTGACAGGCAAGTAATAATAAAAAACATAATCGCCCAAGTGGCCTGCTTTGTACTTAGCAAACAAACTTTAAAATAAGTCTCAGAAGCCTATGAGGTATCTGAAAACGCCTAAAATTGGTAGTAAATATTGTTTAAAAACGCTATTACTCAAAGATTCTTAGAACCCAATTAAATGATAGTGGTCCGCCAACGTGACGTCAGAATGGCCGGCCACTGTATGTCTTTATTATGTTCTTTAATGCAGAGGTATCAAATGCGTCTTTGAAGTTAGCAAATAGTATCTAATAGGTAGAGAAATATGGCGTATAGTTTGATTGCGATATGAAGTTTGGTCAGCCAACCTGATGGTCACATCTTTTGTGGTCTTTTTCACATAAACTTTGAAATAAAATATCTTTTATTTTAAACACATTTTATTATTACATTGATCTATTTAATAACAAAATTACAACTTTTCGTGCTTCAAAGCAATAATCTAAAATCCAGACCATTTCATTGATCCAGTAGGTCCCCAGACCCGACGGGCGTCACGATAGGAAGATGAATAAATACAACGCAAGAAAATATTTTTAATTAAAACAAGTCTTCATTGTTTAATTAATTGAACTGTGAGTAGACATCAAACAGTAAAATTCATTTTTTTTTCATTATTTTTATATTAATTGAAGTTTCAATTTCAAAAATCCACCACCAGACCAGGAATATGGTAAGGGCTCCACCGGAACCAGAAAATGGTCTATGAGAAACGAATAGTTTTAAATTGATTTTTAGTTTAGAAATGCGTTGCCGGCCTTTCCTTTTTATATTTCTTACAACTAATACATAATATAAATAATAATCTAGTTAATATTTACACCTTATAGCCTGATTAAATTATTTATCAAGTACACAATTTAACTAAAGCGATATTATACATTTAAAAATTATTACAGATCTAAGTAGATAAACAGGTATATACAATGGGTACCAATTTTATTCCCAATATGACGTCAGCGTACTTGTTTGTGTACCTAAACGTCAACGTACTCGTACGTCGAGGATTTTTTATGACGTAATATTACTTTACCGTTTTCGTACATTTACAATGTATGACGTAATAGACGGTCCAACCAACATTTAAACATACGCAATATCAACAAAATTCATAACTATGGGTACTTGTCTGACGTATTATTACGTCATTTAGCGATTTGACGTTACTCAATAATGTAAAACACTACAACGTTAGTAAGACTCTTGGCATACGACTATGACGTCATTTAGCGTTGTGACGTCACCCAACATTGTGACGTCATCAAGCCCTTTCATACTATATGAGAAGTCATCCGACGTCATTTAGTGACGTCATCATTGGTGTATAGCGTGGTGCGGCGTGAGTACAGCGCCCCCTGCCGGGAGGACCGACGTGATCACCGGAGCGGCTCCACCCACGTTGTTGACCCCACCACCGCAGAATATCACCTGTAATGATTATATCTTTAGTTAATATACATTCAAATCAAATCAAAATCATTTATTTATTTAATTAACACAATGTACACTTATTGTACTAACGTCAAAAAAGAAATACATATTAAATGCTTCTAATTTTACATTTTAGTTCATTAGAAATAACTGTCTACTACAATAAAAAAATAGGGGTTGATCGTAGAGGGGTGAAAATTAAGGGTTGTATGTATGTATTGTGCTGTATCATAAAAATATAAAAAATATTTTTTTTGGGGATGACACCCCTTATCTTTCTATATAAGTTAGATAGCCGATTCTCAACTTACTAAATATTATTATAAAAATTCATAACAATCGGTCGAGCCGTTTCGGAGGAGAATGGGAACGAACATTGTGACACGAGAAACATATATATATGTTTATATTCACCTGTGAGACTGGCGTGGCCGCTTGTCCGGGCGTGGCTAGCACATATTGTTGTTGTCTGACCTGAAATTATTAAAATTGGACTTTTAAAACCACTATGACAAATACTTTCAATACTGGAAATAGAAAACTTTACTTAATTAAATCAGATCATCGAATCATTATCTAATTATAGCTATGGGAGGTAAGCAAAGAGGTGCCAAATGCGTGGGTAATACGCTCTGAATTAGTGAATCCTCCAAAAAGTTCAAAGTGGAAAAGAGATAGATGTGGCGCAAGCGTACAATGAGCGTAACGGGACAGTGAGCCTTGAAGAGAAACAGGATCTTTTTTTTTTATAACTATTTAAGGTATATTTTAAATATACTTTAATTTCAGAAAAGTCAGCTTCAAACTTACGGGATGTATTTGTTGATGCTGCGTCGTCCGCGTTGAATCACTCTCAACAACCACTTGTTCCATATATGTCCCACTCGCTGTAAAATTTTTTTTTCATTAACAATGCATGATATACACAATTTACAGTTGTACAACATATACACAATATTTAAATAAGAAAGAAATAATAATTATTCATTGGAAATTCAATTAAAAAAATATTTAAACGAGAAAACACTAATAAATTTGATAAAATTATTTTAAAAAAATTTTTGTTTACCATTTTTGAGTTTATAATTTTTAGTATAAATACGTCTTAATTCCGGCTTTAACGTCTAAATCCGAGAACAAGATCAAAGTAAATTTTGTATTAAATCAGTGCTCAGACACTGATTAAAAGTACTAAGTTTGTCGAAAACTGATAAAAATGCTTACCCGTGGTGGTTGGAGTGTTGTTGGCACTATCGCATCCGAATAGACAATGTTGGACCGTCCAACGCGGTTCGAACGGTATATGGGTTTTCACCTGCAACAAATAATATTCATTAAAAATAATCGTGTCTACCTGCCCTGTCACTGGATTTCGGTTTGACGTTGATTTATGGAACATATTATAAGTATAGTTAAATTATGTTACATAGTAATAGCATAATTTAGGTGAGGTCAATTTTTGAAGTTATACTTCTTTAGGCGCGTTATGAAAAAATGGTGAGAGTGAAATTTTACGATGCGCGCGCACCGTGACAAAAAATTAACATAATGAAGTTGCCCACTAACAAATGCTTTTTATACCAGCTGGGCGCCGAGCGTGCGCGAGCGTGATGGGAATAAGACAATCTACAAGTAAAAATAAATAGAATGACCTTTGTAGTACCTTTTAAACAAAAAAAGGAGTTTTAATTATTTTTTTAAAGAAATTTAGCAATGCTTTGTCACAAAGACCTATTGTTACTTAGTTTAAAGGTTATGAAACATACCTAGTTATTAAATTGAATTAATAATATAATAAAATAATAAATAATAATAATAATTAATAATTGAATAATATACTAAATATTAAATATTATTCAATTATTAACGTTAAATATTTATTATTTAAAAAAAAATAAAGAAAGCCAAAGAGGTATAACTTCTTACGCGCGTACATAAGTACACGCACCCTTTTTTATTTTTAACGAAAACCTAACGAACAGAATGTCATACCACACACTATTAAAACAATTTTATTATTAACTAAAGAGATAATCACTTATATTACAAAATTAAAACAAATGGTGACTTTCATCAGTATAATACGCGAAATAGAAATTTGAGTGTACGACCAACCAGGCTCCAAAAGATAAACCACTCCTTATATGGAAATTGTATTCCTTTTTACAACTCTTAAGCAAAATTAGAGAATTATCACTAAATAAATTCAAAGCCCTCGTTAAACGGAAATTAATCAACAAAGCTTTTTATAAATTTGAGGAATACTTAAATGATCCTAATCCTTGGGATTGAATTGCTCCAGTTCAAACAACTTGTATGACAATACTTGGCGATTAAAAAGAGTGGCGGAAAGTTTCTAGCCAGTTCTTTTTACCCGCTCTACGCCCTTGACTTGCGAACTGGTAGTAAATGTAAATTTACAATTAATTTAACTTCTTACTGACAATTTATAAGTTTACCTAAAGTTTGAGTTACATTAAACTATATAAATAATAATCATATATTTAGCGCAGCGCAATAACATTTTCGAGACTCGGACTATTGGACCTGCCCTGCGATTCTGTAACTCACTTTTCGAACTCACACAGCGGTTTTCACATCGGCGGTCGCTCTCAAATCAGTCGTGAAGCAGTCATTTTATGATTTGGCATTCTGAAAAGGTGGGAGTTTGTAGTTTATTGTTTATCAGAATGCCAAATCATAAAATGACTGCTTCACGACTGATTTGAGAGCGACCGCCGATGCGAAAACCCCTGTGTGAGTTACAGAATCGCAAGGCTGATTGGATCATCTGGATCCGTTAAGACATGTGCCCCCTTCGGGCCTTTTTTGTCGGATAATATTTAATTCTTAACACTATATATTTTTGTTCTAGGGGGTCGTTCAAGTATTACGTAATCAGAATTAGTGCAATTTATTCCCCTCCCCCTCCTCTTGAGCTTACGTAACATTTCAACGCCTTACCACTTCTTTTTTAAGTTGAAAAGCCTATACTAGACATACACGTGATGGTGGGCCTTTGTTCGTGGGCAAAAAAGTAAAGATGGTTAAAAATACCTTGAGTTCAGTCGTGAGCATGAGAATATGTCTGCACGGCAGCCGGAAGACCTTGCTGAAGAGACAGGAACACTCCTGGGTCGAGGTCCCGTACTTGCAAATGGCTGCGTTACTGTGACGTCTGCGGATAATTGGCTTTTTTTTTTAATTTGATTGATTAAATTTTTTCCTTAATTTCATTTACCCTTTTTTGTTTATTAATTTTTTGAAATGTTATTTACGCTTTTAATCTTTTTTTTAATATAGGTAAATTCGTTAATAATTAAGCTATAACCAAAAATTATTTCTCTATTGGATCACAACATACCACTCTCAGACGGGGTTGATTGCATTGTCATTTGAAATTAACTTTGAGATTCATCATTAACCGTAACTATAGAATAAATTTAATTAAACTCGGTAAGCATGCATGGTCACCGTAAATTAAATTGCATTGCAGTGTCATTAGAAATTAATTAAGGCGCCTTTTTTCCCAAAAGTATAGTTGTTTTTTCGAGACTTATCGCAGTATAACTACTATATGTCAAATCCAATACATTTAAGAGATAAAAATTTCGTCTTAGCGCTAAGTCTGAGTGCATTAAAATACAAAAACTACCACTGAATCATAATAAACGCGTTTAAATCCGGTAGATAAGGTGAGGCTCACCTGCCACCCCTCTCATCCAGACACTTTTGGGCGAGCTTCGTCTGATGGCTCATCAAATTGTACGCGTACTGAGTTATCGTGTCCGTCGGCGATTGCTTCAATGTTTCTGTGTCCTAAAAATTTAAATATCAATATAAATTTCGCACATTCCTAACGTTTGAATTATCTGTGCTTTGTTCTCGCTTTCTATTCTGTGACATTACAAGTTCCAAATATTATCTTCTATATTATTAAAAGTAAATTACATTTATGAGTGAATTTTATGTTTTTTTTTAAATTAAGAAAACAAGTACTGATAAAACAATAATTATTGTAAATATTTGGTAAGTCCGAATTCTTCAAAATCGGCTTAGTTATTTTAGATATATGGGTATCCTCGAATTTCTGGACAAGTAAAATATAGTTAAATGATGGAAATATTTTTTTGAATAAAAATGCTTTAAAGTGACCATGTAATATTAATCAATTTCATTACACAACTCACCCGCAACCTATTAAGCGCGAAAGTCCTCCTCTCTTCTTCCAGTTGGTTAGCGACATTAAAGAAAAGAGACACAAAGTCATCTGGCTGCATGAAGCTTCGTATGAGGCTGCTAAATTTACCAACGAGACGCTCTAAACCCTGAAATATACCAATATGAATAGGTTAGTGCTGGCTACATCGGCTTAACCCTGGGGTCGTGCATTCGACATTTTTTTTTTTGCTTCAAACATTTTTTTATAAAAAAATATACATATTAAATTAAATGATGGTGCGGGCTTTGGTATACTACTTGTGTGGACACATATAGCCCCGTCTCACATCACTAGGACAACTCACTGGGGCGGCCACAGCAGGCCGAAAATAATAAACGGCTCAAATATCTTATATCAGACTTTCCTCCAACTGCGATTTTATTCCTTTTGGAGTAGAGACTCTTGGGCCGTGGGGTTCAAGTGCACATGCGCTAATTAAAGGTTTAAGTTGGCGCCTGGTAGATAGCACCGGTGACCCCAGAGCTGGTGCTTTCCTGGCTCAACGAATAAGTCTCGCAATACAGCGAGGAAATGCTGCCAGCGTTATAGGTACACTGCCACAGGGACCAAACTTTTTAAACTTGTAGTAACTATAGTTAAGAATATTTGTATATTTTCAGTTTAAAAAAATTAAAACATCTAAAAAATTCCAAGATAATTCAACAATTAAAAAATAATTACCTTATGCAATATATTAGTGTAGTTATCCTGTTCCAGCCAATCGTCCAATTTGGTGATGGGTTCACCGGGACGGTTGAAGAGCTCACCAGCGTTGGTGCCAATTATTCCTCGCTTTAGGACCTGGAATAGTAATTTACTACTATGAGAATTGATAACAATAGTGGTTACACTTTTTTTTAAAAATAAAAAATAATATTAAATTAAGAGAATGAGTCTTTTCTTTGATAAGTAAGGCAGTAAATCAAAATTAGATAAACTTCCATTTCCACAGCCGGGTTTAAAATATTTTTTTTATTGATTTTGGTTGCTTGCTCATATGGTGTCAGGCACAGAAGGCCGATCACCAACTTGCCTATTACAAAAATATTATCACAAAACAGATACAGAAGACCTTAAATAGGTTGGTAACTGTAATATTTTTTGAGGCTCTTTAATAATAATTTAAAAAAACCTTTACGAATAACCACCCATTATTATAAATTCATTAATTGATAATATTTAAATATATCTCTCCCTAATATATCAATTTCATGAAATTTTGGTTTTTACCTTTATGTTTAATAAACACAATTTAACTGGAATATTCATAACTAGCTTTTCATAGAATAAATTATATTTGTCAAAATGAAAATACAGGATTAATATTCTTTTTATTCAGCTACTGCATAGATTTTATCGCGGGCTTTGAGCGCGCCGACTGAATCAAGAAATTCCGTAACGAAAATAAACCTAACACACGATGACGTAATATAGGTGTTCCAATACGCGTTAGAGCGGGACCGAACGCATACTGCGTCTCACATCGGTCTGGCGTGATCGGTGACGTAGCGCAGGTGCGTTAGAGTGGGACAGAACGTATACTACGTATTCTCTCTGACGAGATCGGTGACGTAGCGTAAGCGCGGCCGGTGCAGCCGGTACGCGTTAGAGTGAGACAGACTTTATAGGCGTGTTAGTCTGAGTCTGGTAGAGTGGTAGATTGAATTAATATCAAAGAAAAATAAATAATTATAATTGCATAAGTTGATAAAAATGCTATGCAATAGCTTTACCGCGGCTGTCCCCGATTGCCATACTTCCACATTTGGCCACAATCCCACCTAATCTTAAGTAAAAAATCTATTAGAGGGTGTGTGTTTCGTTAGAAAAAATAATTATAAATAATAATAAAAAACAAAATAAATTAATAAATTCCAAAGAAACCAATCCAAAAGGAGTGTTCCTTTGGAAATTCATTAGACAGGCCTGGGTCTGGTAGTGCATACTAATGGTGCTTCATTTATATTCATAATGGACGATTTACCAATATGTATTATAAATATTGATAAACCAAAACATTTGCTAAAACATCTCACCTGAAGCTGCGCCGGAGTGTGTTCCCCTCGCAGCAAAGCCAGCGCATATATCTTACACCTAGCTGCCACATCCTCAGCTGCCAGCTGAATCTCATCCGAAGCTGACACCAGTTTCCCAAGAGCTCTCGACGCTTGCCATACGGAACACGACACATGGGATGATGGAAAGGCAGCACGGACCGACTGGAATTAAATAAACTAATATTAAAAATAATGAAATATTATTGGAAGAGTTAAAATAAATAGAAAATCACAACTTCTTCAATCTTTATAATGTCACAAATTAATTTAAAATAATACATGATTTTCATTATTTTAGATATCAACTGACTGAATTCTGTTAATTGGCTTAAAAAATTCAAATTAAATTCATATCTCAAGACCCTGTCAAACCGTTTCTCCAAGATGGCGACCAGACCCTGTGACTTACCAATTACCATGCTTCTAAACAAATTTCCATTTTTACATACCATACACTATGTTATCTTGCTTAAAAGGTTATAATTAAATTGTATATTTGCTAAAGCATAAATGCTACTTTAAAATTAGTATAATTAATGTCAGAGATTATGTAATAAAAGAACACGGTGTCATTCGTTTTATTAAAATAGCAACTGATACCAGGCCATAAACTCAAAAAAAAAGGGTGCGTGTACTCTCATGTACGCGCGTAAGAAGTTACACTTCTTTGGCTTTCTTTATTTTTTTTAATATTTAATATTTAGTATATTACTCAATTATTAATTAATAATAATAATAATTATTATTATTATTTTGTTATATTATTAATTCAATTTAATAACTAGGTATGTTTCATAACCTTTAAACTAAGTAACAATAGGTCTTTGTGACAAAGCATTGCTAAATTTCTTTGAAAAAATAATTAAAACTCCTTTTTTTTGTTTAAAAGGTACTACAAATGTCATTCTATTTCTTTTTACTTGTAGATTGTCTTATTCCCATCACGCTCGGCGCCCGGCTGGTTTAAAAAGAATTCGTTAGTGGGCAACTTCATACTGATAATTTTGTGTCACGGTTCGCGCGCATCATAAAATTTCACTCTCATCAATTTTTCATAACGCGCCTAAAGAAGTATAACTTCGAAAATAGACACCCGTAAGAACAGGTTGTAAGGTGTCGCGTAGAAGCGATCGTTGAGCACAGTAGCTCTCTGATCGGCGCCTGCGCCGGACGTTCGCACCGACTGTGTTTAAATATTAAGTAATAATGTCGGACGACGGTAGTGAAACTTATTTTGTAATTATTAATCGCGTTGCATCTGTGACATATGTATTACACTATTTTAAAATAGCATTCGCATTAGGCATTAAAGTTTAATTTGATTTTCATAGTCGGTGATTACGTCAACAGTAATTATTTACTTTTTACACATTGTCTATGCTTGAAAACGAAATGCATTTGAGGATTCCTATTTATTTTTGAGAGATTTGCTTACTTTTGCTGACAAGAGGGGGGAATAAATAACTTAGTATATCATGTATTACATCTTTGGGTATATTAGTTTAATCATTTCTTGTTGCATATATTTCATGTTCGCTGTAGGTTAAGGAAATAGATAAATATGTACTTTGGAAGCGTTCAAGTAATACGAAACAAATGTGGGGGGGCCTTTTGTAAAACGTTACGATGCGGGGCGGGGATTGAATTACGCGTTATTGTTAATATTATTTTCGCTTTTCCAGTACTTTACACCACATAATGGTAACTTTTAGGTATAAAGAGTCACTGGGTCACGAAACGTTTTACTATTGGGTACAGAAAAACTTTACGGCGCGTTACATGGGGGGGGGGTCAATAATCTCCAAAAATTGCATGACGTAATACTTGAACGCTCCCTTTCAAGACAACTTTTGCTTTTACCAGTTGATTCTTCGTAGGATCACATACGACACACCTCACTTGTCTCCAGGCGGGATTACAGGACTTGAACGTTTCCAACAGCCATGTTAGGTCTTCACCGATTAATGTTGATATACCTGGAATTAAAGTCCATTTTTGTTTACAAAAGATAAATATAGCCAAGAATCCAGAGACTATAGACCTGTACTATATAATCTGTGCAGGTGTTCATAATCTAGGGTCAATGGTGATAGGGTAGGTAATTTTTATTTTAAAACAGGTGATTCAGAGTGATTTGATTGCTAGATTGGCCCACCTTTTAGGTCTTACAGGTCTTTAGGTGTTACTAGGTTTAGGTATTGAGGTCTTATAGGTCTAGGTCGTATACATCTTTCGGTCTGACAGGTATTTAGGTCTTACAGGTCCTACAGGTCTTAAGGTCATACAGGTATTTAGGTCTTATTGATCATATAGGTCTAGGTCTGTTACGTCTTTCGGTCTTACAGGGCTCTTACAGATATTTAGGTCTTAAGGTCTTACAGGTCCTACAGGTCTTAAGGTCATACAGGTATTTAGGTCTTATTGATCATATAGGTCTAGGTCTGTTACGTCTTTCGGTCTTACAGGGCTCTTACAGATATTTAGGTCTTAAGGTCTTACAGGTCCTACAGGTCTTAAGGTCATACAGGTATTTAGGTCTTATTGATCATATAGGTCTAGGTCTGTTACGTATTTCGGTCTTACAGGTCTTTAGCTCTTACAAAGAGTCACTAGGTGGTCAAGAAATGTTTTACTATTGGGTACAGAAACACGTTACGGCGCGTTACATGGGGGGGGTCAATAATCTCCAAAAATTGCGTGACGTAATACTTGAACGCTCCCTAAGGTATGACGTCATCGCAGTGATTTGTTACTTACCACCACTGACTATAACGGATTTGCCATTTCCATCTTCAGCCAAAAACAATGTCACATTATGCCGAATTGAGGGATTCCCCGTCCCACCGACCATTGGTATTGCCGTGTTGAATTCGATTCCTGAAAATATTTACCAAACTTTATTAAATAATAAAAACTCAGCATCTCCAATCAGGACATACTTAAGTCTCGACTCTGGGTGAAGAGTACTGAAGTGGCTGAAATGGACATATAAAATAGTACATTATGTTAAGTAGTACCGCTCATAGACACACATTGCCAAATGGCTAGCAAGTGCGTTGCTGACCTTTCAATTACTGAACGCTCTTTTCTTCATAATACGAGGATTAAAATATGCCTTATAAAAAAATAATGGTGGAATTAATTAATGAGTAAATAAATGATGAACGAATGATTTAACCCAATGATTAATGAAAAAAATAATGGTGGAATTAATTAATGAGTAAATGAATGATTTAACCAAATGATTAATGAAAAAAATAATGGTGGAATGAGTTAATGAGTAAATGAATGATGAACAAATGAGTTAACACAATGATTAATGAAAAAATAATGGTGGAATGAGTTAATGAGTAAATGAATGATGAACGAATGAGTTACAGCAATGATTAATTAAATGAATTAGTGAGTGAATGAATGATGAGCGAAACAAGAACAAAGGATGAATGAATAATAAATTATTAACTCACCTGTCTCAATGCATAAAAATTGCGGCACCGCATTGAATGCCAATTGCATATTCGGCGTCGTGAAGTACACACATTGAATGCAACCCGACTGCGAATGGAGGAGTTTCACACCCGCATCTGTAATATTTATTAAACATTAACACTATTTAGAAAAAATCTTAACTTCAATACATGTCCTCGCAAATGTGTACATATCTCATAAAGTACTGAACGACATTTGATGAAACTTGGACTATATAATTTGAATCATCTCAATATGAATAAGTTTCCGAGAAGTTTGTGAACAAACATACATACATTACAAAATTTAGCACTTGTGCATGGAAACCTTTAGTATACTCAAATACTACTCCTTTTTTGTAATTGGTAAAAAAATCCTCAATAGTGTAATGTAAAATCATGATGTATGTTTGTGTATGTTTATCACATTACTAGCGGCAATTTATTTATAAATAATTTTAAAATATAGCCTATGATACGATTATTTATTATAATCACAAATAAATGTATATTTATAATATTAGTGTAGTTTAATCAAATTAACATTCTTTTATTAAAATCAATTACCATAATTTAGTTGAAGTTTCCGAACAACAAAGTCATATTTCTGATTCAACCAGCGCACTGCACCACTGCCTGTTGCTATTAATTGAGACTCTGTTGTTATCACTTGTGAGTCTGACCTGAAATTATCATTCAATTCTTTAAATATATTTTATTCTAAAAACATGTATAAGCTTTTCGAAAAGGCGAAAAATATAAAATTTAGAGTTGGTTACAAAGTTTTATAATTTACTAGCAGACCGGCCAAGCATTGCTGTGGCTAAGGTTTTTATTATATTAAATAGTAGCAAACTATTCAAGGGAAACGGTAGGAGAACACCAGTCATGAGGACCACCATGCTTTTTTGGTGGTAATGCCATTAAATTGTAGCTTATTTGAAACGTTGGTACTTTTTAACACAGCGCCATCTGTTAGAATTGTGACTATCAAATAATAAACAAATATTTTGCAAAAAAATAATATTGCGGGTATAAATTGAGATGTAAGCTATCCTATCTTTTAAGTTAGATCAAACTACACACGGTGTGCAAATTTGATTGAAATCGGTTCGGTAGTTTAGGAGTCCATAGCGGACAAACAACGTGACACGTAATTTATATATATTAAGATTAAGATTTCTAACATGCAGATAATGATGATGATATTAATTTATCCGTAATGGGAAAGTACTTTAGACCATACAGCCAGATCTTGTTCTTGGTAATAATTGGAGAAGTTTTTTTTGTATGGCTCTGGCACGGTTTGTGCATTAGCCAGCGTCAAGTATAAGATTTTTTTAGAAATTCGACCATGTCCTCCATGTACGGTTTAAGCACTCGCCCGGTATCGCACAACCCTCCCAAAGGTCGAGAACAAATTTAAACTAAATTAAAACTTGCCCTCGAACCGGGAATCGAACCCGGTACCCCTCACCTAGCTGCCACTTTATAAGACCGCTAGGCCCTCAATTGGAGAAGTTAGGTAGTTTTAATGGCCGAAGCCACAGTTACAAAATTAATATTTTATTTTCTTAATTTTGTAACAAAATAGATTTAATTTGTATGCAATGACACTGGCTACTTATGATAAAAAAATGTGTGCGTGTACTAGGTGAAGTGAAACTTCTTTATGACCTTAGTTTTCGAAAAATGATCTACTATATGCAACATTACAGAAATTGGTTAAATAAAGTTTAGCAAAAGGCTTTTATTATCATAGACATGAATACAAATACAATTATTTCATTTTACCTTATTACTACTAAGATTATTACAGAATTTCATTAATTGTAATAGAATTATTACTATCATTGTTATCGTTATTATATATTATAATTTATAATTAATAGTTATATAAAATATAATTTAGTTACATAACTATTTCTTTAAACACAGTAAATTTTGATACACTGGCTAGCATACAATTTACAAATTAATTGCTGCAAATTGCGATTAGCAAATTTCAAGTCGAAAATGTAATCCGTTGTCAAACTTCAAAGTCAAAAACATACTATATGTCATATTTTAACGCCGATAAAGAAGTTTGACTTCAAAAAGCAACATGGCGCGTAACGGAAACATGTGACGCGTAACGCAAAAATGTTACACTAAATTTTTTTCCAACCCCGATAAAGAAGTTTCACTTCAAAAAACGAATAAATATAATTATGTTCCTTTATCAAAATTTTATTTACAAAGAGATATCCTTGAAGGTGTAGGATAACAAACTATGTATGTATATTTTTCAATAAGCAATTTCAACCACTAAACCCTCAAATAGAAACTTTCTCTCTGTCCGTCACTTTCTTCTCTGGACCTATTTAAATCTAACATCCTCTTAAGCTACGGTTTCCTAGAAAACCGGTGCCTTTAACTAACGGCCGTCATTTTACGGTGGCCAAGCTGTGGCTTTGGTGGTGGTGGAAAGTAGTGCGACCGTATTCAATCGTAGTCACTCAGTACTCACTCGAGCGTTAGGTCGTGCACTGGTGAAATATAGACGATTTGGCCATAGCATTATTAATATTTTTGGATGAAGAGTCATCAGAAGACGAAATTATAAGAAATTTTGCTTCATCTGAGCTTGTCTGTACTCTTTGGATTTGATATTGTACAAAGCTTAATGATTTTTAACAAAATCAATTATTGTTCATCATTTTCGCTCGTCGAAGTCATTGTATTAATTAAATATGCGCACCGCTACACGTGAAAAACGTTGTACTACTGTATATCACCGCTATGACGGCCGTCATGCATATGACAGCACCGCTATTTGTCGTTATGGTGACACTCAACGTTCTCTACAAAACCTACTCCGATTTTATTTATAGACAACGTATGGGTGACATCACCGTCAACGTTACATTACGGCACCACTTTTCTAGGCAATCATAGCTTTATAGTCAATAGTATGTGTATTTGTATCACATATATCCCACTAACAATAAATATTTTGAAGACATACCTCTCAGCCACTTCTGGGTTTTCAATAATGGCCACTTCATATTCATGGTTGTCAACTTGGTTATTGCTATTCATCTCAAACTGTTGGAATGTGTTGCTTGATTCTTCCACATGTGTCTGAAATACCAATATTTAAATTAATTACTATTAAATTGTGTATGAGTAAATATAACGTTAAATTATTAAAGAATCTGTCAAAATTGAACCAGTTGACAGGAACTGAAAAAATTATTAACTGTTGATAAAATCCATGGATAAATAGTGTGGTCTGCAAGAGCTACTATATCCAATTTTCAAATATCAATTGACACCATTTTAATACTTGATTGTTGTTGTCAAGCCTAGGTAAATAGCAATTTAAAAAATAAGAAAGATATATTAAATAACCAGACAAAGAAAGTAATTTAGAAAAAATAAGATTGGACTTTTATTCAGCTGATCACATAATACTTTATTATTATAATAGGTCTGTAAATATTAAACTGGTCTGATATCTACTTTACTTAACTATGGAGCCGTTGCAAGCTGCTATGTTTTCTATTGGAACAGGTAATAACATATATAAAAACCGTCACTAAGATTAAACTCACATTATTAACCTCTGTTGCATTTTGAACAAACGAGGTACCTCCTTCCTCTTCTGGCTCACCCTTTACATCATAAATGGTCTCCGCCATAACAATACGACCAGATGAATCCACTGTCCACATTCCACCAAAGGAGAAATTAGATGGATTTCCATTCTGCTCATACAGTATCACTGTATTTGGGCCTGAAGTATATGGATTATATAAATATTAAATTGTTCCGATTTACAATTTAGGACAATTTGAGTAATGGATTAAAAAAGTTCTCCACAGATTGGATTAAAGGCTTCAAACGACATTAGCTTCTGTATACTTCCTTAAATGAGATTAGCTGTACTATACAATTTAACAGGTTTAATAAACAACTGGTAGATTTATGTAGTTAAGGTAAAATCTATGTCATTTTAAGATTTGTTTGTATGATATTCTAAAAACTTGATAAGAAGCTTCTAAAAAGATATTAATAAATAAGATTTTTTTTTTCTAGAAAAAATTATACAAGAACTAAATACAGAGAGCAAAAAAGTGGGCTTATCTATGAATATAAACAAAACGTAGCTATTAACGAATTCAAACAAATATGAAATAAAAATTAACAACCAACCTGTTGAATATGTAGATGAATATATCTATTTAGGACAAATCATCTCACATACAGACACAACTACAAAAGAAATAAAAAGACGAATAGCTAACGGATGGAAGAGATATTGGTCACTGAAAGAGATAATGAAATCCACAGATCTGAGTACTGGTATCAAAAGGAAGGTCTTCAATACCAGCATTCTCCCATGTATTACATATGGGTGTGAAACTTGGGCTCTCACAAAACATCACAGAAACATGCTGGAACACTGCCAAAGAGCTATGGAACGAAGTATGATAGGTATTAAGAAACAAGATAAGATACGAAACACTGTCATAAGAAGTAAGACAAAAGTCACAGACATACTCACTAGAATAGATAGTTTGAAGTGGAGATGGACTGGGCACATGATACGTGATAAACAAGAAAAGTGAAGCAACATCATAACTGACTGGTACCCTAGAGATGGGAAAAGGAACAGAGGAAGACAAAGCAAGAGATGGGAAGACGAATTAAAATTAACAGCAGGCTCAAAATGGAGAAGGGTTGCAAGAGACAGAGTACAATGGAAATTGTTAGAGGAGGCCTTTGCCAAGAGGCACACGGAACTATGAGGTATTTTATAACTTAAAGATAAGAGTCAACCACAAAGTCAAAGAAACAGTTCAGGATAAGAGGCTTATTATTATTATTATTATAAATAAGAATTGACTAATTAATTAAATACGAAATCGGAATAATAAACTTAGTAGCAGTAAAAGTTTAGCTAACCAAAAGGAATATGATAATCAAACATGAAATACATACCAAGTTGCACTGGCTCTCCCTTCATGTTGACAAAGACTGGTTGTTCAAAGTTGCCTTCTACTAACTGCCCAGTATGTACTATCTGCTGCCCTTGCTCTACAGGAACCTCCACGACATGATTAACCACTTCTACCTTTTTATCATCTTCAGCTTTGACCAAAACTTTACTCTTCTTTTCACCCTCCACCGGCTCATCACTTTTTCTCTTGATAACAGTTTTTTTCTTATTTTTCTTGTCCATTTTAAGTTGTTCACTATTCCACTTTCACAAACACTATAATATAAGTTTTTATCTAGTAAAATAAGTATTAAAGATTACGCCTCGCCCTATTTCCGTCATTGTACATTTTACTTGAAAAAAGACAAGTTAACTTATTTTGAAATACTATTTGTATTAGATAAAACGAAAAAACACAAAGTTTCGTTGAGCCCGTTAATTACTATTTATTGTTTTGGTAGCGATAAAATGAGAAAATCCTGTGCGAAAAGGACAACTCACAAAGACGCCATTTGTAATTTGCCGAATAGCTTCGTGAAAGTAGAGAAGGGGTCCCGAATGCGGTGGCCGCGATATTGTGTTGACAAAAGATTAAAATATGAACATTTTACCCATACAGTTTATAAACTTAAATAATATATAATAATAACAGCAAAACATTTACTTGCATATAAATGGTAATTCATAAAACAATATTTTTTGAGAAATCTATCTCGTTTCATCATAACGTAAGCAACAGTTGGACAGAAAGAGACAAACGAATACTTTATTCAAAACAATTTAAATTTTAATGTAACATCGGTTTTTTTACATAAGTAATACTCCCAATCATTACTCGTAATCCCAAAAAAACTAGCTTTACCGAGTTACGAGTATTAAATTTACAAGTAACAGCAATTTTGGTTGGCATTAATCTGTTAAATTGTTTATGTTTATCTTTTATCACATCTGTATAATAGTCAAATATTATCAATAAAAGCGTCAAATGTCAATCAAATGATCAGTATTCAGTTTGTCAAAACTGAAAACAATTTAGTCAGCTGATTTCATAATTCATATAAAACTTAATTATTTCTTGTGAAGGGGACTTCTTATGTTTCCATAGAATTATAACATTAATTCGTAGATTGTAATATTAAAACAAAAAAATGTTTTACAGCTATAGTAAATGATTCATCAAGAACCAAGGCCGTCGGCTCGTGACGTTACATTTAATTATGAAATAAGTTGATTGAGATGACCTAATGCTTATACTTAACACGCTCACAATTCTCATCCAAGTGGTGTTTATAGTGTTTATGTCCATAATATCTATGAATATAATCCGACACTTTACGAGTGTGAAAAAAATGGTTTTGATCGCTCCTGCGCTCTTTGTGAATCATGGAGGTGGTCCACTACCATTATTAGGTGACAAGGACCATATGGGACTGACAACTTTCTTACGTGATGAAGTGAAAAAGCATGTGAACTTTAAGGATTTAAAAGCTATCATATTGGTAACAGCACATTGGCAGGAGAAACATGTAAGTATATCATCCAACAGTCATCATGATCTTTATTTTGATTACTATGGCTTTCCCCCAGAATCTTATGAGTACACATACGACGCACCTGGACATCCCGAACTAGCAAAGCAGGTGTACTCAGCCCTATCAGATGCCGGGATTGAAGCCAAATTAGATTCCTCCCGAGGCTGGGATCATGGTGTATTTGTACCAATGATGTTAATGAATCCAGAAGCAAACATTCCAATAGTACAACTTTCTGTTCTAACAAATCAAGATGCGGAACAGCATTATCGAGTTGGTGAGGTATTGCACAAATTTAGAAAAGATGGGATTGCTATAATAGGTTCAGGTATGTCGTACCACAATATGAGAGAATTTATGTATGGAAGGAGTGGCCACAAGGTTGTAAATGAGGAATTTGATTCATTCTTGAATGAAGCATGTACAACTAATAATGATAAGAGAAAAGAAAAGCTTATAATTTGGGACCAACAACCAGGAGCAAGAGAAGCACATCCACCTCGTGCAGCAGAACACTTCATGCCATTGGTAGTGATTGCAGGTGCTGGTGGAAAGGCACCAGGAGAAAGGATCTTCAACTGGGATCTCAGTGATAGTTTTAGATTAAGTGGATTTATATGGAAAGATGAATAAATGTTTTCATTTTCTTCACATACTTGTTATTGAGGGTCCAAATATGGTAACATAAAATTATTAGTATTCTTCTATTTGCAATATTTTATGAAATAAACATCTTTAATGAACTATTATTTTATTATAAATGTATGGTTTTAATTTACCATGAATACACAGCTTTTTCAAAGAGTAGGTTGCATCTTCTTAAAAGCTCGGCAACGCAATCGCGAGCCCTCTGGCATTGACAGTGTCCATGGGCAGCGGTATCACTTACCATCAGGTGAGCGTTCCATAAATAAAAACTTTTAAGTAGCCTTCAAACACTAAGCCGCATATCACCAAATTTCATCTGTTACAATAATTCTTTAAGTCTGGTAGAGTCCCTTCCAATGCTTTCGAAATCAAAAAAAGTTACAGTTTATGAAGGCTAAGATGCTTTAACAGTAGTGTATGAAGAAAGTCGAAAACTAAATTTGTATGGAAATGTTCGTGTCGAAGTTTTTATACAAATTTAGTTTTTGCTTTTCTACATACAATACTGTTATGGCATCTTGAATAAAGCCCCTGATCTTAATAACACCAAGGACAAAGTAATAGAGCAGCAATTCATACAAAAATAAATATTCCGAAAACGCTGGCTATAGTGTGATGGCGCCACTGATAAGAAGAATCATTTAATTTAGGGAAAAGTTCAAGATTCAATTTAATTGAGAAGTTTTGCTAAAAACTTATTTTACATCTCTGCCATAAACTTTCGTATTAACTATCGGATCCAAATTATAAAATTTTTAGTACTTATCGCTAGATAGTAGATAACTAGATAGCATTGGAATAAATCAGCGTTTGTGCTGTCAGCTGTGTAGTCATACGGCCAAAACCAATATGCAATCTCAATCCAATTTTAGCTGTCATAGACTGACAGTTCATACCAATCTAATTATTCAACCAATCGTTCAGAGGGCGGATAAGAGATTGAAGATTGCCCTCTGTATGAAAATGAATGTTTACTCATGCCAACAACCTATCTGTCCATTTTGACAGTTGCTTCGATTGGCCAAATCAATCTCGGATTGCTATAGGTGAAACTCGTATGATTTGGGTTTGGGATTGCGACCTAACTTAATATTCATTGGGAAAATTTATTCATCTTCGTCATCTTCCAGTTCTAGTGATAGTGATTTGGAAGTTTAAATGCAATCATCCGATTGGGATAGTAATTCTGAAGCTGGAAGAAGACAACGTACTTCTGTGCGAAGACATAAGAAGACAAGAATTAATGATGAACCAGCTAATGATATTGATCAAAGCGCAATTGACAACGTAAGAAATGCAAGTGTGCGAAGTAATCTTATAAGTGATTATTTTGCTTTATTACTATAATATTTTATAAATTACAACATTTTTGAGATAAATTAAATAAAAATTCAATGCTTTTATTCAAATAAAAATACAAATTTTTAATACAATACATCCTTGCTCCAGGCACAAAATCTATTATTTTTCTAATTTATTTAACAATATATTTTATTCTATGGCCCATAATTCTCTTTTATGCTCTCTTGCTTCCTCTTCAAATGCCCATTGCTTTTTCTTAGAAGCTCTTCATTTCAATTGACTTTCAATTCCTTCGACAGACAACAATATCATGTCTTTGACTTTTTCCTCGATAGGGGTAAGAGGAGTAGCAGCACTAGGGCCACCTCCTGTACGATATGTTTCAGCATGTATCAAGGCAGACTTTTTTCTTGTAGCCCTCTTTAAGCTTTAGCACTGCGAAAGTTTACCCCACTTGTGCTATTAAACAGCGTCTTCAAGCACTGCTCTTTCTCCTGCCAGGTAACTGAGTCACTCTTTTTATTTTCTAATATATTTTTATGGTCAGCAACAAGCGAAGTTAGAAGGTCAACTTCTTCCCGGCTGAAATTGACGCTTCTTTCACGTTTTTGCGTAGACATTTTTTTAAGTTAAAGAACCAACCTCGAATCACAAAAACAACATACACAAACTACTCAGAGAAAATTTATATTTGAAAGGTCAAGCCGAAGGCGCCGAACTAAAAATTAAAATATATACTAAAATACTCAATAACCTAACAAACAAAAATACCATATGAAAATGACAGCCCGTTTCGTTACAAGTAATATTAAATGACCAACAAAAAGGTTAAGGTTCTATGTTTTTCTATAGAATTTTGTAACTTTATTTGTTCGTAACAAAAAAACAAACAAAAACGATGCATAGATATTTGCTACTTTATCCATACATTGTGAAACAGACCCTAAGTCTTACTTATTTTATTTCGTTCCAAAAACAGCACACTTTTGGTATGCTTGAACACAATATATTGCATTGAACGAAACGCGGTCGAGAGGGAAGGATCACGCAAAAGATTGCTGTCAATATTTTGTCAAATAAACAATCGGTTAGCAGAAATGTTTATTGGCATGCAGATTGGAGATCGGTCTTTAGATATGAATCAGTCCAAGATTGGTTATAATCATAGATTGAGGATACATTATTAATTTTGGCCGATAGTCAATTTCACATGCGATTTACTACTATAGTCGTATTTTTAATTAGACGAAGTCAACTGACGTTTACGGTGTTGTCAGTTTTTAATGAAATAAAAATAGTGTTGTGACAAAGTAAAAACCCCTGAATTAATGATCGGTGATGGCGCCGCCGCTGAATAGTCGCCGCGCCGCGCTTTGTAATAAGCCGTCAAAAAACTGATTGTAGTTACATAGTACTAGTACCTAACTTATATCAGAGCACTTTTATACAATTTTGAAATAGAAATAATATTCTTTTATAGTTTGAAATGATTAACTATTCACACTCATTGTTCATTCATCTGATTGAACAAGAACTGAACGCAGCACTATTACTTTAAATATGGCAACATTATTTTACAAAGTGACATTAGCTACTGTCAGTTGGCTTCGTCTAATTAAAAATACGACTATAGATGGTGCTGTCAAACAATTTAACGACAAATTCTTGAATCAGAGAGAATGGAAAGGGGGAGGCGGGTGTTACCATAGTGAAGTGGTTTCTAGAAATTTTATTTTGTACTGACATTATTTATTTTCAGTACTGATGGTAATTTTTATAAACTTTAAAAAAAATAGATTTTAGTGTTAATGAAACTTATGTATCAAAATAATCAAAATTTCCGCCTAAAACATGTAAAGCCAATTAAGCACGAAGAAAAAGTACTAAAATCTATTAGAATAGTAATGTTCAATTTACTAATTAAAAGTAATAATTTCTTAATACATATATATATAATCTGTCATTGCATTTGTATGAGAAATGATATTTAATAATAATATTTGAATTTGAAAATTACACTATAACGATGGGCACTACAAGAAAGATTAGTACCTAAATTATAATTTTTGATCTATATTTATGTTTATCCCTCGCCACATAACTCTTAAAGTGCTTTGCAGATTTAACATATTATGGAGCAGCATTGGAAACGTTTGGAGTGGGTACATGGTGCTCATACACGCACGTTATTTTTAACGTTGCGTAAATGTGCTTAAACTCGATAAATTAAATAAAAACTTAATATACTGCTCAAAACAATTAGCGGAACAAGATTTTTCTCCTTTCTATTGCTTAAACTAAAATTAGATTTAAATTAACTTGTACGCTATTTTTTACCTTGTTAATTTGTTAATTACTACAATTATTAATAAAAAATTCAATTTGTATTTTTTTTATTAAAAAAAAATTAAAATGTGCATTGTAGACGAAAAACAAAGTGACGTCTTTGAATTTTCATTACTTTCTAATCACAGAAAACACATTTTAAGTAGTTTTTTTCAATCTTTTGAGTATTAATAGAAATTGAAGTGAGCCTTATGAGTATTGTTATTCATTGAAGCGAGTGAATTTAGGTCATAATACGAGATCTGACTGAATTGCATGTCTCCCGAGCTATCGCTTTGCTTGAAGTGGGTCGAACTATGTAGGAAATGATCTAGGAGTAGCCCCTTCTGTTATCTACAGACTTTGGAAGCGATACCGTGAGACGGGAGAATACTCACGAAGGCGTGGTCAAGGTCGAAAGAGAAAAACTACACGTTTGCAAGATCGCTACATCGTCAACTGTGCTTTACGTAACCGCACCACAACTGCAAGTGATCTACAAAATACACTAAGGACGGCTACTGGTGTAGAAATTTCCGACCAGACTGTAAGAAATAGGTTGTTGGAAGCCAATTTGAGATCACGCCGACCAGTTCGGGCTGTGCGTCTAACAATTCAACATAGACAAGCTCGCCGACAGTTCGCGCAAAATCACGCTAATTGGCAACTTCGACATTGGAGGCCAGTGCTTTTTACTGACGAATCACGATTCCGTCTAACACGTTGCGATGGTCGTCTCCGTGTTTACAGACGCCCAGGCGAGCGATACATTGCAGCAGCAGTCCAGGAATATGACAAATTTGGATGTGGCTCTGTGATGGTTTGGGGCGGAGTTAGTTTGGACGAGCGCACAGATCTCGTCGTTGTTCCCGGGCGCTTGTGTGCTCAAACTTACATTGAAAATGTGCTCGAAGATCATGTTTGGCCCGCAGCATATGGTATGGGCCCAGATTTTCTTTTAATGCAAGATAATGCCAGGCCGCATACTGCAGCCATCACGTCAGATTACTTACGACAGCAGGAAATCCGTGTAATGGAGTGGCCTTCCATGAGCCCTGACCTAAATCCAATTGAACACATTTGGGACTTGCTTGACAGGCGCATCCGGAAGCGTCCGATTGCACCTCAAACACTGCAGCAGCTCACTGAAGCGTTGATTGAAGAATGGGAGCGAATTCCACAAGAAGATATTCGGAGGATCATACGAAGCATGCCGCGTCGTTGTCAAGCCGTGATTAGGGCTCATGGAGGCCACACACGTTACTGAAAGTCACTAAAGACGAATATTCAAACGATATAAGAATATTTCTTTGATGGACCTTTTTTATCACCAATTAGTTTTTCGTCTACAATGCACATTTTAATTTTTTTAATAAAAAAAATACAAATTGATTTTTTTTATTAATTGTAGTAATTAACAAATTAACAAGGTAAAAAATAGCGTACAAGTTAATTTAAATCTAATTTTAGTTTAAGCAATAGAAAGGAGAAAAATCTTGTTCCGCTAATTGTTTTGAGCAGTATATTAACTGCTTTGTTTGATTTGATTGATATCTTGCACTATTTCAAACTAAGCAACAGTTTTTGATAAAGAATTCTAATTATGTACTGGGTAAATATTTGTTATTTTGATATAGCTACTGACATCTTGTAAACAAAATAATGGTCTAATACCAGAATACAGCTAAATTAATATTTAATTGTGCCGAGAATCGAACCCGCTTCAAACTTTAAGTTTTTTTTAATTCTAAACAAAAATACTTAATTTTCATTATTCAAGCGCGTTTAATGTTTTTTAAATTCAAATTTAAATCGATGTTCGTCTTTTTGCTGAAAGCCATTCGAATTTGTGCCGATCAAATACGTTTAAACCAGGTTTTAAGTTATTATACCTGTGTAAATAAAAGAGAAACATGTATGAAATGACAAATAAGAACAAAAATCCTAATAAAATATTATTACTCATCGTGCGTACCAATCATTTAACAAGTAGGTATATAAGCATTGTTATCACTTATCATAATGTATTAAATTCATGGAGCATATTAATTACTAGCAGTTCTATTTATGTAAGTTAAGCAGTTAAACGCTTCGTAGATTTTGCCTGTTTAATGGAAAAATACGCGCCATCTTTGTTTATAAACCATGGCGGAGGGCCTTTGCCTGTATTAGGTGAAAAACATAATATGGAAATGGCAGATTCATTACGTAATATATCTTCATTTGTGGATTTTAAACGTATAAAGGCAATAATATTAGTCACAGCTCACCGCGAAGAGGACATTGTTACGATATCTTCCGGGAAGAACAACGATTTAATTTACGATTACTCAAATTTCCCGCCAGAGAGCTATGAGTTCAAATACCCAGCGGTCGGTGACCCCATTTTGGCGGGAAGACTGCACAAAGCATTCGAAAACGCGAATATACCATCGAGCTTAGATGAGAAAAGAGGCTGGGACCATGGAGTGTTTATACCAATGATGCTAATTAACCCAAAAGCTGATATACCCATTGTTCAAGTGTCAATTTTAAAAAATCAAAATGCCCGTGATCATTACAACGTTGGAAAAGTGTTATACGAATTTAGGAAGGAAGGCATCGCTATTATTGGCTCGGGCATGTCATACCACAATATGAAAGAATTTAAAAAGGCAGGACAGCTGTACAACGATGAAGTTGTTGTTAATGAGGAGTTTGACAAATTCCTTAATGATGTTTGCTTGGGTGTGTTGAGCCCGGAAGCCATTTTTGATTGGGATAAGACACCACAAGGGTACGAATGTCATCCTTTGGGAGAAGCAGAACATTTGATGCCTTTGATCGTAAGTTTGGGTGCGGCTGGAAATAATACTGGGAAAAATATATTTTCGTCAGTGTTTTATAAGAAATTTAAGCTATGTGCGTTTATTTGGAACTAATATTAAAAAAAATAAACATTACAGTATTTTGAACTGATATATCAAAAATGAGAATTGTAGATATTTTGTATTTTAGCCCTCGAATACATTTTGATCAACTTAAGACCCACATTATTTCTATTAGTTCATTATGACTGAATGTTTCTTATTCCTATTTTTAATTTAACGAAAAACAACGCAGCAACGAACGTCTCAGTTTCTTTAAAGTAAAAACATATTATTTAATAATTGTATAAACGGTATTGCTAGTTGTAAATAATACAAATTAGTATAAAATAAAAAATATATTTTATCAAAATAAATTCAACATTTCTGAACAATAATACTGATAACAATTTACTACACAAAAATTCTATTACCATTGTAATACAAAACGTCTCCTTTAAGACTCCTGAAAGATGAAACGTATCGTTTGATTTTCTTTCAAAATCAAAGGAAACGTTTCATCTTTCATTGAACGTTTGATTTTGATTCATCAAATTTGAAGACGGATCACGTGTGAATTGGACCAAAGAAGCTTTGAGACATTTCTAACAAGACCACCAACCACTCAGAGCTTCTTTAATCTAGTCCCAATTAACTCCAACCTGAAAAATTAAGAAACGCTACAATTTAATTTAAATACAATAGGTATTACATAATTAAAAAACGACGCTAGCCACAGATTATTAAAGAAAGGGTGCGTGTACTTATGTACGCGCGTAAGAAGTTATACTTCTTTGGCATTATTAAATAGTTAAATAGTTTTTGATTTGCATGCAATAATTAATTAAAATTAAATAATCAAAGACTGGAAAAGGAGTCATTATAGTCAATAAAGTTCAGTTTACATTTGAAAAATTAAATAAATAAATATTTATTAATTTTATATTTACATATTATTATTTTCTAATATTAATTAGTATTGATTTAAATATTCAATTTAAATCACTTCTGATTATAATTCAGACGCACATATAAAATTCGCACTTGTATAATGATAACACGTGTTTTAAATGTAGAAACTCAAAGCGTGTGGATAAATATTATAAATATAAATATACAGTGAACAGAGGCGGCGTGCGTGCCAACATGCGCCACTAACTTCATCCTGTTAATTTTGTGTCACGGTGCGCGCGCATCGTAAAATCTCACTCTCATCAATTTTTCATAACGCGTAGAAGTATAACTTCAAAAAAACTCGAAAATGGCATAGACTATAGAATTTGCCGGCCAACCAAAAATAAATAATTTGTACACAGAATTCAGTGCAATGAAACGTGATGTCCTACTTTAATTTAAATATTTGGTTATATTTATTATTCGTATCGCAATTCAAATATACGAGATTAGATAATTGAGCCGTAGAAACCTCTTACCACGAGAATTTAAGAAGTCGACCTCTTCCTTAGACGGTATCTTCGATCGCAACGTTTGCATCTCTTAAATCTCCCCGAGCGAGATCGGCATCTCCAGTTGTACCTGGGAATTAATAAAATTATTTTGAAAAATACGAAATACTCTCGACTACGGAGGATATATCGTAAATATGTATTTTATTAAATAAAAAAATAAAAAAAATGTTTATTATGGAACATAAGATACATGTATCACTTATTCCACGTCATTAAATTTGAATTTGTAGGCATCCCTACTCATCGGCAAAGAAGACGGAGGGTGAAGGCCGAGAGAAAAAGCCGGCGTAAAAAACTCTCGGTACTGTTTTAAAATAGCAAATCAAAATACTATATATTACTTAACTAGCAGACTCGGCCAAGCGTTGCTGTGGCTAAGGTTTTTGTTATATTACATAGTAGCAAACTATTCAAGGGAATAGGAAGGAGAACACCAGTTATGGGGACCATCATGCTTTTTTGGTGGTTATGCCATTAAATTTTAGCTTAGGTGAAACGTTGGTACTTTCGACACAGCGCCATCTGTTAGAATTGTGACTATCAAATAATAAACAAATTTGCAATAAAATAATAATGCGGATATAAATTTAGATGTAAGCTATCCTATCTTTTAAGTTGGATCAAACTACACACGGTGTGCAAATTTGATTTAAATCGGTTCGGTAGTTTAGGAGTCCATAGAGGACAAACAATACACGTAACTTATATATATTAAGATTATGCAAATTAACCTTCCTCATAACACTAGGTATGTGGCGAGCTACCTACCGCGATAATTACATACTTAACTTAAATTTTGAAATTATACTTCTTTTGGCGCGTTAGGGAAAAATGATGCGAATGAAATTTTTACGATCTGTTCAAACGTCGGTAAAACAGTCTGGGCCGCTAGTTGGCGCTTGCTCTGTGTTATCGACAAGTTGCATTATCTGTCATGGCGTAGTGTTTTTCAGTGCGTTTTCCAATTATAGAGCATTTTGCGAGTCAGTGCCGCACAATGCCGCATAATGCTGAAGCTTAATTGGAACGTGAATTAGTTTTCAAATGCATCAGCGGAGTGCGCTAAGTCAGTGTTGTAAAAAAAATGTTGAATTTGTATGAATTGAGTTAGCAACCTCATTAATGTATAAATAATGTGGTAAACGCACTATTCTATGTCAGACGGCCCGCGAGTGTGTTGCCGTTTTAAGATTTGTTACGCTCTTTTCCTAAAGAACCCTAAGTCGAATTGAATTCAATGAACAGATGGTTCCACATAGTGGTGGTACGCGGCAAAAACGGCCTTAAAAACGCTGAGTTGTGGAACAACGGACGTCGAGAGGATACGGGCGTATTTATTATAATTACAACATTTCTAGTAACACAGAGAATATACATAAAAAAGAGCATTGTTAGCCTAGTGACAACCTGTGACTTTCATCCCTCATCATACCCCGGCCGAGCATCAATGGACAAAGTGCGCATTTAACGCTCAAATATCAACTGCATATGTCACACTAACTTGCCTAAAAATTATAGCGAAACGGATACAGAAATCCGCCAAGACCAAGGGTTATAGATATAATAAATTCACCTTTGTATAAATTATATAAGTCTCGATCCTGAATTCTATTTCCAAATAATAAAATCATTTTTAAGTAATAGTTACTGTACGGTTCCTGGGTCATCGGGTGTTCGAAATAATAGAATATTTTTGACTTACTCTATATTTATCACTCGCGTAACACAATAGAATATGAGCGAAATAATGGGATGTTAATTGCTATGTAGCGAATGAATGCAATTTAACAATCAAAGAGAGTACCGACGTCTGGCTATACTCTCGAGGCGTGACTCCGACTATTTAGGAAATCAAAAATAGGATTTCGCCATGCTTATAAGTGATCAAACTGTACAGCCAGGGCACGTACATACATAAGAAATAGTTATGCTTGTAGATGATCGGAATGTACGAGCCTTGGCACGTACATCATCACGATTATAAAACTAAGGAAGCCTTAGTGAGCAAAATATACAGCCTTGGCTCGTACAGTTACACCATTTGTACCCACTATATCTCTTACCGTCCCCGGCTCCGGCGAGAACATGATCTGCGCCGACGAGATCGCGATCTTCGTCGACAACGACTCCTTGGTCGTATTGAATATCGGCGATCTCCACAACGACATCGCTTAAACCGGCCCGACTTTGACCGGCAGCGTCTGTAATAGTATAATCTTTATTTTTAAAAGTAGTAATGTAGGTATAGGTGAGACGTTCTCCACACAGGGAAATCTGTTGTGATGACAACTTTTGACAGACAAATAACAAAATAAATGTGTAGCGACACCTACAATTTACGACGAAAACCCCTTTAGGTTGAATAAAGCACTCAACATCCTTCCTTCACAATGTTTCATAATTAAGATTTTTCAAAACTTAATATGAATCTAAAATTTCCACTTATCTTATGACTAATGCTATACTACAGTTTATTTATTCTATAAGGAAACAATACACAAATATAGGATATAAAAAGAATTGTCGTTTGCTTCACGGATTAAAAATGTAAGAGTAGAAAACATAACTAAAATAAACAGAAATCTATAATAAACTACATAGTACAAAACAAAGTCGCTTTCTCTGTCCCTATGTATGCTTAAATCTTTAAAACTACGCAACGGATTTTGATGCGGTTTTTTTAATAGATAGAGGAATGATTGAAGGGGAAGGTTTATATGTATAATAACATCCATTAAATATGGATGGAGAAATACTGTTATTTTTGAGGTTTCTAATGTGATGTCGTAAATCGTAAATAATTACATTTTTTCCGATTACATTGCGAACCCTACGAGATTTACCAAAATAATGTACTAAGTATTGTACACATTGAAAAGGTCTACAGAAAACTCCGCGATGGTATGTCTACCTCTTATGGATATCCAACAATAACATTTTTTTGTAATTTACATTTTACGACAAAAAATGGCTAATTTTCGAAGCGATATTAACCAATACAGCATTAATCCTCATCCAATTAAATACCTTAAATACATTGTTGATTTAATATAGATCTATATGGCCCTTTACAGCATATGATTTAAATGAATATTTTCGAAGATATTACAAATTTCAAAATTGCGCAGCGCGTCGGAGGCCGCGGCAGCATTGCATTGCATTGGGGCGGGTCGCTAGTAAACTAATAAATACTAACAAATAACTACTATAAATAAATAACAATGAATACATGCACTAAACAATTCTTTGATTGTAAATGACGTATGAATTAAAGCTCTAATAAAATTAACGATGAAAATATAACTTCTTCATAAGAACCAAATAAAAATCAATTTTCCTACATTACTCAAATAAACGATATTACAAAAACTTTACGAGGATTTTTCTACACAAAAAAGCAATTCTACATTTTATTTTACCTTATGCCGAAAATGAAGCCACCCAATTACAGTAAAAAGTGCAAAGGTAGCAACGTTTTCGAGAAAGAATTTCAGGTCAGCTGATTTTGTGATATGTCTTCCTTCTTGCACTTTCGTTTAGAGTCTGGGGTATCTGGCTGGCGGTAGCGGTTGCGTTCATTAGTGCGCATCCTACCTGTCCAGGTAATAATCCTGGATTTTAAAAGCATTTTAAGAAGCGTAATTTTTAATTTTCCGTTTTTAAATAAGTCTACCTGACATACTTTTTTTATTGCCAGACATTTTTGACAATGCTAACTATGTGCCAGACGCGATTTTAAGTTTTTTTTTATAAAAATTTCAAAGTATTTTATAATGTCTGTAATTTTAATATTATGTTATTTAAATATAAGAAAAACTAAAAATTAATTTGCCAGCCATTAATTCGATTGTTAAGCCTTAAATTAAAATGAAAAAGTCATGAAAAGTATTGCAGTATAATGCTAGTAGTTCGAGAGAGACAATTGCAGAATAAGTCGAGAATGAGACAGAGAACCATTACAAAAGTAAATTTCTTGTCACTGTTCATATAATAATAATAATAATTCTAGTCAGAGAAAGTTTAAAAAAATTTAAGCATAAAAAGGAATATAAAATTAGATTAAAATTTAAAAATCAACACTTAATTAAATTGTCCTGATTACTAAATGTAAGTTATAAATAATTAATATTAAGTTTTTAAAGTTGTTTTAGCCTATAGTGACGTCACAAAAAAAGAGACATCTTCATAATCATCATCATCATCATCGTCGCTGTCTTTGTCGGTGTCATTCATATCATCTTCTTGGGAACTTTCGTTACCTTCTAAAACTCTATCATCTGCAACAGAAAAAAAATAAACAGTGTAATTTTTCTTGTTCGTTATAAAACATTTTAGTTATTATTGATAAATGTTCCATTTAACACTTACTTTGAACAATAATTTGACAAATATAGATTTGGCAAATATGAAAAATAATCCTAGAAATTACAAACTAATAATTCTTCGTGTTCTTCACACGATAATGATTCTTCAATAGTTTTAATTACTTTGTTATTTATCACTTTGTATAAATAACATTTATTAAAACTTACGTAAATGTTATTATTACCAATGAAAGGCATCATAGCGCAATACTTTTCATGACTTTTTCATTTTAATTCAAGGCTTAACAATCGAATTAATGTTTGGCAAATTAATTTTTAGTTTTTCTTAAATTTAAATAACATAATATTAAAATTACAGACATTATAAAATACTTTGAAATTTTTATAAAAAAAAAACCTAAAATCGCGTCTGGCACATAGTTATCATTGTCAAAAATGTCTGGCAATAAAAAAAGTATGTCAGGTAGACTTATTTAAAAACGAAAAATTAAAAATTACGCTTCTTAAAATGCTTTTAAAATCCAGGATTATTACCTGGACAGGTAGGATGCGCACTAATGAACGCAACCGCTACCGCCAGCCAGATTGCCAAGACTCTAACCGAAAGTGCAAGAAGGAAGACATATCACAAAATCAGCTGACCTAAAATTCTTTCTTTTCTAACGTTGCTACCTCCCGTACTATATGCAAAATTAATTATAGACTAGACAAATCATTATAAATTTCACACTACAGAAATATAAGTTATATGGGGGACATACCGCAAAAATATATCGGACGGAAATCGCGTTGTAAGAGATTACTGTATAATTAAAAAGTGGCGTCACCATTTAGGCCTGGGCCTCAGTTTCTGTTAATAGGCAAGTGATCAGCTCTCTGTGGCTGACATGCCGTCAACTTTTTAGATATAACGCCGGTTTCCTTACGATGTTTTCCTTCACTGTACGAGCAAGTGTTAGAAGTGCCCACAAAATATAAAGCCCATAGGGGCACAGCCGGGGATCGAACCTACGATCTCAGGGCAATACTTAAGACAAAACGTTAAATATTTCCTTACCTTAAGACGAACAATACTTAAAATATATATGCTTACTAACCCTTTGTTATATTTTTGAGTTTTCAAATTTATATGGGTTTGGTGAACCCAAGTGTTCTCCAAGAACTCGGGGTTTTTGTACCTAAGGGATAATATGTGCCAGAACCAGTCTGTTGCACAGATCTCCGTTACTTACTGAATGCTGTCTCCGAAACTATCGACATCTTTATATGTTCGCAGAGTCAATTCACAGTAGCGATATTGTGTATTCTATGTATTTAAATTGCAAACAATAATATTATATTTTATTTTGTTACTTTTTCTCGACATAATCGTATTGGTTTAGTCCTGTATGGATAGTGAATGTATTTTTATAAATGAATAAATAAAATAAATCAATGTTGTTTGATAAAAAGCGTTACAATAGGTATATGACTTAAAATTTTAAGGGCCTTTACACGTACCACAACCACTTTCAAACCTCAACCACACCACGTGGTCGGGCGTATATTTTGTATTGAAAATGAATATGACTATTCACTATTTTGCAGTCGTTATCGACCGTGTGTAATACCGACCACATCGCGACCACAACGCAACCACCAGCGATACTGCGAACTAGTGGCCGACCACAGGTCAACACGTGATGCCGATATGAAAGCCGGAGTCGAACTATGTAGCTGCACACGACGTAACCGCATCGCAACCACTGGCGCCAATGCAACCACAGGTCAACACGTGATTCCGATATGAAAGCCGGAGTCGAACTATGTAGCTGCACACGACGTAACCGCATCGCAACCACTGGCGCCAATGCAACCACATCGACATTTTGTTGGTACCACAACGCACCTACAAAAAGCTGCAGCGACACTGTCCACACGTAACCCCTGCTTGACCGCATTTTGTCGTTGCGATGTGGTGTGGTTGTGGTACGTGTGAAACAGTCCTTACAGTTTACAATTGTTAACTGTCATTTTTTTTTTTGGAGTTTATGGCCTGGTATCTAGACCTTTAGGCCATGTTAACTGTCACATATGACATCTACATAGATTATGTAACGGTATTCACACTTTGATGTAACATGTCTACCTTATATTCCAACTTACGTTTTGCGCATCCTGAAAGAGGTAAACTCATTAAATTAAATATATTTCTAATAATAATTAAAGTTTACAGAGATCATACTTTCGCCTATTACACTTTCCCATTTTTAACTTCAATAGAACCCGAAGGATGTTTGACAATTAATTTGGAAATCTGTAAGAACAAATTGTTATTTTTTTTTATATTGTAGCTGGGACATTCAAATTAAATACTATTTTCTAAGATTAAAACTTATGTACACAAAGAAGTTAACCTTTTTGCGACAAAAGTTGCGTAGTAATATTGCCAAAGGTCACAGACTACCTATAATAGAACAAATGCGCGAAATAACTCCTCAATCTATGAAAATTCTATAATAATATGAAAGTTAGAACTTGGGGCACACTTAACCAAGTTTTGATAAATCTCTACTACGATAGTGCTAGTAAAGGAACTAAAAAAGATTCATTTTCATTTTTATAAATAACGAGATCGCTTGTCGAGTTTTGTCTAAACATAAGGGCCGATTTACATTATCTTAGTGTTTAGGAGAGTATTTTAGTACAAGTTGAAAGGCAAGTTCTTTAGTGCGTTGCGAGTGAACGTTTACATTTCTTCCAGTAGAGTATCATTACAGCGCCACAATGAACGCGCAACGACGTCGGCAAATACGCTCTATTCTACGCAAAATACTAACTGTAGTTATGGAACAAATAGAAGACGAGATTTTTTTCGAAATAAATAAACTAAATATAAATAATAAATAAAATAGCTTCTTTTAAGGCAGTGTATGCCGAATGCCTAGCCTGTTTGTTTTTGTATAAATTGTTTTTACGTTCCACAAACATTCGTGAACAATATATTCAGACACAAATTTGATAGTTGTATCTTCCGACCGTTTAGCCATCTTTAAAAATAAAAAAACACGCACGCGTTTCACGGCACTTGTGCACTCTCCTAAAGATTGCACTAAATTACGTGTTTACACACAACGAGGGAAGATCTCGGGGGTTGAGCGGGCGCGGGAGGGGTATCACTTGAAACAAAAATAAAAAGCGATTCTATTTTAATTCAACTTGAAAGTCAAGTAGAACCGTACTAAAGCAAGTAGCGTTTACATGTTTCAACTAAAGTACTATCCTAAAGCACTCTCCTAAACACTAAGATAATGTAAATCGGCCTTAAGCGCAAGGTGCTAATTAATTTTTTTGAGCGTTTTCTGTCAGCGAAAGCGGAAAGTTCATTGATATATCGATTTATAGAATTTACATTTTTCCTATATACTTAATCTAAACTTAAATTAAACTGATATTATAAGGACAAAATAAACTACATAGAGATGTATAGATCGAGGTTTACTTAGACCACTTACCTTGCTTTTTCCGAATAATCTTGAAATCACAAACAGAAAATTTAAAAGATAAAAAATAAACGTAAAATATTACCAAATGCTAATCATCGAAGACATGATGTTAAATTCTTTTTTCAAATACTCTGTCAAAGTCTCAATAATCAGTCGACATTTTGTATAAAAAGGTTGTATAGCCCACTTTGAACTTACTAAACTCAGCAGAGAAGTTTGAAACTCTTGATCTTGTACCTACTTTCAGTCTGGGCTGGATATTTATTTTATTAAATTAGTATTAGTTATCGCGGACTTTTTTGTAGACATTGTTGTCTTCTATAAAATTGTATATCTTCTATGTAACTGTAACATCACTTTGCTCTATTATAGTTTCCACGGCGAACGATATTTATTGATAGAAAAAAAAAGAATTCTATTACACCATTTTTTTGAAGTTATACTTCTTTAGGCGCGTTATGAAAAATTGATGAGAGTGAAAATTTACGATGCGCGCGCACCGTGACACAAAATTAACAGAATAAAGTTGCCCACGGAAGATGCTACGGCATTGGACATAATTTAAAAACAACATTCGAATAATAATAGATATGACACGCAATGTGGCTTTCTAATGGTAAAATAATTTTCAAAATCGGTTCCGTAAGAGATTGCAACCTCACAATATTTACCATATTTTAATTTTACTACCGTGGTCATATCAATAAAAATGTCTTTGACGCGCTCCCTAAAGCGGGCCATGGCCATAGTCGGACCGCATGTTGCAGCCGATACCGACTGCTCTAAGCGGTCGCCGCACGGCGATCTGCAGTTTCCATACTAAATTCATATTCGCAATACACGGACCGTTCGAGCAGTTCCTGAGCAAACCGCATATTGCAGTCAAGACCGACTGCAACATGCGTCTATGGCCCGCTTTAGATGTATGAAAAGCACCTTAAGAAATAAAAGACCCTGTACAATATATAATTTATTGCTTAAAATTAATTTTATATCCTTTAGATTCGGGATCCTGCTCAAGCTTAAAGTTTTCCGTGGATAAGCCGAAAGGTCGCAATATCATATTACCTGTAAACAAAGTTAATATACGTATAATCTATGGTCGAAATATTTAATCTTTTGCATAGATAAATATATAAATCACGTTGTTTGTCCGCTATGGGCTCCTAAACTACCGAACCGATTTCAATCAAATTTGCACACCGTGTTCAGTTTGATCTAACTTAAAAGATAGGCTAGATATAGCTTACATCTTAATGTATACCCGCAATATTATTTTATTGCAAAATATTTGTTTATTATTTGATAGTCACAATTCTAACAGATGGCGCTGTGTTGAAAGTACCAACGTTTCACATAAGCTACAATTTAATGGCATAACCACCAAAAAAGCATGGTGGTCCCCATGACTGGTGTTCTCCTACCGTTTCCCTTGAATAGTTTGCTACTATGTAATATAACAAAAACCTTAGCCACAGCAACGCTTGGCCGGTCTGCTAGTCGATATTAAAAATGATGTTATTATGAAACTTTTCGCCGCGTATCACCACTATGTGTAACTGGCTTCCTGCTGAAGTAATTTCGAACCAAGTCGACTTAGGGTCCTTCAAGAAAAGAGCGTAACAATTCGTAAAACCGGCAACGTACTCGCGACGCCGCTGGAATTGAGAAAGTCCATGGACGGCAGAATCAGCTAACATCAGGTAAGCCCCCCTGCCCGTTTGCCTCCTATTCTATAAAATAATATATATCAGGCTACTATCAATATATATTTCCTTTTGAGAACTACCCTCAGTGAAATCTTTTTTTATCGAATAATTTATTAATTCATGAAGTTTTTTTTATCGGATAGAATGCAATGGAGCAGGAGTAGAGAATAGAGAACGTAGAGAGCCCCTACGCTGCAACTTCCAATTTCAATACAGACCGCTATCGCGATTCCAGTAATGAGTTTTTGTTCCGCACTATTCCAGGATTGCATCAGCGCTACGGAAATTAGGTGAACTTGCGAACATAGAAACGCTTTCGCTATTGTAAATTACAGACAGAGCATGTGCGTTGCCGGCCTTTACACACAGACGAACCCACTAATTTCACCGATTTTCGCATACTCACCCAAGTCCTTTAGTTTTCCCATCACCTCCGTTTTCAATTCCTCATTCCTCTTCTCTATCTTGGGCGGTAATCGATCCAACGCGCTTTTAGCATTTGCGTTCGAGGGATCCAATTCTAATACCTTCTTAAAATCTTCCAGACTTTCGTCAAATTTGTCCGTTGCTTCATATGATATAGCTCGCCTGAAATAGTATAGAATAAAAACACTGCAATAAGGGAGCGTTCAAGTATTACGTCACGCAATATTTGGAGATTATTGACCCCCCCATGTAACGCGCCGTAACGTTTTTCTGTACCCAATAGTTAAACGTTTCGTGACCACCCAGTGACTCTTTATACGTAAAAGTTACCATTATGTGGTGTAAAGTACTGGAAAAGCGACGCAGTAACAATAATGCGTAATTCAATCCCCGCCCCGCATCGTAACGTTTTACAAAAGGACCAATACGTTACGTAATACTATAACGCTTCCTAAGCCACTTGCTGAGAACTCTAACATCGCTTATTCTAGTTTTCTAACTCTAGTCTGTGAGATACTTGTGAAAAGGGGAAAACGTACTAAAAGCAGCTTAGGGTTAGATACAGAAACCATGCGCCAACATGACGCGAAATGACTCGTATGTCAAAATCCAATACATTTGTACGTACGTTAGACTTGTACAGATAATATATGCCTACAAACAGTGCGATGTCGTCATACCATGAAACCCGTAACAAAGTATTTCCTGTTGAGCATATATAGCCTACCCTTAAGCTAGATAGCACGGAGCTCAATACCATAGCCTAATGGATGAAGTTAGCATCCACACGCCACTTCGCAAAAGCAGCAATTACCTCTTTCAGACAAAAAATGCCCGTAGAAGGCTCCAACTAGTCCTAACTGAGGAAGGTTTTTTTAACTTGCATAGTGTGAGCTCGTGATATCTTTTTTCAATAAAGAAATACAGAGAAGCACGTAGAAAGAAGCGATAAAGAAATCTAAATCAAGACTTGTAAAACAATTAATAATACTGTTATGAAGACGGGTTGACTGCAATGTTTTTAGATTTTTCCACTAGTTAGATAACTTTTCAGCATAAGCTGAAATATGATTTAAGACCGTTTCAGGGGAGGGTCAATCACATATTAGAAAATCGTAATTTAGGGAGCGTTCAAGTATTACGTAACGAATTTTGGGGGAGGGGGTCCTTTTGTAAAACGTTACGATGCGGGGCGGGGATTGAATTACGCGTTATTGTTAATATTTTTTCGACTTTCCAGTACTTTACATCACATAATGGGCACTAGGTGGTCACGAAACGTTTTACTATACTTGGGTACAGAAAAACGTTACGGCGCGTCACATGGGCCCCCCATGGGTCAAATAATCTCCAAAAATTGCGTGACGTAATACTTGAACGCTACCTTACCCTAGTTTTCAAGAGGCTGAAACATTTTTTCAGGCCGTTTTAAGAACAAGTGTAGTCGAGTGGTACACTGTTCAGGAAACCCGTTTTCAGGCGTTTTCAGGCCTGGTTATACCCCTTTGATGAAGGAATATTCTAGACCGAATTTTCTAGGTGTGAGACAAGGACGATATGATACGCGAGAGAGAGGGAAGATTGGAATCTTCTCGAAGCCAGACCGAGCACTCTAAAATGTCATACGACAAGGACGGAACAATGTGCGAAAGAGATAGCGAGTACGCACGTTCTAGAATTGTGCGATCGCTACTCAGTAGCGTTCCCGTCTAGAGAGTTCTCGTCTCTCGAACATCGTTCAAGATTATTCCCAGGGATATAAAAGCAAGCCGAAACGCGACCGATCAGTTCAGTTTCTAATGCGAAGAGAGATAAACACAAAGTGATAATGTAACATGTGAAGTGAAATTTATGTAATTAGTGACAGTATTTTGTGTATTTATATAATTAGTGAATTTCTGTGCGTAATTTCTGGCTTTTTAGTGTAACCAAATTCCTCGTTGATTTAATTGAAAATAAACCCTAGAAGAAATCTACGGCGTTTTCTATCCGATCCCCTAGCTCGTAACAATACAAATGACTTACCTTAAATATGCCTTCAAGTAATTTTCTTTTAACTCAATCGCTTTGGTACAGTCTTTTATTGCCTTTTTGTGATTTTCCATTTTAATTTTGGCCGCACTCCTATTACAGTATAATATTCCACGCGTTTCTGGGAATTTTAATGGACAAATCCGTAAACCTGAAATACATTAAAAATTCATAAATCCAGTGATGAAATATTACTGAAGAATTGGGTAGAAATAAAGGGCTATTTGACAAGATTTTAAATTCTGGTAAGTATTAACTTCGAAAATTAAAAAATATACATTCATTATTTAAGAACCAACCAAACATACACATATAATTTTTTTGAATCAAAAACTAAAAGTCTCCTATGAAATTAAACTTCAAGTATTAGACAGACAAAGACCCATTATTTACTGGCAACATATATCAATGTTGTTTCAATTAATTATTATGAACAACTATTAATTAATATAATTACATTATTTTACCCAATAATGCTTAACAAAGTGTTATACAGCTTACTCTCAATAGAACTTTATTTTTTACACTGTCAAATAGCCAGGGCCGCGCCGCCCATGTGTGCGAAGTGTGCGGTGCACACAGGCGCTGATACAATAAGGGCGCCGCCACCGAAATTATTTATACTACACTACAATATTCTTACGTACGTTTGAAGTTTCATTTTACGCTTTAGGTTTTAGTTTACATTAATTACTCAGAGCTTAGCGAATCAAAAGAAAGGCCGCTGGTGACCGCCGTGAGTTTTTTGAGTGTGTTTATGTCTTATGATTTCAATAATATGCCGACATACCTTGATAAATTCCAAAATGAACTATTTTTTATACTCGGTAACCAAATTCAACATTTTATTTTAAATTTATGTCGAATTAATAAATATTTTTCAATAATACTGGATTGTACTACTGACGTTTCACACGAAGAGCAAATTAGTATGATAATAAGATTTGTCAACTTTAACATGTAAACTAGAAAGTTAAGAATAAGAGAGCATTTCCTAGCTTTCCAATTTATAATAGCACTTTCTGCTCAATCGTAGATACAACTGGCGCTGGAGTAACGTCATTTATAATAGAAAAACTAAACGAAATTAATTTGGACATAAAGAACTTAAGGGGGCAAGGCTATGATAATGGCTCAAATATGCGCGGTAAGAATATTGCGGGATGTACGAGTAAATCTCCGCACTTTTTATGTCCGTGCGCCAGCCATAGTTTAAATTTAATAATAAATGACGCTGCACATCTCATACACGACTGCGTTTTTTAATATTGTGCAAGAACTATATAAATATTTTTCGTCCTCTACTAAAAGATGGGATTTATTACAAAGATATGTCATAAATCTGACCTTAAAAACGGTTAGATAAAAATAACATCATAAATAAACTATGTAACAATTTAATTCACGTTTTATTTTTCACGGCAATTGGCCAGCGGACGTTTTACCTATTTAAGTGGATTAAACTAAAGAAAAATTGTCTTTCAGTCAAAATTAAAAAATACATTGAAACTTGAAGATTCTTAAAAAATAGGCCGAAATATAGAAGGAGTTCCCTCAAAGGCCTGCAACACACCCGCTAAAAATGTCTATGAGATTCAATGACTGCCATTTTTTTCCGTCCCTAAGGCTCGTTTGACCCCTATAGAAAAAGGAGGCGCTTCATGGGTTTCGCACACAGGCGCTGCCGGGGGTCGGCGCGGCCCTGTCAAATAGCCTATTAACCTTTATAGTACCATGTTTCTTGCCATGGTACACAGTATATGAAGTCCACATATAATATGTCAGATTATTCCATTGCCATTACGGGCCTAGATAACATCATTAAACTTAGCCTTTTTTAGGCATAAAAAGTAATTGCAGCAGGAAACACTCATGTTGATCAAAAATGGTACAAATGACTAAAAATATTCAAGGCAAATAAAAAAAATTACTAACTTCAATGTCCACAAATGGACATTGTTAACGAAACACAGTAAGTAGATTTTAAAACATAAAATGAATAACTGATATTACAAAAAAAAAAATTAATAGCCCCCTTAACTATCAAATTGCCAACGTGGCTAGTGATTTAGATTCTTTACTTAATAGAATTCCTAGATCATGACTAAAACCTAGAATGTAATAAAATAGCTCAGTTATTAAAATAAATAGTTGTATATCTCTCATGCTCATGATCAATGCATTACACTTAGAGTAAAAGTATCTCACAAATTTACCTTCAGTATATTTCTCTATACTCCTGTCATAGTCTCCAACTTTGAAAGCATCATTGCCGACAAGCTTCAGCTCTTCAGCGATAACTCTCCTCTCTTCCTTTTGGTCTTCTGTAAGATCCATTTCTACATCTTTTAATGAGAGTTCATCAACATCTGTATCGCTGTCTTCATCTTCACTTTGAAAGTTTTTAGAATTTTCAGGCTCATCCAATGGAATGTCTGTGAATTCTGCTGAAGAGGAAAGTTTTATATTTAGATATTTTCTATGACTTAAGGATATTATGTTGGAGCTGTCTTTGCTTTTCAGGTCTATAGGACTTCTACTCTATGACAAACTAATTTTTAAAAACCTCACTAGTAACTTTGGTTTAGATAGATAGCACTTTAAAAAAAAAATAGCCCACAATAGCAATTCTGTTTTAATTTGTGTGAAGACGTTAATTTTACCTTTATTAGTTTCATTTCTGTCACCTTTTGCATTGTGATTATCGCTTTTAGATTCTGGATTTATGATATTATTATCGTCAATATCATTTGATCGTAGCGAAAAATCTAAATTCTTTGTTAAATCTTCAATCACTTCTTCATTTGATAAGTCACTTTTTAACCTTTCAGACATTGCAAAGAAAAACGTGTAATTAATTTAAAAGTAATTTTTATTCGAATATTTTTCTTTTCAAATTTAAATACAATCACAATTCAAATTTAAGTTTAATCACAAATTTTAATAATGATGGGCGATGATTTTTATTTTTTTTATAAAAAATCACAGACTACGGTGACCATAGAAAATTAATGAGATGTAAATCAACTGTCAAAAAATAATTATATAAATAGATATTTTTTAATCTGTCACTACTGTCACCTCTACATAGACTAGGGATGTTAGCTTGATCCGGTTTTTTTATATCGTAATGGTTATAACTTCATGGATACTATGCCGCATAAAATCAAAGTCAAAAATCATTAAATCATATAGGTAACACAAAGTACACTTATGTACGTCAAAGAAAGAAATGTATATGAAATGCTTCTAACATCTAGCATCGCATTTAATTGCGAATTATAATATTAATACATGAGGAAAAAAAGGTTCTTACTATTCTTAAAAGGCAGCTGGTTCCACATAGCGTTGGCGTGCGGCCTTAAAAAGCCGGCCAGTTGTTGAGAGACAGACGTCGAGGTTATGCGGGTAGAATTTCGTATTCTTTATACAATTGCAATCGGTGGCCTGGAGTGAAGTACCTTCTCGCCATGCTGAGCATATCATGCTTCTAATTTAGCCTTTCCTTCCAAATCGATGTTTATTATAACATAAACACCCAATTTTCCTCTTTAGTTAACGTACAATAAACTTTAGCAAGATAAGGTTCCTAAGGTTATAAGATTTATTTATGTACAAATTAACATACTAAAGATGAAACATGGTTTAGGGTGTTAGCTTCAGAGTTATTTGGTTGTGTTAAAATAAAACTCCCTAATTGTTTGTAGAGAAGAGGTGAAGATGGAATGCCTTTGATTTTCAAAACTATGTACATTTATACCAAAAATTATCCTACACATGTTATTACTAGTAGTAAGACTAGTAATAACATGTGGTGCCAAGATGCGCAGGGTGCGTTGGCGATAAAAACGCAGCACGGCAAGTTGGTCCTTTTCTGCGCGCAGCCGTCGAAGCGTACGAATGTGTTCTTCTCAGAACACTTCGATATCGTAGCCTTACGATAACGCTAATAAACTGTTCTTGACAGAACACATCACCGTTTCTTCACGACACGTTAACTAAACTCCTGCAATGGGATATTTAACGTCGTTTTTGCGAATTCGCTCTGAGAACATATAAACCTTTAATCTCGTTATAGGTTAAAATCGCAGACATCCCTTTCACCCATAGAATTTTTTGTGTTGTAAAGTACGGTACGGGCGGGTTTCCGTTCAATTCGGACCGGAAACCGATAAACGATTAAATTGAATCGCAACACTACTTTAGTTTGTACTTGACACTTGTCACTTTGCAGTTTGCAATGTGTAGCATACTGCATACAAGTTCTTTAATTGTAGGGAAAATCAATATCAAGTATATTGTAATTTGAAAATTGTTTTGGGAAAAGTATTACAAACAAATAATAACTTAAACGTAAATATTAATATATTGAATGGTAATTTAAAGTAATATAAATCCTAGAAACATTATTATTTCCAAAGTTTTTTATAGTTTGTTTAGAATTTTTTTAAAGGATACTTGATATATATAATATCGAATAAAATTTTTCGTGCTGAAAGTTCTTTAAAACCTTTATAGTTGTGTCTTTGAAACGAAAATTATGGAATTGTTGGAAAAAGAATGGTTTATTGAAGCTCCCTGGGGAAGAATAAGCAGTAAGTACACATATAAAATCTTAGTTTATCATTTTATTTTCCGGGTTCAAAGTCCATAGAATTACATTTATTGAAATATTTTATAGCACACTCAAAAACTCTTATCTGTTGCGCTTTTAATCATAATATGTTGACCTAAATATTTGCATTTTACTTTTCAAGAACAAAGTTTTGCATTCACATGAGTTAGGTGTCTCGTATGTACGAGATTTAGAGAGTTAGTTTAGACGAAAAACATTGTATTTCGCGCTAAATCTCGTTTCTGTATATCACCCTCTCCACGAATCTGGTATTCTGACAGTACCAAGTTTGTATATCTTTGAAGCAGTTATGACTGTCAAGAAGCATCCAAAATTATTTAAAACATATAAAGAAACTTGCTTGTATATACCGAGGGATCCAACACGGCTGCGGGTGCCTGCATGTTGCACCGTGCTATATTCCAAAAATTCTTACGCCATGGCTATAAGAATATTTAATCACCTTCCTAGAAGTTATAGATCGCTGCCATGTAATGTTTTCAAGGGGAAGGTGGATGGGTTTTTAAAGTCAAGGTCCTTTTATAGCGTGAGCGAGTATTTAGACCATAAGTTTAACAATTATAAATGACTTAACTTCTTATTATGTTAATGTTCTTATTATATGACATTGCAAAAAATTTATATGACATTTGCATCCCTATTTATATATGGCTGATTGCAGACTTTTCTTGTTGTTCGATCTAATTGTACCACTATCTTGGCAAATAAAAGATTTATTACGATTATTATTATTATGGTTTTCCTCTTCTAATACCAATCATCTGCATGGCTGACTAAGAATCAGATTCGGATATTTATTGTCGAGATCAAGGGAAAATATTTCTGCATCTATTTCAATATTAATTTAATTAAGCCAAGTAGGTGTTCCATGCCCTCTGACCCAATGTTTATTTTTTCACTAGAAATTGTACCCAACACCTTTATATTATGTGCACTATGTCTAATAGAAAATGCTATTAGGTAATGGACCACCCTTATTTTTTTGCTTACTTCCTTACTACCTTTTGCCTACTTTTTACTTCAATATTGTTTAAGTGTTATCTTTGTGAAACTCCCTGTAAAGGCAATATATTAATTGAAACATAAAGCTATAGAGTCTGCTTATTATTAAATAATCAAATTATTATTTCAGTTATTGCATGGGGTAATTGTTATGATCCACCTGTACTGCTCTGCCATGGATTAATTGACTCAGCTGCTTGTTTTAGGCCACTCATCAGATTGTTACCACAGAAGTTTTACTATATAGGTAAATATATATTTTTTTCTAGAGTGTCTTCATGTAGTAGGGCGGACACCATCAATTCAATCAACAACCATTTTTAAAATGGAAATAGAAAATGTCACTCAAAGAATGATGGAATATAATTTTTTAAAATAAACAAATCTACATTTAATGTTTTTGTAAATATGCTTGCACATGAAAGTCTACCAGATTCAATCCAAATCTGAAAACATAGATGTACATTATGGAAGCAAACAAGTCTATGGGGAAACCATAGAAGGCAGCAATTGTAGCCCAGAAACCAATTTTGTGGGTGTGAGACGACCTTGGACGGTACTTCTAGGTGGTCATGGCATTAAAAAACCCAAATAGGTCAATTTGCTGAATTTCTCATGGCCTGTAGTAATACTAATTAGAATGTACAATTATTGTATAAATTAGAAAGGGTATGTGGGCTTATTTAGAATAAATGCAAGCGCAACTATCAAGCAGTCGTCAAAGAATCCAATATACATACATACATGATAGATATATATAGATAGTAGTGTAGTTTTATATATGTTCCAGGTATAGAGTTGCCAGGCAATGGAAAATCAGACCCATTCCCACGGGGCATGGTACTAACACTATATGACTTTGTGTATGCTGTTCATGTTGTAGTGAACCACTTCAGATGGGAAAAATTTATTGGTATAGCTCATTCGTTTGGTTCATCTGTTGGTAAGTTTGACAAAAGTAATTAAAGCAATTCATTCCTTCATTAACCTATCAACATTGTTTACCTAGTTGCTTCCAGGTATCTGTGGATACCCTATCTCAAGAACTTCTAAGGGAGCATTCAAGTATTACGTAACGAATTTTGGAGGGGGGTCATTTTGTAAAACGTTATGATGCGGGGCGGGGATTGAATTACGCGTTATTGTTAATATTATTCGACTTTCCAGTACTTTACACCACATAATGGCAACTTTTAGGTATAGAGAGTCACTAGGTGGTCACGAAACGTTTTACTATACTTGGTTACAGAAAAACGTTACGGCGCGTTGCACGGGGGGTCAATAATCTTCAAAAATTGCGTGACGTAATACTTGAACGCTCCCTAAACCAAAAGTTTAAAGTTTCTTAAAGTTTGCTAATAATTAAAATTATTGTGTCATTTACCTCGGTCAGCGAAGGACTGCTACAAAGATGACAATATGTTGACATATGAAACCGTTTTCTTCCAGTGAAAATATACAACTTATGTTATCCAGGCAAATTAACAAAGATTATAGAATTTGATCCGGCATTATATAGGATGGTGACCCTGGGAGATTTTCACGACTGGTAAAAAAATTGACTGACTTTATATTAGCTTTATATAATTACAGCACATTTATAAAGTGACATCAGGTTTTGTCTAATACTTAGAAACCACTGGAACAATTTGAAAATGCTTTGAGCATAAGATTGCTTGACACTATTCAAAATATTTAAAAAAAGTCGATCTGTAAGGACAACTCTTTCTAAGTTAATAGTTTTAGTCTTTATAGGACTTAGTTTCAAATTGTAACTGATATTTATTTTATGAAAACTATGACATATGGAAGTATAATACTTACGTATGGCATTTTGATGATAATCATACTCAACGCTGTTACTCGACTCTGAATTGTACCTGGAGATCCGTGTTCTATTCCCAAGTGACGAACTCTTCTTGAGCTCTGTCAAAACTGTCAAACTGTTTGATAGAATTATAGATTAAATTTAATTAATTTTTTAAATAAGTTTTAAATTAATTTAATTGAGGGTTGTTTTATAATTTACTTTTTTTAGGTACCAAGTGACTTTTGGTGATTTTTTCAAAAACTTTAACGAATATAACATCGATATTGAGAAAACTATGAAAGTGTCAAAGGATGAGGTAGGTCTATAGGGTAAGATTGAACTGTGACTTCCATCTGTCAAAATCCCCATCTCATCTCAATGTTTCTCTAAGGTTTTATTATGATTTTTTTATGAAACTTTTTGTGTTTTACTCATTTCTTGTAATAAATCCTAATAATCTTTACAAATTGTAATATAATTCTGGGTCTTTCGTCCGTGCCACTGAAATTATAAAGAAAAGTCGGGAGTTAGTTCGGTGGCGGTTGTTGTATTTATGTACAAATATATGTTAAATGAAACACTGTTTGAAACGGGGTGTCAACTGGCTTCGTTTAAAACTTAAGCTGTAACTAACATAAAATAAGAGGTAGTGGGGTTGCGACACTAACAAAAAAAAAAAATCGGTTGTCTGTAAAGTCGGTTTACTGACGATAGTTGAACGTGACAACGTCATAAAAAATATTGATGGGATGGTTGCATTTTTAAAAAAAAAAAATTAAATTTTATTTGTTTGATAGGTATTTTGTATGGATATAGAGAAGGAGGTAAATGGAAATCACAATTGAATTGATCAAGTTACATTTATTTGTACGCATAAATACAATTATGTCAATTTTAAATGTAACGCCTCAGAGCGAGGTAACGCCTCAGAGAGAGGTAACGCCTCAGAGCGAGGTAACGCCTCAGAGCGAGGTAACGCCGCATGAGTCATGTTTTTTCGTGCGTGCAGCCGGCTCCATCGAATTATAAGACGTTGTCACGTCAAAAAAGTGGCGTGTACTTATGTACGCGCGTAAGAAGCTATACTTCTTTGGCATTATTAAAAATAGTTTTTGATTGCATGCAAATAATTAATTACAATTAAATAATCAGAGACTGGAAAAGGAGTCATTATAGTCAATAAAGTTCAGTTTACATTTGAAAAATTAGTTAAATTAATATTTATTATTATTCTCTTACATTAAGTGTAACATAAATTCTATTATTATTCGAATGTTGTTTTTAAATTATGTCCAATGCCGTAGCATCTTCCGTGGGCAACTTCATTCTGTTAATTTTGCATTTTGTGTGCGCGGGCATCGTAAAATTTCACTCATCAATTTTTCATAACGCGCCTAAACAAGTATAACTACAAAAATCGCTTGTCTGTAAAGTCGGTTTACTGACGATAGTTGAACGTGACAACGTCATAAGAAAATACTGATGGAATGGTTGCATTTTTCAAAAGAAAATTTTATTTTTTTCGTTTGATAGATATTTTGTATGGATATAGAGAAGGAGGTAAATGGAAATCACAATTGAATTGATCAAGTTACATATATTTGTACGCATAAATACAATTATGTCAATTTTTTAACGAACGAACGCTGGCGAACGCGGAGGCGATTGTGCCTCTTTGTCGCTCTTTCCGCGCTCTCGCTTGCACATCAAGCCTTCAATGTAACGCCTCAGAGGTAACGCCGCATGAGTCATGTATTTTCGTGCGTGCAGCCGGTTCCATCGAGTTATAAGACGTTGTCACGTCAAAAACTGACTTAACTTATTGATGGGTTCTGTAAGCTAAGTGACACTTATATTATTCGACATTATCGGAAACGAGAATGTTATATTACTATTTACGAGTGTGGGAAAATCTAAAGGACTCATTTCGGCTTCAAGTGTACGATGATTGCTATTGGTTTGCGCTTCTAATTATTAACTAAAATGTATTATGTAACTTATCTAATGTTGGTTTACGCGGTAAATTTTATTATTAAATTCGAAATTGACAGATTACTAATAATACTAAAACGGGGACTGCCGCGGTAAAGCTATTGCATAGCATTTTTTATCAACTTATGCAGTTATAATTGTTTATTTATGCAGTATTTGTTTTTCTTTGATATTATTTCAATCTACCACTCTACCAGACGCAGACTAAAACGCCTATATAGTCTGTCTCACTCTAACGCGTACCGGCTGCACCGGCCCCGCTCCCGTGCGCAATATGCGTTCTGTCCCCCTCTAACGCACCTATATTACGTCATCGTATGTTAGGTTTTTTTTGTTACGGAAGTTCTTGATTTAGTCGCCGCGCTCAAAGCCCGCGATAAAATCTATGCAATAACTTAAAAAACTTACCCTATTAAGTACAAGGTTAAATTATATAAATTTTCAGGCTATTCAGCGTTCCATGAAACGCCGCCAATTGTCAGAGAAATATGCGAAAGAGACTTTAGAGAGAATTTCTATACCCGCTGGTGATGGCTTCGTGAGGTAAGTGTTAATAATATGTATATACCTAACTAGCGACCCGCCCCGGCTTCGCACCGGTGCAATGTTGATACTAAATTCAAAATGCTATAATAGATTTATAGGCACGCTCCCGCCGCAAACGCTACGTCCCGCAAAATATGTTTATTGTGGGATATCCATAAGATATAGACATAATATACCATCGCAGAGTTTTCTGTGGGCCTTTTCAATGTGTCAAATACTTAGTACATTATTTTGATAAATCTCGTAGGGAAAAAATGTAATTATTTACGACATTACATTAGAAACCTCAAAAATAACAGTATTTCTACACTATTTGATGGATATTGGATGCTATTATATATATAAACCTTCCTCTTCAATCACTCTATCTATTAAAAAAATGGGTGCGTGTACTTATGTACGCGCGTAAGAAGTTATACTTCTTTGGCTTTCTTTATTTTTCTAAAATATTAAATAATTAATAACAAATATTTAACGTTAATAATTTATTAATATTTAGTATATTATTCAATTATTAATTAATATTAATAACAATTATTATTATTATTTTATTATATTATTCATTCAATTTAATAACTACGTATGTTTCATAACCTTTTAACTAAGTAACAATAGGTCTTTGTGAAAAAGCATTGCTAAATTTCTTTGAAAAAATAATTAAAACTCCTTTATTTGTTTAAAAGGTACTACAAATGTCATTATGGTCATTCAAAATTCTTGGCATAGCTGCTAACGTCACGCATATTCTATTTCTTTTTACTTGTAGATTGTCTTATTCCCATCTCGCTCGCGCACGCTCGGCGCCCATACTGATAATTTTGTGTCACGGTGCGCGCGCATCGTAAAATTTCACTCTCATAAATTTTTCATAACGCGCCTAAAGAAGTATAACTTCAAAAACCGCATCAAAATCCGTTGCGTAGTTTTAAAGATTTTAGCATACATAGGGACAGAGAAAGCGACTTTGTTTTATACTATGTAGTGATAATGTATAAAATAACCACTTGTGTTCTAATCTAAATTTATGTACTATTTTGTAGGTAAAGGTTTAATCTAACAAATAAATGGCGCCTAAATTCAAATATGGCATAGAATATAGAAGTTGCACGACGAAAACAGCAATAAATAATTAGTGATATTCCTTTGTGAAATTTGTTTTCTTATAGAGTCTGGCTAATTAAAGATAACGAAAAAGCGCGGCAAATTCAAAAAAATTAGTATGGTATCCCTAAAAGTTTGATATATTTTGTGGATTAACTTGATTTTATTTTATTCTTTTTTACATTTACTATCAATCTGTATATCTATGAAATTAAATACTATACGTATTTAGTATTTTACTATTGTTACTCAAAATGACTAGCATTGCATGGAAAACTAAAACTTTATTCGGAATAATCAAATCCTGCGAAAGAAACGAAATATTCTATGAAATAAAACAAAGTTTAGGCTATTATATATGTTAACTATTCGGAAAAAATATATAATAGAAATAAAAATGAGTAATTGCATGAAGTATCAAAACAATAAATCATACTACCCTAAGAAATTCAATGACATTCTGTGTTGCCATCCGAAAGTTTTCAAATAATTCATTTATCTTCTTTCATTAGCCAGACTCTACCGTTTTCAAAGAGCAATGTCGTTCTACTATTTTTTCACTAAATTTAATTAGACATTAGTTGGATAATCTATATTTTAAGTATTAAAACGATACTATGTACTTATATGACATTCGTAATTGAAATGTAAGGATGCATTATGGCTAAACCCTAGGGCAGACACATTTTGTGTATGAATCTTTCAAACTGTGTTTTATTTATTATGAACAGATATATACGTCACTAGAAAAAAAAGTATAAGTTAACAAATATTCTATGATTGTTAAATACATGTTTATTATATAGCGTATTTAAATTTCAATTGTGAATATGTTTTCAAATAAAATACGCCAAGAAAAATACTAAAAATATCGTGGCCCATGAGGGGATCGAACCCGCGACCTTCGCGTTATTAGCACGACGCTCTAACCAACTGAGCTAATGGGCCATTGGACGTTTTGCCGTAATTTTGTAACGTAATTATTTAATTGTCAAGACTGTATCTTCATTTCTAATATTTGCTGGATCTCATTACTATTTTTGAAATTCATATTGATATATTTTGAACATATTTCTGACATCGTGTTTCAAAAAGTACTATTAGTGGTGGTTAAAAATTTTTTTAGGTCTGGCCCTCAGATTTCTGGATCTGTTTCATGATCATTTATCAATCTAATAGGTAAGCAGGTGATCAGCCTCCTGTGACTGTCGCACGCCGTCGGCTTTTTGGGTCTAAAGTAAGCCGGTTTCCTCACGATGTTTTCCTTCACCGTTCGAGCGAATGTTAAATGCGCACATTGAAATAAAGTTCGTTGGTGCACAGCCTTGGATCGAACCTACGACGTTAGGGATGAGAGTCGCACGCTGAATCCTCTAGGTCAACACTGCATTTATTAAATATTTCATCGTAATAAAATTTTAATATGTCGGGTTGCGTTGCGACTACCCCGAAATTTGCATCTCCAGTATTTATCACAGATATCATTTCACGATATTTTTTTATGTAACGGGGCAATCGGGCAGGCTGCTATGTTCAGTGATACCGCCCATGGACACTCACATGGCCAGAAGGCTCGCAAGTGCGTTGCCGGCCTTTTAAGAACTGCTACGCTCTTTTCTTGCTCCTAAGATCGAATTTATTCTTATATTTTTCAGATACACCTACGACCGTCGGTTAAAAGTTATACAAACGCCACCATACACGCCCGAACACTACAAGGATGTTTTGACAAGTGTCAAAACTCCAACTTTGTCTATTATAGCTCAAGATACAATCGACTTTGGAATCTATGAACAGACGCCATTTTTGCTGGACGAAACGGCGTATCCGAACGGCAATTGTCGGATTAAAATTGTGAAGGGTTCGCATGATGTGCATTATAATAATCCGGAGTGTATCGCAGATTATGTTACTGAGTTTTTGATTGGTGGCTTTAAAGCTAAATTATAGTTACCACGAGTAAATGGTTTTTGAAGTTATACTTCTTTTGGCGCGTTAGGGAAAAATTATGAGAGTAAATTTTTACGATGCCGACACCATGAAGTTTTGTTTTTGTGACATTTAAGAGACCTTATTTAACTAGATAATGCGTTATAGTAAAACTTTCAATGTATTAAATACCTTTATTCTATTGTTAGCGTCGTTTTTCTTGTTACGCCAAAGAAGTATAACTTCTAACGCGCGTATCTTATGTACGTACACACACTTTTTTTTTAAATATTTTAATAAATTATCTCTATTTTTCATAAATTATCTCCAAGCTTGTGAATTAAAACAACTGTAAAAACTTGTTATTGGTTAACTAGGTATCTATATTATAAATAAAAAATTCAACAGTCAAAACTAGGGTTGCCACCTTTTTTGCAATTAAAGTGAATATTATCAAATTAAAATACAATTTATGTTTCTTTATTATTACATTTAAAAATAAATGTGTTATTGCTATTCGACTAAACAATTGCACAGCATGTTTAGATAAAGATCTATTTAAACATCCATTCAATAAATTTATCGACGAATAAGAAATACGAAAGATATTACATCATGCGAAATAAAGTATTTTCGGGTACGTTTTTGTTCTCATAAGGGAGTACAATTACCTGAAATAATGTACAATACTTAATTATAAAGTACGGGTGGTAACCCTAGTCAAAACAGTTGGGGCTTTATCCAAATTGGTGCGGCAGGTTTTGATGTACTCGCATTACTGAATAACACATGTATAATTTAGGTACCTTTTTGAAGTTGGTTTATTTTTGTTACTAAGTGAACTATATTTTTATTTGTGATTAACTTTAGGGATTTGGAATAAACTTAAATAGCTTTGTAGTTTGAACAATAACACTTGGGACCATATTTAGAGTAGTGCATTATTGTATTTAATTTATTATAAAATGATGATAGTGTTCAAACAAACTCTATGTGTGAAAAATGATTTTCTGTGTGATTTACACTTGCTCGATACGAAAATCAATGTGTAAGAGGTGATCACTGTGAGACATGATAGTGATGATGTATCATTTGTATTTGAAATATTGTATAAGCAATGTTATGTAAAGTGCATTTATTTTATTATTATACCTGTTGGGGAAAGACAAATTTGTTAATGTTGTTTTTTTTGCATTCCCAAAATCTTCATTTTTTTTTACAAATGTTTTTAATACTATTTCAGTAAATGGAATGGTTGTTTGCGCACTACTTTGTTACAATAACAGTTCATGCAAGAACTTAACCTTTTTGCAAAATGTATGCACAAATATCATATTAAAACCCTTTACACTTTATTACTTACCCCAAACATTTCATAGTCATATTTTAATAGACTACTGACAAATTTCATAAGTAATATTATAAAGAGGAGATATTGTTTGCATTGAATAAACTTTAATATAACTGGACAGATTTCTAGAATTCTTTATTAATTTAAGTGCTACATCATAAACAAATAATATAGGCTATATTTATTTCCTAAATATTTTTATAAATAAATGTGAAGGCACCAATTTTTATTTATACTCATAGCACCACCATTTTATGGGAAGCTTTGTATGCTATTTTGCTTAAGTGCTGCAGGTATCCTTGTGCCAATTGAAAGTTTCCCATCCACTCATCAGTAGTTCAATATTAAAAAATACAACGACAGGGTAACCAAAATCAACTGCTTTTTATAAGTCACAAACAATTGTTGAGTTTTTACAAATATTAATTATATTATATAGTGAGTAGTAGTATATTAGTTCTATACTAATACTATTAAGATTTAATACTTATACTAATGGTATTATAAACAAACATTCTTATAATAACTTAAACAGTTCTTTTTTAAAGCGAAAGCAAAAAAAATGTCTATCACTCTCAGACTTCTTTTGACAAATTAATAACAAAAACATAAACCTCATCTCAAATTTCATTCGTTCTTTGTACCAAAAGAAGGAATCATTTGCGCCCAACCACACATTATCATCAACTCGCTCACCATACTGTGACCTGCAAGAAAATTAACCACCAATTGATCTTCCACAGTGGTAACATACGTCATTTGTGGTGTACCAGGCACAAGGGACTTAAATCCATTAATACTGGATTCATTCCAAATATCCCCATTCGGTGCTTTACATGCATCTAATCTACATGGAAATGCAAATGGAGGGAGTTCTATATCACAGGCCCAAATTTTTTCAGAACTAATTGCACTGTCTGTGGTTCCAACATCTATTGCCATAATCGTATATTTTTTTCCTCTCAATACTTGAACAGGAGCTACAATTTTTCCTCTTGTTAGTTTTCTATCAAATTTTTCAGACTCAAACAAAACTACAGTCCCCGCATCTAGTGAATCTGGTACTTTAAGTTTATTTCGTGGAATATTGTTGAGTTCATTAACAAATCTTGTATTTTCTTCTAATCTTATGAAAAAATTACTAGGTGATTCTATGTGACAAACATGTACAAAGCATTTTGACATTTCGTTGCTATTAAATATTGGAACAACTGTTTTTCGCATAGCCTCAGGTAAATAAAACATAGATTGTTCCATTTTATTCTTGGAACATAAAATCTGTAAAATATATAGTGACTTTATGCATTCTTTTTCCATACAAAACCAATAAAATTGTTAAATTATGCGTCACACCAATTACCTGTTTTTAAAGAATAAAAAATGAACTATTAACTATCATATAAAAACCATTCGTAAAGAAAAGCTCTGAAAAGATTTAAAGTTAACAGTTCATTTATTATTTAATATTTACCATCCTTCCTATACAAATATTGCAGACAGCAGTCACTAAAAAGTAAACTGACATCAGAACTCAGAAGTTTCAGGGTTGCCAATTTCTACAAAATGGGGAACATGTTGTAGAAGTTTCTAGGTCCAACTTCAAATACCCCTAAATGTCGATCAAAAACCCCTAAAGTTTTTGTTGTACACTTGGTTTGAGAGGTAATTTCAAATAAGAATTAAAAATACGTTGAAGTATTAAAAAATAGTTGTTGTTTTTAAGTGAGTACATTTTACATATTTAAATATGTTAAACTATGACCGAATAATATTAATGATAATAACAATGAGGTGAAACGATTCTTATTTTTAATTTATTAACTTTTCTTTCTTCGAATTCAGTTTTTATTAACGTTCCTTGGCAGACAGTTTTGGCGTTTTCGACAATTTCTTTTCATACATTATTTTTAAAGCTTTTTGTACTTTTTATTTTTTATCTGTTCTGTTACAGTTAAACGAGATAGAATTAAAATAAAAAACGAATTGCTTCAATGTGCTTTTTTCCTTCTAATATAATATAATTAAATGTCATTGGGATAAGCTTCTAATATTTCGTCGAAGGCATCGGCCAAGATATCGCGCTGCGTTTTGCTGTTGCTGATATTTTTGAAATCGTACATATTGACGTTAAATTATTTGATCATACGGTCAGAAGGAAAAAATTTGACACATGAAATTATTGTTTTTCGATATTTAAGCTGTAGCCAGGCTTGGAGTTTATATTTGGTTAGTTTGTTGATTGCGGTCGAAGCTTAATATAAAATTTAAAGAATCGTGTGTTTGTAGAGAAAAAAAATTCTTGAATAACCCCCTAAATAAATGTACTCCATAAAAAACCCTGGACATCTTGATTACCCCTTAATTTGAGGGGAAAGCCCCCAAGCTGGCAACACTGTTTCAAATTTGAATAGTGTAGTAATATAATATTAAGTATCTACTGGGCAGGGCTGCCAGATGAAAAAAAGCGTGATCGTACACCAACTACAAAAGACCGTACAACATAAAAGTGGAAAGTTTTTATTTAAAATTAGTGGCTGCCTTTGCCTTGAAGAGTGTAACTTTAATACTCGACATTCTGAAACCATTTCGACGTCACAAACAGTGCACCTGGCTTTAAATTGGTTTCCACCGGGCCTTAACCAGCCCTCAAATAAATCAATTTTTTCCGATCGGGACGATACTTATATGCTCTGTGTTTGTTCCTTTCTGTTGCAGAAAGCTCTCACCTTTTGGCTAATATAGTAATATCTTTTTAGGAGTACCTGGCGGCCCTGGCGCAGGTCGCTCTTCTTCATTTTCACTACCAATTCTTGCTTAAGCGTATTGAAGTAACACAAAAAACACTAAAGACAATATGCAGATCAAAAGAGGATAATATAATAACTTAGAGCTCGAGACTGATGAGAAAAACAGGTTTTTGAATATTCCAATACAAGTCTTTACAAGAGAAAAATAATAAGTTTTGTAACAATGCACACAAATACAGACTTTATATGAAAAAAAGGGTCTTTAGGCGTCAAGTGTCTTCATTCAAGTAAAAGATCTAGGCATAGGTTAGGTTGTTGGGGAATTCCCCGAACAGAATTCGTTGCCAGGTACAGAAAAATCCTAGGTTTTCGGTACGATCCTGGTCTAGCGATCGAAAATGAGTAAAATTGACAAAAAATCGTAGGAGTACGATTTTAAATCGTACATCAGGCAGCCCTGCTACTGGGGCTTAGTCATGATGTCTTTAAAAAAAATATAAATTAAAAATTATTATTAAAAAAAATTTTATAAATCTGGGGCCTTAGTCAAGATGCCTTAACAGTAGTATATGTAGAAAGTCGAAAACTTAATTTGTATGGAAATGACAGTTCGTGTCGAAAAGTTTTCATACAAATTTAGTTTTTGACGTTCTACATACACTACTGTTAAGGCATCTTGACTAAGGCCCCTGTATTAAAATTTGTTAACACGAACTGTCATTTGTGTTTAAGGAGTATTGAGTGTCAAATTGGAATGTCAAAAATCAGCTGAGTTTAGTTATATCGCTGTTTGACTTTGGAGTTTTAGCTCAATTGGCGATGTCTTTGGTTGTGTTTCACAAGAATTCTTTAAAACACATACAATAATTATGCTAAATTAAATACAAATATGTAAATACCGGATATGCATTTATAACATAAGCGCTACATTAGTTCGTAGATAAGGCTAAAACAATAACTTTAAGGTGTGTATTGAATAAATAAAAATGAATCGTTTGTGAGGTTATTTAATACGTAATTAAAACTTCATAATGAAACAACAAATAATGATTCTGTTATTTATTTATCAGCATTCATAGATGTAAACACGTATACTATAGTAGAAGAATAAACAAATTAAGATATACTGTATCTCTTCCAATACCCAGGGTAATTTTTTTCAGGACCGTCCGTTTCAATACATTTGTGAAACGGACATAATTTTCTAATAAAATTAAAATGTGTTTCAGATGGCGTTATTTAGAAAGCAGGATTTCTCACCTCCAATTTTATCAAAGAAATGGATAGCAATTAAATTTAGGCCAAACATGGTAATAATGTATTTATTTAATTGATCTTTCTTATTCATTAATCAAACCTGAAATAATTAAAGCTGTCCACTATCAAGGAATCACCATCTGAATTTATGATATAAGGAATTGATAAAATAGTAAAATAAATGTCTTACACAAGTCTGTAAGCTGTAGAAAACATATCATATGACATTAAATGCCCTAATTTAATATTGTGTTTAAGAAATACTTTTTCAGAACAATAAAACAGTTTAGCTAATAATTGAACTCAGGACTTTCATGTATGTAAAAAATGAGAGCGTTCAATAAACTGACTCAAAGTTAAGCGCAAATCTGGTTTTTCCACTGACTTGACTGACTGAAATGACGCTAAAGGATTTTTTTTTTATTGGACAATTCACACCAATTGACCTAGTCCCATGCTAAGCTGGTGAAGATTAAGATTGTGATAAAACAATTTTAATTTAGGCCTTAGGCCTTACATATAAATAATATTATTGTTAATTCCAGCTCATATACAGTCATAACAATATAATAATAATACTAGAGAGTGGTTTGCTGTTCCGTGAGGATAGTATTGAAGTGGAGCAAGAAGCCCCCTGTCCAGAAGTAGCCTGGGGCCACGCTGGGGGAGCGGCGGGTGGTTGGCTAACAAAAGGGGAGCGGAATGGTGCCTTGATAGCTATTGCTGCATGTGTAATGCTGGCACCACCAAGAAAGTAAGTTCTTTTTTAGTACATCTTCACTACTAATAATAGCAAATACACTATGTGAATTATTTGTATGTTTATCTTGTATAAGTTTAATTATATTTTTTATTATTATATATATTGTTTGAATAAAATAATTATTAGGACTAAAAAGAAATGAAGCGACACAGTATTCAAAATACTGTTTCCAAGAAACTAGTTAATTGTGTATAGAAGTAAATGATGATTCAATCAAACTTCAGGGTCCCTTAGGAGGTTAGTCTCACACTACTAAATAAATTGTTTGCAATTGTTTTATGATCTCTGCTCGTCGTTGGAAGTTCAACTTATATATAGAATAACATAGGTTTTGTTATAGTTGGCCAAATAGACATTAAGCAATGGATGTTAGGATTTATTAGAGGCTCATTCTAATTCTCAAGTCATTGTCTCGTCTTCAGTGCTGTCAAATATGTAAACGTGATTTAAATGAAACTAGATTTAATTTTGATTGACATTCTATAATACGAGCTTGGCTGATGTTGGCTTGACATGTGTCAAATCCATTAGGATTTTGACATACGTCACTACTGAATACGGCTTAGTCAAGATGCCTTAACAATAGCGTATGTAGAAAGTCGAAAAATAAATTGTATCAAAATGACAGTTCGTGTCGACAATTTGACTAAGCCCCCTAAGCGTGACTGTCACTTCTGTCAAATTCTTTATTAACGTCAAGCGCTAAGTACCCGCTACATCACATGTGTCAATTGTTTTGGATTTTTATAGAACTCATAAGCGGGCCATAGACGGACCGCATGTTGCAGTCAAGACCGACTGCAATATGCGGTTTGCTCAGGAACTGCTCGAGCGGTCGGTGTATTGCGAATATGAATTTAGTATGGAAACTGCAGATCGCCGTGCGGCGACCGCTTAGAGCAGTCGGTATCGGCTGCAACATGCGGTCTATAGCTGGCCATAGTTCGTCAAAGTCCTATAGGATTTTGACATACATAGTTCGCGCCAACACATCTGTATCAATATAATTCTCTGTATAGTTTCAACAAAATGACCCTCGCGAGGTTGGCGTCCCTCGCGCTAATTCCGGTCGCTATTCGTGCGACGCATCGGTCGCATTGTCGCGGTGCCTTGCGACAATTGGTCACAGTGATGCGCGACTACATGTCGCTGGTGCGTCGCGCGACGGCTTGTTGCCGGGAGTATGCCGCGTTACATGCTCAGTTGTAAGTATCTTCTTCGGATAATATGTATTTATAAATGCGTCTGAATGAATGCGATTAACTCAAGAACTATCGAATTGGGTCTCAGAACTCTAAGATTTCTGTATCTGTACCTTGATACGTCAATCTGATAGGCAAGTAGGTGTGCAACCTCCTGTGCCTGACACACGCCGTCCACTTTTTGGGTCTAATGCCGACCGTAGCGTGTATGGCCGGCATAAGGCAAGCTGGTGTCATCACGATGTTTTCAATGTTAAATACGCATAGACAGAAAGTCCGTTAGTGCACAGCCGGCGATCGAACCTACGACCTCAGGGATGAGAGGGTCGCATGCTGAAGCCAAAACTGCTCGAAGGTGTAAATGTACCGATAATTTATTATTATTATTATTCATCTGTTAAAATTTTACCCTCATGCGCTTGAAGGTTTACTTCAAAAATTAAGGATAAAATAATTTCCCAATTTAGGGGTTCTGTCGCCTCAGCAATAGAATCAACCCACGCGATGCTCTACCAGCAGCAAAGGGAGCTTCTGTTGCTAATGTCACGCGCATCGTCCGCGTTGCTAGGCAACGTGCCATGGTTGCGCGGCGATGTCGCCGTGGAGTGCGATACAGACAATTTAATGGTAAGCATTTATTGTTGAAGCGTATCAATTAAAAATTATATTTAACCTAGGTTTTATGTATCTTTTTAAAAATACATCTAAAAGTTATGTTATAAACCAGCTATTGTTTATAAATGCCTTGTTTATGGCAACACTGATTCCACCCTTTAGATGTGAGATAGCGCTTGTCAAACGTCAAATAGTTAATAAAGTTTACATTTATGTCTGTTATTTATGTCATTTATGTGTGTTTTTCGTAAACATACATAATGATATAGCATTAGATTTAAAGGCCGGCATCATACACGCAAGCTCCAAGGAGCTGTTGCAAGTGCAAAAAATTTGGGTTTCGGTAGCAAAACATGCCATTGCGTGTGGCCACGGGGGCGGTATCACTTATCAAGTGAGCGTCCTGCCTTTTGCCCCCTGTTCTATGAAAAAAATAAAGAGTCGTAGAGAAAGAAAATCTATGAAAAGTCATGTCATAATATGTCAGGTATTTATGAGTCATAGCGTCAAGTATAAATGTATCTCTTTCTATCTTCAGAACATATATTTTAGTTGATACCACTTAATGGTAAATACTTCTCAAAAGTTTAGTTACGGGCTATCTTCTTTACCAAAAGATTTAAGGCCGGTTTATACTACAGCCACGCCGCGTGTCGCAACGCGTGGGATTGCGATCGGTTACATACATTTAGTATGAACGTGGTTACATTAACCCAGCCCCGCGTGTCGCCGAGTGAGCTGACGCCACGCAGATCGCTCGATTTCGATCGGCGTGGGCTCGGTAGTGGGGGAAGTGTCCCCTTGGCTCGCTCTGCGCTAGTAAAATCGCCACGTGGCTACGCGCATTTGCGCATTTCGGCGTGTTGACGAGCAAGCAGACATCTACCACATTTTTGAGCGCGCGCAAGATGTCCGCTGACGAACTTATTGAGCTAGTGAGAGAGTATAAATTTTTATATGATCCTAAAAATAAAGATTATAAAGACCATTTGATAAGAACAGCAGCGTGGGAAGAAATAGGCCAACAATTTTTTTTTCTTCTTGAGTTGGCTTAACATAAATAGGCAGGCAATATCTTCTTCAAGATCCGTATCTGAGTCGGAAGAGAACATTGTAAATAGATGCGGACGTTTACGCGGTCACCACTGAACTGACACATTTCATTTCTTCTGTTCACAACGAAACTTTATTGACTTACGGGGTTTGAAGACTCTTGAATTTTATCTTTAATCACTTAATGTCAAATCTTTCTGTCAACGTCAAGTCGCAGAGTCTCACTGCTGTAAAGCAGCTCTAATGAGCGAAGAATGTAAAAACTCGCGATAAACAAGTTTTTAATTACCTTTATTTTTATATATTTATAATTATTGGCTACTAAAATAATAATTAACATTTATTATAATTGGCTGTCCTCTTTTCCAGAAACTCCACCACGCCTTTCTAGTCGTGCAATCCACTCTACTAAAATATATTGCACTGGCGCATCATATCCCGTCACAAGCACTAAAACTATACAAAAACCATAATGAAAGAATATACTGGATTCACAATGTTCTTATAGACAATTTAACGCGAGAATTCAAAGACAATTTTGAATCACTAGAGCGCATGTATCGTCTGTTAAAAAACTACGGTACCAAAGACAATGTGTTAAAAAAGCCAGGTTCAGCGATCAAAGAAACTTGGTTCTATTCAGAAATACATACAGGTGTGGCAAGAACTAGCTTAGAACTAAAATTAGCTCTCAATAAATGTAATGACCTAGATATGTTCCTAGACTCGTGCGCATCTAACCAACAAGATCTAGATTTAGATGCTTTGAACAAAGATATCGACAGTATTATAGATGATGTAACAAAGTGTTTAAAAACAGTTCAAAGTTCACAGATTAGATTAAAAAAGCTGCAAAATAAATTCCAAGAAGAACATACAGTGGAGGAGGACGAAGTACATGTAGAAGAGGCCATTTTGAAAATAGAAGACAAAGAACCAGAGATAAGAGATGAAGTATTCTACTTTGTCAGAACAGATGACGATGACGCGCTACCGTCAGTCGCTGATGTTGTAACTGGTCCAGGAAAGAAAGAGAAAGAAACCACGAAAATACTTCTAAATGAATTAAGAAGAAAACTAGTAGGAAGAGAAGATTTAATGCGAGAAAGAGAAAGACAGGCTCTAGCTAAAACAATGCCACAGCTTCATGATGTACCAGAATTTCCAAGACAGATTGATATATTACAATTCGTTGATCGCAAAGGTTTTTTATCCAAAATAAAGCGAGTGGAACGAAAAAAATTAAAACTAAAAAGAACAAAAAATAAAAAACGAAAACAAAAATATCGATTAAAAATCTCCCGATATACAAATGAAAGTGAAATACCGAAAGTTTATGAAGCGAACGCGAAACTTAATATCAAAAGCAGATTGCTAACAATCGATAAAGACAAAAAAGGTTTCATAATAACGAAATGGGTTAAAAAAGAAATCAAAGATGACAATTCTAGTGTTCTGTCTGACTTAAGTGACGTAGAATCGGAAACAGGAAATGCAAATGTCATTCTACGTAATTATAAAGTCAACAAACAAGATTTAAACATATCGTCGTCTGACAGTGATTTTGATTTAGACAATAATGAACTACTAAATGACATAAGGAGATATAGAGCTGTCAGAAAAAAGAACTTTCCCGCGAAAAGGGCGTCCATAGATATGGACGAGAGTATGAAACCCATAGAGTACAGGTTCGGGACGGGAATGGCAATGGCGTCCGTTCTACAGAAAAATAATGCCAGAGTTGTGATGGCGGAAGAAGTTTTTGTTGGAAATGGCGAAGTTTCAGAAGATAGTGGTCATGATGACGATGCGTGATAAAATATAAGAACTGCTTTGGCTTTGGATTTCTATGATTGATGATTATTTATTCAGACTAATAATATACAAAAACTTCTATTTCAGATGTTTAAATGTAATTTTTAAATGTAATTTTTAAATTATTTTATGGCTTTTTAAATTGTACTAGTCATTATAATAAATTTATGTGTCACACTGTCCTTGAAGAGTAAAAGTTGTTGTCAAGGCACAGAACATAACAGGCGAAATCTGTCAATAAAGACATATGTGATAATTAAATAAAGACGTGATTAAAACGTAAAAGATGGTCTATTCTCTATGATTAAGCCATTCTAACCGACCTTTAGCTTAAAGGTCTCCTAAAAATCGTTCTTAAAAATTCCACAAGTATGTTTTGTTATCAGGTGGTGACGTATATTTTCTTTGTATTAATATCTTTTTCCATAGAAAATAGATTGTCTTCTACAGTCTATTCTCTATTAAATAATATTTTAACAAATTTAGAAAACCGATAGTTACGAAGACAATCCATTTTTGGCGATGGATAAAATGCTCTTTTTCGTTCAACCGAGTTTTCACTCATATTTGATAATCAATGTAAACCAAATAAAGTGAATAAAACCGTACAAATAACATTAAAATATACATTTGTATGTTTAAACCATAACAATTAATTATTTAAAAAACTGGTGTATGTTAAAATCTGTTAAAATAATTAACTGTTGAAATCGAGCTTTCTTCAACTGTCATTTTCTACATAGTTCTATCCACAGACACCGATACGACCTCCTACGCTTTTATCGACAGCTGGTTATTACAATCCGTCGGTTGGTTATTGGCACAATTGTGACAACATTTGGATTAAGATTACTATCTCAGATGGTGGATTGAGATACGTTATTGGGTTCGAGCGTAAGTCTACCAAAAGAACAGATTGAATAATTAAAATAGTCCACTCTATTTGGTTACATGACTACCAATCTAAATTTGTTGAGATTTATAATTAGTGACAATATATACCAACGTGAAAATACTATTTTTATGATTATATAAACTTGATAAACGTAAATAATTATAATGTTATATGTCCACGTGTCGCAATATGTGTTAATATATTCCTTATATTTTTAATTATCTTCCAATGACTACTAATTATGTCGAGAGATTATTGTAATGTATAAATAATACATATTTAAAATGGTATAACCTTTTCTTTATCTTAAATTAAATATGGCATCGTTTTGTTGTGATCAAAATACATAAAATGTTTCTAGAATCTAGTTTTATTCCATTCCTCTCCGTCAAATGTAAAATAAAAAAAAGTGCGTGCGTATAAAGTTCCTACACATGTCAGAAGTGAAACTTCTTTGGCAAACTAATTTTAAACTCTTGTTCATATTTATACAAATCTAAAACTTTAGATTTCCGATTTTCCTTCTTTAGAAGGAGGGGAAAAGGGAGATATTATGTTAGCAATTTAATGAATTTAAATGTCATTAAAAAAGTAAAGTGTCGAAAATTAATACAAGTAATAAATTTAATTTCTTAAATTTATTTCTTCGATAACGAAAACACGTGCCATTTTAATTTACAATTTGTCATTTGATATTTCAATAAATTATTTTGCATGTAATACAAAATACTAATATTTCATAAATTGTCTTTACGAAATTTTAATTTTAAAAATAGAATTTCAATAAGGTAATTCGGCCTTCTCACTCTCTCTCAATCGCTCTCTCCCTTTTCTTCGACAAAACCACTTCACATCTTCGTCACTTCAAAAATACAACGAAATAATGTCAATTATCAAGACTGTATAATGAAATTCAAAACGAAACATTGCGCGTTGAAATATGATGCGACACATCATGTGTCAATGTCGCCCGATGTCAATAATCTTCAATTAGTCTTTCGTTTGCGTTCTCATCTCCAATACGTTTCACTGTCCAAAGTATTTTTTTTATCGAACAAATAACTTATAGGACACACCACTGCGTATTATACTAATTAATAAAATATTTGCAGTGAGCCGTGTTGGCCTAGTGACTTCAGCGTGCGACTCACTTCGCTGAGGTGGTAGGTTCGATCCCCGGCTGTGCACCAATGGACTTTCTGTCTATGTGCACATTTAACTCGAACGGTGTAGGAAACCGCCTTACCTTAGATCCAAAAAGTCGACGGTCTGTGTCAGGCACTGGAGGCTGATCATTGCTTGCAATGAAACATATTATACAAAATTCTAATCCTAAAAAGGTTGTAGTAATTATGTTACTTATAGGTACTTATTGGACACGAGAATGTTAAATTACCTACAATTTTTGAATGTGGTAAAAAGGGCTCATATCGGCTTTAAATGTGCGATGATTATTTACGCTTTTAATTATTAACTTAAATGAATATATCTTCTTATATATAAAATTCTCGTCTCACAATGTTAGTTACCATACACCTCCGAAACGGCTCGACCGATTCTTATGAAATTTTTTATGTAAATTCAGTATGTCCGAGAATCGGCTACTATCTATTTTTCAAACCCCTAAATGTTAAGGGTGGACCACCCCTAAAGTTTTACTTTTTAGATATTTTTTCTTGTTTTTATTTTTTTATGATACAGCATACAAAAATACATACAACCCTTAATTTTCAACCCTCTACGAACAACCACTATTTTTATTTGTTTATTAAAATCTTATGAGAGAAAAATTCACGGAAAAACCTAAAAAGTTTTCATTCCAGAAAACCAAACAGTCTCTTTGGTAGCATAGCAAAATGTTCTATGTTGGTATGTACTAAACAGGTAGGCTAAGTAAAATCACATTTAAGGCGAAACAAGCCAGCTAGTATATATACTTAACTATTGTTACGTAACACCACCCCCACTACATATTTATTTTTAAAATATTCTATAGAATAACTCAAGAATTAAATACCTACTTAGATATTTATAGAATACTTGTATAAAACCTTTTGTCAGTTCACTCGGCCGTGGCGGGTTTTACTGAAGACTGCCCATGAACACTGTGTTACTGTCCAAAGGTGTTGGTCCAAAAGTCTAAAGAGTCAGAGAGCAGTTACATAATGTAAAATGCATAGAGCAAATACTTCTTTAATTTAATTTGACATAAATTCCAAGAACAAGGTCGTTATAAAAATATTACTTAATGATTTATTAATTAAATCATTTGTAGTTAGTGTCATAATAAACGTAGTGATGAACGCAGTTATGGTCGCGAAGATTATGTAAGTACCTATTATTAATTTTTATTTACCTTTATGGATTATTCCCTATGTACGTGCCAAGGCTCGTACATTCCGACCATCTACAAGCGTGATGTTTTTATTATGTAAGTACGTGCCCTGGCTGTACAGTTTGATCACTTATAAGCATGACGATTTCCTAAATCGTCGGAGTCACGCCCCGAGAGTATAGCCAGACGCAGGCACTCTCTTCGACTGTTACATTGCAGTCATTCGTTTCATTACAATGAACTAAATCATGGGAGTTTCACCCCGAGAACATAGCCAGACGTCGGCACTCTCTCTGGTTGTTAAATTGCACTCATTCGTTATATAGCAATTAACATTCCATTATTTCGCTCATATTCTATTGTGTTACGCGAGTGATAAATACAGAGTAAGTCAAATACCTTCTATTATTTCGAACACCCGATGACCCAGGAACCGTACAATATATCTGTGAAACCAAAAAAGATGAGTGCGAAAATAAAAATGGCGGCTTACGTTGCTCGTCTGTTTTGCGGTATTTATTACGTGATCATCACGCTATCACGCTAGTGGACTGTGTATTTAAATTTTAATCTAATAAATGTCAGCAGTATCTGTATATATGTAGTGTATGTATTAGCAAGCTGCACTAGTGAATATATAAATAAGTACGGGATGCGCCAAGAGACCTAAGGTAACAGACGGAGCCCTATGGGTAGGATCAGAGGTTCAAGGTGGTTATATCTCAAAGCTATCGGGCATCACCACGATAATTAAAGGCTTGAAGGAGACTTCGCCATTTTGAAGGAAAATGAATAAGACAGAGCAATATTCAAATCTGTTTTATCGTTATCTTAATATATATAAATCTCGTGTCACAATGTTTGTCCTCAATGGACTCCTAAACTACCGAACCGATATCAATCAAATTTGCACACCATGTGCAGTTCGATCCAACTTGAGAGATAGGATAGTTTAAATCTCAAATTATAGTCGCAATTTTAATTTATTGCAAAATATTTGTTTATTATTTGATACAATTCTAACAGATGGCGCTGTGTTAAAATTATCAACGTTTCACATAAGCTGTCAACTACCTTTCACATAAGTTCTCCTACCGTTTCCCTTGAATAGTTTACTACTATGTAATATAACAAAAATCTTAGCCAGAGCAACGCTTGGCCGAGTCTACTAGTAAAACAATATTTTAAATACTCACACATATTCACACATACACAATATTATTCTTGTGCGCTATTGGTGTATTCCGCACCTTCAGCTGTTAAAATTTAGAACAACCACGTGAGCCGTGTCAGCAGTTGGTCAATGATCAAGTGAAATTGAACAAAAGACATTATAATATTACAAGAAAAGTAATATGTTACGAGTGTACGTTTGTAACGAATAAACTTAAAAGTGACAGGACATAAAATTTAAATAAATCAGTGGCGCTACAACCTCTTTAGGTCTTAGCCTCAGATTTCTGAATCTGTTTCATATTTTTAGGAGGTGATCAGCCTCCAGTGCCTGTCTCACGCCGTCGTCTTTTTGGGTCTAAGACATGTCGGTTTCCTCACGATGTTTTCCTTCACCGTTCGAGCAAATGATAAACATAGACAGTCCATTGATGCTCAGCCGGGGATCGAACCTACGACCTCGGGTATGAGAGTCGCTGAAGTAACTAGGCCAACACTGCTCTCTGTCTGACTGGACATAAATCATTATAAAAAACCCGTGGCGGTAAAACCCTTGGTTTAAGCTTCAGATTTCTCAGATCGATATCCTCGCGATGT